GGGTCTGCGGCATTCGTGCGACCTATTCTATATTGGCGTGGCCGTGCTGCTCCTCTTCTTCCGGGGCCGTGATTATGGCTGTTTGCGTTCACGCACCATTAAAGCGCGGTGACGAGGGCAGCCGGGGGGGGGGGGGGGGGTCACTCGAAGGTCCACAAAAGTGTGCCATGGCCGCGGGTGCGCGCTGACGGCTTCGGGTTGAATAAGATTGACACGCCGTACGGCTGTGGGAAACTACGCGACAGCGTGAGACAAGTGTGCACACACCTATAGTGCTAAGCCTACGCATGCGGGGAAAATGTTGTGGATTGTGTGTTGTCGCCCCTCTCTGCATCTGTCCCCTGATGTCATGTCTGGAGCTGTTCGTCGCGCATGTATATGCGATGCCTCCATTCTTGTCTTGTAGTTCGCGTGTGAACGAGACTTGCGTCAGCGAACTCTCAGTGTGGTGGACTGCCAGGATAGTTGGTCTTGCATTTTGGCGAAGTCGAATTAGCGCGAATCAAGACGGACACGAAAATGATACAGACAAGGACAGATGCTACATTCTCGTCTTCCTCGTCATTGCGTTCATTTTTGTTTGCGCTAATCGGACTTTGTTAGAATGCTCTGAAGTCGGTGTGTGCTTTTGGCGTTGTTAACACAACTAGCAATAAAATGTTCATCTTAGGGAACGAAATATCGTGGCCCACAGGAATTTTAGAATGGTTGAAGCAGGTAAGTTTTGAGTGTTATTTTAGGCATGCGAGAACGAACTCGGTGCACCTAGTCACAGTCGTTCGAAAATCACCCTTGTGTCTTGGGTCATTGCGTATTCGCCCCGAGATCGGGCTATAGGTGGCAGCACCGTCACTGCGCTAATGTGGATAGGTGGTCGGTGGCATGCATTGAAATGTATAGCAGCGGCGCTTTTTTGTGAGCGTTGTGAGCCGATTGTCGGCAAATTAAATGCGTTGACCGCAGCGTGCTCGTAATACGTATCTCGTCTATTGCAGAATGGATGCACTGAGCTCGCCGAACGTTACTATTACTTGTGATGAAAACGCAATCTGTAATTGAAATGGATGTTCATGCATGGTGACTGTCTGCGTTTTCGCAATATGTCACGTTTACGGCATGTTTATTTATAAATGTTGAGCTTGCGTCTCGCCTCATACGCCCTGCTGTGGTGTGACTGAATTAATTTTTTTCCTTCATGAATGCCGGTCGTACATACTAAAGAGAGAGAGAGAGAAAGGAAGAATATTCATGTTGAGCGATGAGCTAAAATATTTTTTAGCTCATCGAAAGAGAAAAAAATGCAGGAAAGAAAAAAAATGCTAAAGAAGAAATCCAGCATTTTTTTTTCTAATTCAGTTCTCTGTAAAAAGAACTGGGGACAGTTAATAAGTTTATTGAGAAAAATTACATTGCTTACAGTGCTTTAGCGTGCTCGTTCTTGGTACAATAAGCCTGTAAAAAGGTAACTGTTCACCTCGCAGCTTTCTTCGATGGCAGTGATGCAACAATGATTTGTTAATTTGATGGGATAAAAGTTGTGTGTTTTTTTTTTTTTTTTGAAGCGAAGGATGTCCGCTTCTTCCGCCAGTCTATAACAACGCCACAAAAACGCTCAAGATAATGTTAGAAAAGCGGACATTTTGCGTGAAATTATACATCAGCACTGCATTAGTGGGAATAGAAAATATGGGGGCATACCGGATGAATTAATTTTGACCATCTGGATACTTTAAAGCCAACGCAAATGTAAGTACACTGGTGGATCTATAAATTTAGCCCAATATTAAAATTACGCACGGTGACTGAAATTTAGTGAACTTGGGGTTATACCATTTTCTGTTCTTTCTAACGGACAATGAAAGTACCGAAGCGTCAGAATTTACTTGACAGAAATATTTCGCTGTATAGAGGGGTGAGGAGCGTACAATGAAAGGTTACCTCTAGCGCAATAAAGATCCTCGCTTAACTGATAATCAACAGCGCCGCAGCTCAACACGAAACAACAGTGCGAAACTCCGTTTATCAATGAGTCGCTAAAACGCTGCATTAATACAATATATAATACTCATCACGTTTGGGACGACGCCAAGAGCACATTAAGATATACGTCAACTACAAAGCAAGATGCGCCTGGTGTGGAGGTTTGAGGCTCCGCCGACTGCTCTCGTCCAGGAGGGTCGAAGACCTTGTCTTTCAGAAGAGCTGCCGTTGGAGAAAACCGGACCCAAGTTTCGAAGAGGAATACAAGAGGTTTAATTACATTTGTGCAGTTTGAAAGTTGGTTCCAGATCTCCTCTCTCAGGCATCTGATTGCGTTTTTATCCCCTCAAAGTCCCTAGAGTCCAGGTCTAAAGAAACCGGGGACGACGTCTTCTTCCAATCAGCTGGCGAGTCCCATCTGTCTCTCTGGTGGCCCCTCTCCCAATACACACGCGCACACAACACACACGCACTTGTAATATTCTCGTGAAATCGTCTCTTCGGACTCGCTTGCTGGATTCCGTGCCGACCGGATGTGCCCTCGCGATCTCCGGCGTCAGCGTGGCTCTGGCCGACTGGCTCGCCCTACGTCACCTCCTGACGCCGATGACCTTCGACGACAGTGTAGCTCTGACCGACTGGACCTGCTCTACGCCATCTACTGACGCCGACAAGAGCTCTCACAAGTGGTGCCCCGTGCTCAGACTCCTGTGACCGTGTTTCCATCTTTCCTCTCACTCCTATCCCCTCAGCTTGTTGTCGCTCCTTCTGGCTTACCACGTCACGTCTCTTCCTCTTTTCTACACCTTTACTCCTACCCCTTTTATCCCTCCTCACCCCCATCCCTTGTGAGCTACTGTTGAGGTGTCGCTCACTGGAGCAGACAGTTACGGGGCTCACTTTTCTCTTCCTTTCTCTCTTAAGAATCACCTTCTCGTCTCTTCGCGGAAAACAGTATGCTGAATACGACGAGTGCGTCTTCCGAGAGCTCGATGACCAGCCGCGGTGTCAAATGGGGGCCATAGGCTCGGCTCGCCCCAGAGCGTGCATGAGTTTGGGCAGCTGGCGCTGATCCATGCGCAGGCATCCTGTCAGCCGGAGACACATAGCCGCAGTCCGAGACCCCACTTCCACGTATTTTGGCGCTCGGCGTCGTGGCCGTAATTGGGGCACGGAGGCTGGAAGAACTCCGCACCAGTGACAATGGTGTGCTTCTGAGCCGTGTTTGACCCTTCGCGCAAAAACTGCAGAGTGCGCCTTCGCGCTTTTCTTTTTGTTGCAAAGTGCTTGGGGCTGCCTGCTTTGCTTTGTTCCGGCGCCCCGCAGCGAAGGGAGGCACGGCGATCTTAACAGCTCCTTTGGTGCCAGGAAACTCTCGAATGGCCATCAACCCACTTGCTGGCCATAAAGAGAGGGGCTTGAAGATCACGATGGGTGCCGACATGCAGCTCGAAAACCCTCACGCAAAACAAAGGCAAACAGTAGAAAACAAAACGATCCAAGCGCCATCAACACTACACCGCGCACAAGTGCCCAGAATCTGCATTCAATCTGCCAGGCCTATCAGAACAAAATGCTGATAAAACCACGTAGAACTATGAACATCCTTGAACTTTGACACCTGAGAGGCACGTCAAGCAAAACAAGTGACCATGTTCCCTCTTCAGTTTTACGCAAGATAGAAATGGTATGCTGACAAATAATCAGTTGACCGCACTTGGGAACTATTCAGTCAACAGTTACAAGATATCTATCAAGCAGAACGGAGGGTACGGCATCGATACGCAACGCCCTGGGCATGTGCAAAATGTGGTCTTATTGCATAGTACGTATACAGCCGATCAAGTTCGAGTGTGTCTATAGATCGTGCTAGACAAATATACAAGCAGTTAAACTGGCGCTAACAGGGCGGGACAAACCGCCTTTTGAGATTGAGCATGACGTGGTACGTGCACATGCTAACCTTATGGGGATAGCAGACGACGCTAGGAGCAATCTGCACTAGGCACGCTCTATAGCCAGAGGCCATCCGGCTGTGACTCCGCTAGTTCTCGGGGCGAAGAGAGGCTATCCTGCAGTGAGCCTTGATTCTCGAGTCGTCAACGCCATGTTGCCATATTTCGGGTCGCGCCGTCCGTGAGCACAGCACTGCGCTACCGTCTGTGTGCACTAATTTGCTTTTTCAATGAGCTGGGTGTCCCTCGTTCTCTTAAGCCAGTAGGGACATCTTCCGAAAGATACAAAGATGCAAGCGACACTGAGAAAATTGTGCTTCGCTACGAGGGAAATGCAAACTGATGAAACGAGTGTACACCTGCGGGGACGCTGTGTTAAGCGATGTACTTTTTTGTTGTTGTTTCTTCGAACCACTTCTCTTGGTCTTCCTTTACGCTCTCTCATTACATCGCAGTACAGTTAGTATCTTTGTTCCAGTGTCTGTCAGCTCTTCGACGTTTGTATGTATCGAGAGAGTGGTCTTGTATCCAGTTCGATTGTAATGAATAGAAATCTGAAAAATTGATCTTATCGCCCACATTGCAGCCTCAGTCCTACGTTTTTTTTTTTATCGCCCACGTTGCACCCACGGTAGAAGACATTCAGCTGTCATTGCATATTATTTTTTTTCTTTTACTCTTCCGCTCTAGTTTTAGTGCTTTCACATGACACCCAACCTTTCGTTATGTGCGTGCTCGAGTCCGGTGCGCTGGTGTAGCGGTTACGGGGCTCACTTGCTGATCGAAAGGTCGCGGGTTCGATTCCAGCCGCGTCGGTCGCATTTCGATGGAGGCGAAATGGTAGAGGTCCCTGTACTGTGTGATTTCGGCGCACGTTGAAGAACACCAGGTGGTCGTAATTTCCGGAGCCCTCCTCTGCGGCGTCTCTCATAAATCATGATCATAGCTTTGTTTAGGGACGTTGAACCTGCATATGTTATTGCGTGCCCACTCGACGAGTGTGTAGTTTTTCACTGCCTTGGCATAACTTGATTAAAACCTTGTCTCTTTCTTTGCTCGGTGCAGGACCTGAGCGGGGCCATACCCGAGAGCTGCGCTGCCACCGGCGACGTCAATGCCCTCTCCGAGCGGAGGTCTCCGCCCCCACCTGTTGTTGGCCGCCGGGCATCCACTGACGGCGGCTGCAGTCCCCCGACGTGTGAGTGATCGCTTCTTCCTCGGGGGAGGGAACGCCGGTATTTTCGTTGCCGTGCGCCGATACGACACATTAACGCGCGCGAGGTTCGTTGCGTGTGTCTGAATGTATACAATTGAGTAGAAACATCTCGTCGCGCCTTTGGTGTGCGAGTTCATTGCGGGAGCAGTGACCCCGAAAAATAGCTATACATAGTACTAGACAGCGGGGCAGGTGATTCCCTTGTTGGCCTAGTGCTGGGGACAGGTGATTCCCTTGTTGGCCTAGTGCTGTACGGGTTTGTCCCGAAAACAAATGCCTCGAAAGATTGGCCACTTCTCAGTGCTTGACTACAAGTTCAGATACCATCTGTCTTGCTGTCTTGTCTTTTGATGTGTATGTCCAGCATTTGGGTCACATCTTCCAAGACGAGGGCCCGCACCCAACTACGCCAAAGATCCAGGCTATACCTGTCCTGCACTCTACTTCTAAGCTTCTTCTTGCGTAGCTGCGAGGACTATATATAACGGAACGATAACTCTAAATGCACTGCAAGGTTTCATTTTCTTTCTTTTTATCTTGGTAATGTGTGAGTCCACTATTACCATCACAGTTTTGTACTGTAGGTTTCTGTAGATTATTTTCTGTTGCGTATGTGGACATCTGTGATGACGATGGCCTCTTGCTCATCTGTGTAGTCACAGACACAAGAAAAGTAAAGTTGGGCATTGCCTTCTATATAGCCTTTAGTACCCTTTCCTTTTTTTTTTTTTTGTAAGCTCGGTGACATCTTCACAAACTTCACATATTGTTTATGTTGCGATATTCAACAGCGTTTACTATGTGATGTCTTACTATATGATTGTATGTGATTTTGTACGTAGCACTATACTTTAATCAATCGTATTTAAAAAAAACAATATGTTATGTCCGTTTGTTATAAAGCTGCCACGAAAAGCATTATATACAGCGGCCGAGACAATGTATTGAATTCACTAACATAGTCTCAGTGCATTTCAAAATCAATAAATCTCTGTTGCAATACATCGGCAGTAAAAAGGTGATATAATTCCTGGGGTTTAATGTTCCAACACCGTGATATCATTGAGGCGCGCCGTAGTAAGCAACCTCGGATTAACTATGACCACCTGGTGTTCTTTCTCATGTGCTCGTTTATTGAAATTTGTATTGTGTACTAAGGCGCGTACAGCGCTTGGTTACAGTTTATTATTAACTTATGCTCCTACGTTCTCACAATAGCACAATGATGCTTAGAAATCGCGGTTGCGCACTTTTAAATATGATTTTTTTTGTCTTGATCCATGGACTTTTCGTCAGTTTCTGATTAAAAACGATATGCGGAGATGGTTCTAGTTATAAACTAATATAATATTTATTAACTACAGCTTTAGGCAGTTTACTACCGAGTAGCAAAAATGCAGTATTGGTCAAAGGATGTTGGGAATGGCGTGACTCGCTAAATCTATTTGCTTTCAGTTACTGTATTAACCTATACAGTACTGTATTAACCTACCTAGTAATTAAACAGGTAACAAAGAGATAGTAACGTTTGCTACTAATAACTGGCTGGAAAATGCTAGTAACGGCGCAAGAAAGTTAATAACCGGTGCAGTTACTGCCTATTAGCTTGCACTTGCTACCAGCTTACTTCTTTTTTTTTAAGTGTGTGATTTACCCTTTCCCTCGTCCTTTCCTGTCTAATCGCCCTCGCAGCAGTCTTCTCCCTCTCTCTTTCCACCGCTTGCTTGCTATGCTATTCGGTATCTTCCCTCTTTCGCTGCCTCGCATTCACTTTGCTATGCAATGCTATACAATGGCCCTACCCTCTCCTCTACTCGTATCTCTCCTCCTCGCCCTGAATTTTCTTTCCTCGTGCAATATGTGGCCCGCTGACAATCGTAGCTCTTCTTCGCAGCCCCCTCGCGGACCGTGCCTCCGCAGCTGTCGTCCCAACAGGCGGCGCAGAGCGATGCTGAGGTCGGCGTTGGAAGCCGCCGGAGCAGCCGCTGTTCCCTGCCGTCGCTGCCTTCTTCGGCTCCCCCATCGGCGGCCAAGTGCGCGCTGCTCGGTCGTCCCGGCAAGTTGATCCGCGACCGGCCCATCTCTCGCTCCGAGCGCCATCTGAAGGCGGCCAGCACGCCCGAGTTTCACAGCGGCAGCACCGAGGACGTCTGCTGCAGGTCAGCTGGCGGGGCCCCTTCCCTTTCATTGAATGTCTCGCGGTATCGATGGCTTGTTTGTAACTTGCGCATGCGGCTAGTCGAAGCATTTGTGACGCGGTGCCTCAGTAGAAAGTGCCAGAAATAAGCAGATCGCGTAAAGGGAATATTTGTGCAGTCTTTCCGTGTGGCCCTAATCGAACTATTTAGTGGGGTACTTTATATATATATATATATATATATATATATATATATATATATATATATATATATATATATATATATATATATATATATATATATATGTGTGTGTGTGTGTGTGTGTGTGTGTGTGTGTGTGTGCCCTTTTTCGTGTATCTTTGCTGTCACTTTATGTGGTACATGCAAGAAGCAGGGAGGACAAGTGATACCTTACATTGAAAGCATTGGAAAGGGGGGGGGGGGGGAGTGTTTTTAGGACTCCGCTCTCAGGAACTGGTCACGATTTCGCACGTTTTTGCCCAAAGGGTGGTCGTAATTCTCGCCATTAACCGAATCATTGCCTACTTCACTTCGTACAGGGTCGCTTAAATACGCCACGACATTCAGTGAAGAGCGCCGAGAAGCGTCTCCCCGACGCGTTGCTGTCTCTGGTCACTTAAGAGTGCCGCTTTTGTTTGTCCCTATAGAAATGTGCGCCGCCCTTGGTCCCAGCTGTACAGCGACGCCGAGGCCGAGCAGCTGTTTGCCGCGGTTGGCAGCTTGTCCAGCCTGCACGAGCCGCGGGGGGACCCTGCCTCGGAGGGCCACCAGGGGCTGCCGCCGCGCTACTCGTCCCTGCGGGCCTCCAGTCCGCGGCTCATCGCCGACAGCGTGCTGCAGAAGTTCCGCAAGACGTTCTCGCTACGCTTCCAGCGGAACCGCAAGGGCTCCACGACTTCGCTGCCGGCGGTCTCCTCGGCGCCGTGCCCGGCTCCCGCCGCGTCACAGCTGTCCAATGGCAGCGACGATGACGGCGGCTGGCCGTGCGTCTCCGCTCCACGTACGAGGACGGACGAGGAAGAAGAGGAAGGCGGCTTCCGTCCGGGTCCCGCCATCCTGCGGTGTTCGCGCGAGGAGCGCCGCCTGCACCGCAAGAACCGCGGATCCAAGTGCAGCAGCGCCGATAGTGGGATCCAGCTGGAGGCCCCCGGCGCCACGGCCGCCGACCAGCAGCTGTCCGAGGTGCGTGCTAAGTAGAGAGAAATTATCAGAGGTGTTCCAAAAGTGAAGCTTGAGTGCTGTTCAGGATAGACATTGTCTCATTTCGCCATGTTGTCGACAAACTCTTTCCATTTCTTTCTGTCGCTTTCTTTATCTACTTACTTCTTTTTTCACTCTCTCTTTCGCGCGTTTTGGCGATTAGAGTTTTGGTTTAACGTTCGCCTATGCTGCATTATGTAGTAAGGCATACCCAATACCTGTAGCGCATAACAACTTCTGTAGTTTAGCACGACGGAGCAATAGTTACCGTTCAACAGCCTCGCTGACATCCCCGTGTGTTGCCGTGAAGCCATCTTCCTTGCATTGTGGTCAAGCAGTGCCTTACAACCGACTTGCGCACTGAAGTTCTCACGGAGAAATCTTTAAAATATTCATATCGATTTATACCGCGTACCGAACTAAATTCTCCGATTTCGGTCTTTTTTGTTCATTATTTTTAGGGGGGGTGATATTTGCGTGTTTGACTGTATGCAAGGTCACAGATCCAATTCCAATATCAGCGACTGCTGATTTGGACGACGCTCTTGGTACGTGGACCCGTGAAATTCAATTTTCTCTCGTAGGATTGATTTTCCTGACTCTAAACAAGCGCTGCGAAGTTCCTTAAATAGTATATCAATAATTAACGTCATAATATTTGCCTTTGTGCAGGGTGGTTTAGTCTGACTTTTTTTTTTTTGCTGTTTTTGTAAACTCGGGATTTCTGCTTGCGCGCAATGCGTGCCATTTGCTCGAGATGCAGTTTGAAAGCACTCCTATTGTTAGCCTGCTGTTGTACTACCGACGCGCGAGTTCGCAAATGCACCTTCTGTGCCAGACTCTCTAAAAAGACGAAGAGGTCTGTTTTGCTGTGCACCGGTGTTTTTCGCCCTCTGTGCTGGCCTATACGTTCCCATAGTTCACGCTATGTCTCGCGTGCGGTCCTTGGTTGCTATGGAAACCGAAAAGGCAAGTCAACGGCATTGGGCAAGTGCAGAGAGGGCACACGGGCGCGCGAACACCCACAGCGCGTCACACATCGTGTCCTAAGCTCGTGCCGGTGTTTGTGGCGTGACGCGCGAGGCTTAGCGCGGCGACGCTCACTCGGATCGTGCTGTGTTGTCAACAAGCGTCGCCAGAAGATTCAGGTCTCAAGCGGAGTAGTTGGTTTTGTAGGTGTGCGACCGCGTTGCGGCGCAAAGAGTTGAGTGTGAAAGGGTGCGACAGGAAGGTGGCCGCTGTTATGATCGCGCCTTTTCGCTGAAGCTATATACAAGGCGCGTTGTTTTCGCAACGGCACTGTGAAGAACTGTTACCGGGAGTTTTCCATGTGCATGGCAGCTGCTGTGCTAGGTGCACAACCTAGTGAGCGGAAGAAACGAAATTGGGTCGCCGTTGGACCTAGGCGATGGGGGGAGGAGTGAGAGAGGGTGAACGCGCGCGTTTCATTTCCTCCTTGTCTCAAGCGGCTGATAATCGCTGACACTGGCCCGTTAAATGAAAGCCATGTAGCGCCCTCTCGCCACTGCACGTTGTTCGCAGGGGCAGGTTTCTGATTTCTCTTGGCAAAAAGGCATCCCAGACTAACTTTGCATTGAGGGCACAGTGAGAATGCATTGTCTGTGCATTGCAAGGGCGCAGCCAGATTTTTTTTTTTTTTTTACTGGAGGGGGGGGGGGGGGGTTCAGACGTACTTTATGCGCCTGTTCGGGCGCGCGTTTGTATGTGTGCGTAAGCAAAATTAAATAACCTCAGGGAAGTTTGACCCCCTACCCTTGATACTCCACTGGTGCATTGCCCAAAAAAGTCGTGTACCAATTACCTTGTTCGCCTTGTGTGCGTATCTATGTGGATGTTGCTTCCATGCACTTGATGGGGGCTCAGGGGTACAAAACAAAGAAACGCACCTAATTAAATTCCTTGTGGAAGTATGATGGCTTTGCCACTATACTTTGGAGCTCTGCTGTGTAGCCAAGTGTTTTTTTGCTTTTATTTATTTGTTTGTTTATTTATTTTCTTAAAGCTTTTTCAGAAGTCGCTGCATCATTAACCGTGCACAGTGCAGAAAAATACGTTCACAGACATAACAAAAGAATTCGCTGACACATTGTTGCATCATTGCCTGTGCATTGTTATTTTCAGAGCATCTCTCTCTCCTTGCATGTCGAATCTTTATGTTGAAATGTGGAACTCTTTAGTACATGGGTCTGCTTTATTACTGAAATACGCAAAGTTTATTGTTTGCAAAATAACGTTGCTATTTGTAGGTACACTTTCAAAATGTACTTTTTAAAGTACCTCTTATCAATTTTTATAACATGTTGTGTAGCTTCTATTGAATGCTAAAAGCGGGCTCAGATTCCAGGGGCATGTCATAGCCTCCCCCCTCCCCGTAGTTTAGATGGAGAAGGTGTTCTGCCAAGAACAAATAATGAAAATGGCAGTTTCCCAAGGCCTTCAACAAACAGCTTCCCCCCCCTCCCCCCAAAAAAATTCTGGCTACAGGCCTGGTTTAATGTCCTCCTCCTTACTATTTTCTTCTTACATTGTTCTCTGTTCTAGGCTGACTCCACAGACGACAGCAGCCAAGCCAGCATCCAGAGGAAAGCCGAAAGCATATCGGCGGTGATCACAATAAATGGCGTTACCTGCTCTGGCTGTCAGGGGTCCTACTCTAGTCTTTCACCACCTGAGGCCGAAGCAGAATCCACGGTGTGTGACGACAATCAGCCCCCGAGTTCCCCACAATCCGGCTTCTCTGCACCAGCGCAAACGCGCAAGCCAACTTCTTTTGACAGGGTGAGCTCACGTCACCTGACTGGCCCAGGCTGTTGCAGTCTCTCTGTCAAAGAGCTAATGAAATTAAAAATAAAAAGTTAAAATGAAATGAACTTATTTGCTGGGCCTGTATATAATCACGAGTTTGTACAGTGCTGGGACCGCATTTTTACTGGCAGCACTACTCAAGCTGTACTAACTTACTGGCAGCACTACTCAAGCATCACTAACTTTTGCCTTAAAGTTATGTGGAAAATTTCCAAACTGCATTGTTTTTTATGGCAGAGTGTACCTTAGTGAGCATGTTATCACTGGTAAACTTAAATTTTATATATGCAAGTGGGACATGCCATGAATGTGGTCGCTTATGTGAATGTAAAGCCATCCAACTCCAGGTGGTCCAAATGTCTGGAGCCCTTCACTACGGTGTCCCTCATAAGCATATCATGGTATTGGTATCTAAAACCCAAAAAATTGTTGTATGGAAGTCCGTGGTACTGAATAATGCTTCTAAACTGTTGCTTCGTTCTTTAGCAATATTCCACGCCACCACCAATCAAGACAAGGATTGAGCGAAGCCGCCCCACACTGCGCCGGCAAAAAAGTCGGGGTGCCCTGCGGAGGTCCATCAGCCAGCCCCTGGACCTTGAAAAGTCTGATAAAAATGATCTGGCACAGAAGGAGCAGCTTTCTCATGGTAAGCATGTGCCTTGATACGATTAAAAGCATAGTTTGATGTACTCTTTTTTAACTCTGAATGAGCTGCGAATCAGAGTTTCAGTGACACGGCTTAGTAAAGCTGTGGTGAGTTTGTGTTGTGGTGAACCAGACTGAGCAAAAATATTGGTTTTGAGTTCAAGTGTGCCTAGTAGAGGAGAATATGTGTGAACGTGAGTGTGAGCGAGCTCACCGGAGCAATTCTTTGGTAATTATAAGTACAAGTGAGCATGGTTGAGCAGAATTTTCATCATTCTGAGGCCAACTGTGTGGTAGGCAAAATTATAATTTTCTGAGTGATGAAGCTCCATTTCTGTTCTTCAACCTATAATCACAAGTAATTTACTCATGGATAAAAGTTAATGTTAGCATATATTGACTTGCAAATGCAAAACATGGCACACATGTGTGGCACACTGCATTGATAAATGTGCACTGTTTTTTTAAGGAGAAAAAGCATGCGAGAGAAACTGTTAAGCTTTGTGAACTCTAATATGGGCATCCAGAACAACAGAATTGTGATGAGAAGTCACAATCATACAACCATACTTTATTGTTGCCACTAAACAGCATCAACACTAACTATATTTTGCCTCGAGTTTTGGAAGGTCATTTCAAACCCTTATAGTGGAGGTCGTCATCGTTTGACTACTAAGATTAGTTTTACATTGAGGTAGCTGGTGATTCAAAATTGTAGCACTGCTGAAGCTTTGACCCATAAAGTAAGACACGCACAAATATGAACTATGCATACAGGTACAACTAATTGTCAAACCAAAGACATTTAACATGTACTTGACCTGCCAGTGCATTCTATATACTCTTTATAGATGGCAAATTATATACAGAAATGCAGGACAAGTACAAGTATTGAGTCACCACATCTCCTGTATTTTCAGCATTCATTGATTATTCTTGCACAGTGTATGTCATGCGTAATCAAACCGATTATTACTTGCTAGGTGACATTCATGAAATAATCCACTTAACGGGTGTTCTTACTGCCTTTTGCGCCAATCATTCATTAGGCTTGTCAGACCAAGAAGCCTCGAGGAACCCCAGCACGGCATCTTCAGAAGAGGATTTCTCATCTGACGGAGAGTCATATTCCCAAATTCCCAAGGATGTAAGTGACATTTCACGAATTATTTTTACGGCACGTCACTGTTTTGGAATCGTATTAATAATGTTGCATATCATGTGCATACTTCTTCCCTTTATTATGAGGCTGCACTTAATTCATCATTGTGCGTTTTCTTTTTCTCTTTTATTTTAGTACGAAGGTGTCACATATGTCGAGGCACTTTGGGACCACGTGACCTTAGACTCAGAGGAGCTGGCCTTCCAAGCCGGCGAGGTGATTGAAGTGACGGACATGTCCGACAAGGACTGGTGGTGGGGATCAGTTGACCAACGTCATGGCTGGTTTCCAGCTGCTTTTGTTCGGGTAAGCAGAAGTCGGATTCACTCATCGTCTCTTGCAGTGTTGTCGTTGAAAGGAAGCTTTAGCTCACTAAGTTGTTACGGCTGTGAGCAGTGCGAAAGGGAACACCCAATTCGTGTTTAATGAGCAATTGCCTGTAATGAGTCAATATCATGTTACGTATTGAGTTGTGAGAGATGCGTTTCTGCTTGAGCGTTATGAACAGTTTTGCACGTAACCAGCAACATTTAGCTGCTATTATCTTTAAAGGAGAAATAAAATTTTTTTCAAGTTTGAAAGGTTGTATTGGCGTGAAAAGAACTACATAGGAAAAATGAAGGACCAACACTCCGTGCTTCATTTTTTATATGTCTAATTTTTTGTGCCAGTACTTCTTTTTAAGCATGAGCCAACTAGTCTAGCGCATCATTCCATGAAAATTTCAGTGTTCGCTCTTATATCACTCACGACTGTACTTCAGAAAACACGTCCACACGTCGCCTAATCACACACCTGTTTTTACCTATGCACTTGTGACTTTTTTAGAATTTTGCTTAGCTCTTCGCTAATATTTCACGTAAGAAGCAACAGCAGTGACGGTGCCGAAATTGTGGTTTGGATATCAGGAGCAAGAGTAAGTACATCTTACTTTTGTGTGCCAGCTATAGATTGTTTGAATGTTGAACGTTATCATGAAGTTCTTGAAATAAGTATAGGCCGCGGGCACCTGTAGGAATGCAGCACACACTGAAGTAAGTGCAGTATCAACGCAAGCTCTTCAGGGTTATGTATGGTCCAGACCTTACAGTCTTGCATTTTGCGGAGTCTTGCCGATGGAACTCAATGCGTGCTCATTGCCTGCAGTTACGAGTAGGCCAGGAGGACACTGTGGAGGATTGCATCACCAAGATGGCAGATGGCACGCTCACACAACACAAGCCTCGCAAAATGAGCATCGGCTTGTTGAGCAACGAGGAAGTGCGTGCCAAGGTTGTCATGGAAATAGTCAACACTGAAAGAGACTTTGTAAGGCACTTGAAGGATGTTGTTCAGGTGAGTAAACAGGCTCTGCCATCTTTCCCTTGTTATGTTGTTTTTACACTCTCAACCTTGCAATACTTCAGCTGTACCATTTGTGCATGGGATGCTTTTGTTCAAACACCCATTTGCAGCTTTTTTTATGGTACTTTGGGAAATCCACTAAAGAAGTGTAATGAAATTGATATGCTATTACAGTAGACTCTCATTAAACAGAACCTGAAGGGACCAGAAAAATGTGTTCCATTTAAAAGGAGTTCCATTTACTGAGAGGTGAACTGAGGTGCAGTATGCAGGGATGAAACCAATCATATCAGAGGAAGTTGTTCTATTTAAGCAGCAGTTTTGTTTATCAGATTTTCGTTTACTGAGAGTCCACTGTATTTACTGTATTTATGGTTTTTATCCTTTTTTGTGCAAGTAGTGTTTTCTCAACGCTCTCATAGTTGTTCGCTGGGCAGGATAAACAAAAACTGCTATTCAATAGAACCCGTTGCATTTCATTTAGCGCAGTGATGGCAGAAAATACGGAAAGAAAGTTTTCTAGTTTTGTTGAGCACTCGCTAAAAAAAAAATAATGTACCACATGTAGCTTTAACAATCATAAGCATGTCTAAAGACATCGAGGTGCGTGTGCTCATCATACCGTTTCTTGTTTTCATGATCTTGGTTGGTATTAGCACTAGTGAGTTACTGCGGAGCGTTGTTGAGAGTAAATGTCATAAATTTCATCACATGTGTGCATGTGCTCTTATTTTTCGATCGCTCCACCAGGCAATGCAGATACCGCAAATTTTTGCAACTGACAATACACTTGGGTGTGAGAAAGAGGCTATGTATATGTGCGTGCATTGCTGATAAAGTCAATAGTAACCAAGCCCCCCCTCCACTGTATTCCTTGAGCTTAGGCTGTTGTTTGTGCATAGAAAAATACTCTTCTTGCAAATTAATGTAACCCTTTCGAGGTGGCCGTGCACATAATGACTTAATGTGGCTTGCATTCTTCAACAGGGCTACCTGGCACAAGTTCGACGGAGGCCCGACATGTTTTCTGAGGAGCGTCGTGCAACCATTTTTGGGAACATTGAGCAGCTATATGAATTCCAGAACAGCTTCCTCAAGCACCTTGAGTCGTCCATCGACTGGGAGCAGCCACATCTAAGTCAGATCGGACGTGTCTTTCTAGAGCATGTAAGTTGCTACTCATTTTATTTTATTTTTTTGTCACACACTTAATGTATCTTGATCATCATAACTACATATTTTAGCAATTGCTGCATTAACAAACATTTCGATATGAAAATTTGTGTGGGCTCTAATAACTATAACAACTGAGCATACCCTTTGAATTATCCTTTTCAGAAGCAAGAATTCAAGATCTACTCGGAGTACTGCAACAACCACCCATTGGCTGTCAGTGAACTCCAGGAACTCTATGCTGACTCCAAATATGTTCATTTCTTTGAGGCAAGGATGTGTTTTTATGCTGCCTATTTGTATTGAATTGCATTAGAGATTTTATACAGAACACAGTTAGGGGACACTGAAAGTGTAGTATAGATACGTCAGTAATGTTGCTCCAGTGTTTTTGTTGTTTTTTTCATTTAATCTAGTTGTGTGTTGATTCTCCAAATGTCTTAGTGCCTGGAAACATGGCTCTCTTATTATGTAGTTCATTTATAGGTTGCCTAGCTGTCACTGTCTTTCTCTTTCGACATCTGAAATAGCTTCCTACATCTTAGCCATGCCTTGCCTCCGGCTTCGATGATACTCTGAAGGTAATCTTCACTGTGCTCTTTTCTTCATAAATGCAGGCATGCCGGCTGTTACAAGACATGATTGACATCTCACTGGACGGATTCCTACTGACGCCGGTGCAAAAGATATGCAAGTACCCACTGCAGCTGGCCGAACTGCTGAAGTACACCAGGCCGGAGCATGCCGACTACCATGCGGTGCGGGAAGCCCTGGCTGCAATGAAGGGCGTCGCCCAAATGGTCAATGAACGCAAGCGTCGTATGGAGTGCCTGGAAAAGCTTGCGGAGTGGCAAAGCAGCGTTTTCAACTGGGAGGCAAGCAAGCTCCTTTCTTTGTTTTTGGGGCAGCAGCTTTTTATGAAGACTTCAACAAGCACATACAACAGAATCTCTTTGTAAAGGATACAGCACCTGGGAGTGGTTCTTGTACTTGTGTATGAGGAGTTGCTCATTGGCTGCATACCGCATCCTCATTTTCCGAGTCATACTTCTCAGGGTGCAGTTTTTCAATGGCTTCGATGTTTTTCTTTTTGCATTTGACAGGGTCCTGACTTGTTGGACACCAGCTCCATGTTGGTCCACTCGGGTGAAGCAGTTCGAGTGTCATCCTTGTGGTCCAGGGATGTGGTCAGCTTGTTTTTGTTTGACAACCTCTTGGTGTACTGCAAGAAGGTGAGCCGCATTTTACTCGCACACTGAAACTTAATTTTTCAAAAGCATCTTTCTATTTTCGAATCTCTCAGGCATGTGTCATACAGTTGAGCATGGAAGTAACTTCAGTGATGGCTCTCATGTGTCATTAATATTCTGCACAATATTTACCTCACTGCATAAGGAATATTTTAAAATTTTGGTCACTGCAATTGCACCTCATTATAATGAAATGTCTATAGGTGTGCAGATGTTTTAATTTTTAAATATTTCTTGAATAGTGTTTGCTATTCGATTCGCATTAAAATTTCACTACTCAAAAGTATTCAAACTTCCCGAAAACAAATACTGCAAACATTCAATTGACAGTGGCCCCTAGAGATTTTTTTATACCGTTCGCCCAATGACATTCTTGCATTGTGACAATGCTGCTTTTAAAACTCTACTACAGTTGCAAATGTATTGGCTCGATATAATTCTGGCTCTAACACGGAGGTGATAGACGGGGTGGAGCAGGGGGTTTAATGCCGTTTTGGACCATAAATTTGGGTAGAAAGTCTGAAAAATTAGACATTGAAGATTTTGAGCACCTGAAATCACAGATGCTCTTATATGTCGATGTCTGAGGCAGATTGGGAACTCTGAATTCGAAGTGAGCGTGTCCTTGTGTGCAGAAGTTAACGAGGGGAGAGGTAAAGGGAATAGCGTCTGTTCCTTTCATGAGGGAAGTGTCGTGACACCGCACTGGTTGCACGAAATCATGTAAATAAAAACCATTAGGTCTCTGCATTGCCCCATCCTTGATGAAACAACTAGAGAACGCCATCCCTCCAGCACTTCACCAACCCAGCCAAAAGAAACACTTCTATGTTCCTATTTCATAAGAATGTGCTTAGGGATTCTCTGCATTTTTTTTTTTCTCTAAGTTCCCTTCGAAGTATTTGAAAAATATTAAACAAATATTGGACAACTATATTAAAAAAAAATATTCATTCTGTTTGCAGTCAAACTTGAATATTCAAATGCACTTCACAACCAGACTTTCGCTATTTGCACAGCTCCAGTTATTTCATTCAATCATGCAAAAAAAATTTTTTTGCAGTATCTGAAATCTAGCTGTGTATTCATTTTGTCCATGGCCATTACCATGGTCTAATTGTTAAATAGTACTTATACATTATACTAACAATAATACTATTGTTAATAGTGTTATACGTGGTGGGTAATAATTTTGTTTTGATTTTTGAAAACCTCAACTATATGCTTTAAACTTAAGTGTCGTAATAAGGCTCTTTGACAAAGTTATTCTCAATCGGTACTCATGCAAACAATAGGAGAAATTCACGCAACTTATGATAAAATCACGTACTACAAGATGCCAATAGGCAGAAACAAAGAGTGTTCCACACTTGCCTTCATGGGTACTGGCAGTGCTGACTGACGCCCCCGCTTTTGAATGCACATATATACGCGATAATGTGGATGGGGGGATGTCCGCTGAGGTAGTATGCGTTATTCAAAGGTCGCAGGTTCGGTTCTTGCCCATGGCAAGCTATCTTTTCATCCGCCTTTCTTTCTTCACATTTACAATACATTTACTACTAATAACATGCCCTATACGTTCCTTGGCATTGTTGTCAGCTAGTTCTCATTCATATGGATGCTATACATGTTAAATGTTTGTTTCACTAATATTGTCAACTTGCTAACATGGTCATTGACATGGTCAGTTGATGTTGTCAACTTGCTAACCATTTGTAAACATGCTAACATGGCTGCTTGTGAAAAAGTAAGAATTTATGAAAGTAACAGGTGTTTGCAGATGTCTGCTCCCTTTAATACATTCAGTTCAATGTATGCTATTACAATACTTTCATTTTAAATCCTATCATTCTCTTTACCGGGTGCGTGACCCAGTCCCGTTCTGCAGCACCAAAATGAAGTTGTTTTCCTTCCTTCCTTCTTTCTTTTTCTCTCTTCTTTATGCACAGGACATTATAAAGAGAAATACATTGTCATACAAGGGCAGACTGAACATGAACTCCTGCTGTGTCGTGGACGTTGAGAATGGCAAAGGTAAGCACACAAGTAGGTGCTCAGGTTTTAACACTGAAAAATGAAGTTGGTGATATACGGGTGTTTCACACCTACTGTATTTGAATCAGCGTGGTGTTAGAAGCGCTTAGGATTTTCTGGTATGACACTGTTATTGTAGTGATACATTCACAGTGCCTCTGAATTGACATAAAAGCCACATTTTTCTTGAAAATTCTTTATCCCCTACCTTGTACCAGTTATTTGCAAGTTCCAGTCATACCTTCTGCTGGAGAAGCAATAAAACTATATTATGCCTGTGCAGCTGTGCTTTGCATTTACAGTGCTTACAGATTCAAACGCAAGATAAAATTTTTAGTGTTACAACTGATGTGCGCAATCGCTTGTAATAGCCACGTCTTATCACAACAAATCTGGTCTCTCAAAATAAGGTTAGTTATGATTTATGCATCCAAGTTGAAGTTATGCCTATACGGCCCGTACCGAAGACTGGGGAAACAAAAGTATGTACGTTACTTAGCCCTGAATTGTCCTGTTCCAATCCATTAGTACTGTACCTATAGACTACTAACTGCTTTGTGGGCTGGTCTTCTCAAGTTTGTTTGTCACTGAATTAAGGGGTTTTCTGTAACTTGCCTGGTATTATGTTGTTTTCTAACTGATTGATGTAGGAACAATATTATTGAATTCGTACTGTAACTTAGTGCTACTTCTGACAATTGGCACGTGTGAAGCTTAGAAGCAATTGTTGGCATTTGAACTCTAAGTGTAGCGAGAGTGTACAGTCAGGGTAGTTAGTTGTCAATGTAATTGCCTGGTGCACTTGTTTCTTACTGCTTAGATTCCCAGTTTGGCACTACTGTGAGAAATGCCTGGAAGGTGTACTGCACCACGAGAGAAAAGTGGTACCTGTTCTTTACGAAGACCGCTGCTGAGAAGGAAAAGTGGCTACAGGCATTCCAAGCCGAAAGGGAAAGGGTTCGCGATGACAGAGAGCAAGGTAAGACGATGGTTTTGATGCCATAATGTGTCATTATATGTAGAATCACTTATCTTCCTCCTTCTGTATAAGTTAGATGTTCTGCTATCTGTAAATATATTGCTGTATACCATAAAGATGAATATTATGTCATTTCTTTCCTTTTCTTTTTCTGAAAGTTTTCTTTCATACTGGTGCCCCTTTTCTCCAGCTAAATATGGCAACATAAATTTAACGTTCTTTCAGTAGCACATCTGATTAGAGCGTGGTATTGAAGTTGCATCTGATAATGCAACTGTGGAGTTTTTCCGCGCACATGAATGCTTGTAGAATAGCATGTATTAGATCAGTGGTTCTCAAATGAAGGTCCGCTAAGCTATTTCTATGATCCGCGAAAGCCTAACTTTTCTTTAAGCGTGACAGTTCCACGTATTGATGAACTGTCCAAAATGAAGCGATGTGGCACGTTTATTGATGTTTACGGTAGCAATAAAAGGCCCCTGTTGCATGCTCCGGTTGTGTTAATTTACCTACCTACCCCCCTCCCCTCCGCTGCAAAGGGTCCCCCATCATTTCCACCAGTTCGCAATGGGTCCCTGACACATCCATGGCTGAGAACCACTGTATTAGATTATAATTTGGCGGTAAAATCTGCATGCTCTAGAGCTTTCTTACACCGTGGTCGAGAGAACAATAATTTTTAAAATCATCAGCAATGCTAATGTACAAAAGGCCTGTGCTGATCAGTAATGGGCATCATTTTTTTCGTTTTAAGGCTATGTTGTGACTGAGAGTGCAAAGAAGTCTGCAAAGATGGCGCTAAACAACAAGCTGAAGCCAAAACGTCCAAGAGGTATGTATAGCCCCCCCCCCCCCCTTTTTTTTTTTTACTCAGGTGGGGTGCTCAAGTGTTTTTCACCTTGAAGCAGAGAAGCACTCTGTGCCACATAGCTGAAGATATTCAATTTGAGTTGGTCTAACTAAACGTTTGCCTCAGTTTATGCAGTTGGTAATGAGTTAACTTTGTGCTTCCAGGTAAGAGCCTGGCTCACCCATTGTGCACTACTGACCAAATCAGTCAATCAATCAATCAATTGGTCAGTCAGTTAGCCTGTCAATCAATGTCACTTTTTCTCACTTCAAGATGGAGAAGCAGAGAAACTAAAGCTTAAATGACCTTGAGAAGTTTCTGAGCTCTGCGCAGTTCAGTACCATAGTGCGAGGAAATAGTTTTATTCATTGCTTTATGGAAGCTTGCACAAACAAATGAGTGAAGGTGTGTAAATTCACACACATATACTGCAACTTGGTACAAAAGAGCAAAGCAAAACTTAAATCAACGGAAGCAATGCTACATGACCGAAGCGTTCATCCACTTGTGAAGTTTCCACGCATTTTTACATCCAATCTCCCCTTCTGCAGAGCTCATTTGCAATATTCTGTGATCATGCACATCATGTTAACCGCTGGTCTACCATTTGCTACCTAGAGCAGCTGCCTTGGGAAGGCATAGGTCTCGGTTAGATCCCCGGACCAGCGCAAATTTTTTGGCAACTCGGCAGCTTCTTTTTCTATTCTGAGAAATTTGTGTGAATTTTCTCGTGACTTCGGGCTATGGATGGAGTGTTGTCAATTTATATTTATTTTCTTCTTCTTGTCTTGTTTTGCAGCAAAACTTCCGAAAGGACCCAGGTCTCAGCATCCCGACGTTGCAGTCGTGGAGATCCTTCTCGACCCACCTGGCCCAAAGCCCCGCACTGGCAGCTTGCCGTCAACTCTGCACACCAGCCACCACACTGTTTCAGCTAATGGCTTGCCAAAAAAGAAGGGCTCGGGGTGGTTTCATTTTGGCAGCGGCAAGAAAGTGAAAAAGTAGATGGCGCTTGAACCTTTACTAGAACGCTCTTAACGCTTTATGAATACAAATCGAATATACCTAAATATAGAGTGAAATACGTGGGTTTAGGTGCTGATGTAGGTTAATATTTGCAATTGTGCTCCAGAAGTGGAGAATGATTTGAAAAGTATGCCTGAACAAGAACGGCATTTCTCGACCATAACTGACAAAAGTTTGTCGAACACCATGGAAGTTGTATCACTAGTAAACATTTCTTGCAATCTCGACCCCACTAATTAATGATTGCTAACTGCACTGACAGGGTTCCACATCTGGAACCTACTAGCTTGTTATATATTTATTGAGTTTTATTTATTATTTTATTTATGACAGGTTACAGGCTCTACGCCCAAATACTGATTGGAAACACCAGACACGTTATAAAGCTGCGTATACGTATAGTTCAAACATACATGCAACGGTCTTTGGCAATTCACAGTAACACCGCTTTTATATGCAATGTAAGGGCCGATGTACCCCAGAAATTCGGCACCCTTAATAATAAGTCTAGTTGTCTTAAAAAAGAAGTCATTGATGCAGTTCAGCTATTACTAAGCTTCAAATTTGTTTATGAAATTCTTACAACCATGCAGATACAAGGCTATTAGTTTTTCGCATGCACTTTCAGGTATATTAACGACTTGCTCATGTTCTTATCTCTTATTTTAAGTTTGGTGTTATTGGCTGTACAGTGCCATAAATCTGCTGGAATCCACATATATATCATGGCTAGTAGTTCTTTAGCAATGCCAAATGCTTGCACATTAGAGCACTCGTTGATTTCAATTGAATTGATGTACATCCGTGTTAATGTTAGCTGATCACTATGCATTGTGGAAAAGCTATTCAAAATTGTGAAAGAATAAAATAAATAAATGCAAAACCGATGTATTGATTACTTTAACAAACATGAATTGGGGGTGGCATTTTCTTCTCTGTGCTTGAAAGTAGTTTGGGTATTTTATTTTATGGCAGTCTTTGTGATAGGTGAACTACAGTGTTAATTATTGGCATCATTTCCATAATAACATGTGCAAAGAGCCAACTATTGAAAATGCTTATCAAGTCAGCCTACGTTTGAAACAAGCACAAGAAATTATTCGATTAATTTTATCATCGTATTTAGCAAATAATGCTAATGCTAAATAATGCTGACTTCATGCTCAACCAATATTGATGATATATGCCTAATGAGTCGGCACATAGAAAATATTGTTTGCCCTCTACATACCTAGGGTACAAGAAATAAGTTTGGCGTTCGAATTATCATTGCTTGTGACACTAAATGAAATGACACTTTATAGCCAGCAATGTTGTGGCACATGTTGAACGTTCAGAATTCAGCTTTGAGCACCTTGTGATTTGTTATGGATGTTGCCTATGTTGGTTACTATTTATCTGGCACCAATTCCATATTCTTCTGCTTCGCAGGCAGTTTACTGTCAGTGATACCTTCTTTTACTGGCAGACTGAACAATGGGCAATCTGTGTCTAAGTGGGAAAAAAAGCATTGAGATACGGAAATGCTGAAAGAAACAGCATTTGTTGATTGTGCACCTAATCACTGCATGACTGCTTAACGTTGCTGCTTGCATAATCCACATTCTTTACCGCATCATTGTGTTCACAGTGTGTGCTTGCTGAATGTTGTTTGATATTCGATTTGTATTCAAAATCTCCACGGTACTTACTGCTCACCCCTGCCAAAAGTGATGCCCACTTTTCCTGTCATGCCATCTATTATGTGCACCATTCCATCCAGTGCTTGTGGTGCATTGGACACCACTGCAACTTCTTATTTATAATTGCTTTTCATTCTTGTTTTCTAAAGAGGTCAGAGTGACTTGCACCTATATTGTTATTTGCCCTTCTAATTGCACGCTTTTGTGCTGTGGTTTAAGTCTGTGGCATATTTATATTACGATCAAACTATGCAGATCTGTTCGGCCAGTGACCACAGTGTCTTCATGAATAAGAAGAAAGATCACTGGTCGCAGTGTCCTAACCTTGCAGACACTCTGCGTTCTGCCGTAAATGCGAGTGTTGTATATTTATGGCAACTTTTGCGATAATCATTTTCAACAGTTCAATCCTGCCAATCTGGGTATTGCGAGTGAACTGCAGGAAGTGTGACTTGGCAGCGGCCCGTCTGCCTCGCAGATTGCTGTCACCTTGTTGCTCGGCGACAACTTGAAAAGGACCTCAAAAATGTAGAGATTTGCGCGATTGGAGTAATGGTGATGTAAAAAAATGCCTGCTTACACAGGATTAATTGTAATAGTCGGAGGACTCGTATTAGTCAAGCTGCTGCCCCCTTTGGCAGCGTTCCGCGCAGCTTTGCTCGATCAGTCGTTGCCGTAGATCTTTACCGCCTGTCTGCCGTGCCCTCTGCGCTGTTCAATCGCAGGTATATGACCTTGTATACTTTGCCACGATTGTCGCTTGGGAGGCAGTAACCCCATCGCAGCTTTGGTGCATATGTATACCAAGACTAACAAGTGTTCACTTCTTCGCGCACACATTTTTTGAGACATTATGAATGCTCTTTATTAAACGGTGCTGCTGCTCACATTGCTCTTATCTGATCTGTCAATCTTGCTGTTTGTTGTGTGCATCGTGTTGGAAAAACACAACACGGTGCACACCCTTTCGAAAATTGAGGTGTGTTGCAAGGCAGTGCTTGGCATTTCACCCCTCTGGTGTGTTTTATTGCTTGCTTTGCACTGACTTGCCTTGCGAGCACTCTATGCATTGGCCTGCGTTGTGTGAAAGTGCTAGCAGAAATTTAGCTCCCTAGAATGAATGAACTGTGTGTATGACCGTATTCACGGACTCTCGTGCTAATAGTGATAGTTTGTTATGCATGCCCCAGCTGTCATGCCCATTTTCCCCAGTTTATCTTGCATAGTGGCTCCTTCTCGTTGTTTATTGATTTTTATGTACATAACAGCTGGTGTGGCAAATCTTGAACGATCTTGTATAACGGCCTAGTCTAGATGAAACAGCCAAGACAAATGCATCTTGTTTATTACGTAAAAAATGTGAACATACACACTCTCAGGCTTCTTATTTGTTTCATACTGATCGCAGATGTATTGCAGAAATAGAAAGGCATTGTTGTCGCTGGTGTAGTGAAAGTCTGAGACGTTTTTATGTACAGGTTACAACTCGCGGACGGGTTTTCACACACTGTGTTGTTGTCACATCCAGATGTTGTCTATAGGTGGTTGTAAAGAGTTTTTCCCGCCATATATGTATATGTCATGTTACCTTATCGAGACAATGACTTTCGTGGCATCGTGGTGGGATGAAGCACTTGCCCATCCTATTTTTTTTTAAGGAGCGTTGCCAATTTAGACCAATCTCATGGAATGTTAACAGTGGGTCTGCACCTGTTCAGATGTGTTCTTACTTTCTCCGAATGGCACAATCTCTCATGTGTATAATGTCTTCCAGCGATGGGCACATGGGGTAGCCCCAGAACAGCTAGTCTACGGCAGGAGGGGGAACGGGACATTGGGGTGCCTGAGTCACGACACAGCGCAGATGTCCCTCCATTCTGTCAGACTCTGTGTGTGTGTGCGTGTGTGTATAATTTGAGCCTTTTGTAAAATATGTCTGCCTGTATATTTTAAATGTGTACATACTTTTATATGTTTCCACCATCTTTAGAATGTTGCAGAGTGTTTATGCATGAAATAAATATATGTTTACATTTATGCATCTCGTTCGGTTCATTTATGTCCTTAAGTTTATTTTTTTACTGATGTTGTAACTTTGTAGCCTTACTTACTGTCTGCACATTTGCAACAGAAACTTTATGCCCAGTGCAGGGTAAATTGGTTTCAGCCTGATGTCTCTTGCTGGAAAAGTTCTTCACACGAGAGCTGAGGAGAAATCAGCTGACCATTCTTGAACATAATACTCGGGCATGGGCGTGAACAAGGGGGAGGGGGGCAAAGGGGGCAGTTTCCGCATTGCCTGAACTATTTTGCAGGTGAAACTCCTGTTACAACAGCCGTCCGTAGGCTTCCAAATAACATCACACAATATACAAAATTTACATGCTCCGACGGAGACATTTCAGTTGGCGGCTCCTTGCAGTGCATTGCCGCAATTACAGGAAAAAAATATATGGACCATCTTTCCAAAAAAAACCCCGATGGAATGTGAAGCAGCAGTGGTGCCCACTGCGTTGACACCGTTGCAACGGGCGTCAATTCGAGTTAAGATTGGGATAATAAATGAAATCTCGATGGTTCAGATTGCCACGACGACATGTTGAAAGACTGGACAGGCCCGGTTGCTCACTTCCTGACAACCCTCTGTTTATTTTGACACTTATTTACAAACAAACGCCGGGGCGGCCACTAAACCGACTGCACAGTAGGCACTGGGCTGTATTAACGTCGGCGTTACTTGCCGAGCTCTTCGTATACTCCACACATCGACACCAACTTCTCCATGTAGTATCAACCTTGGATGAGAGTCTGCACTAAACACGACCTCTGTCCCCGCTTCCCGATCTCGTTCTCGAGCACCAAGTTCCCTTCTCATCATTTCTCTTTATTAAATACTTCCCGTCTCATATGAGACTGCCTCGTGGGACGAACCCCTTCTCGATGCTTCACCAATGCAGTAAACAGCTCCCCTTTCCTCAGAGACGGCTCTCCGCCTCTACGTTCCCACACTTTGCTATCCTACAAAAATCGGCTAAGAAGAACTCCGTCATTTTATCTACGTACTAGTTAAAAGATACTTTCGTGCAACAACAAGCCTGTCTAGACGGCCGGTCGGCTCTCTGGAGTTAGTAGACACGATTCTGCTGTCTATCCGCACGTATTGTTACAGCATGGCGCCACATTATCTTGTCGGCTATTTCTCAGTCTCGCTCACCGTGAGATGGCTATCGCCGTGCGGGTGACTCCCCAGCACAAGGTGCGGTGAACAAAGGCTCACGGGGTTTGACGACAAAGATGCGTTCCGGGGAGAACGGCTTAGTCCGCATCTGGGCAGCCTCTTTTCATTAACTTCCCTTTTCGTCTTACACCGTTTACCAACTGGCCATTCTTCGCACTCCCCAAACATAACTCCTTCCAATGCAATAATGTTGTATATACGCTTGTTATACATACAACTTCAAGAATCGTATCACAGAACACCTTTATACTGCCATTTACCTATATGCTATCACCTATATAGTACTACCATTTGACCTTATGGGGAGAGGGGGGTCACACTAGGCGCGCTGCTGACGCTTCGAGTTGCACATAAATATCATACAAAAATAACCAAAACAACAAAAATATGTTACAGGGGATTCACTGAACGTCATTACATCATTACAAAGCACTATCACACAAATGTCCCTTCCGAAATGTTTGTGGTGACCCAAACGCACAAAGTCACGCAAAATATCACGAGCAGAGCCACCGACACGAAATTTTAAAAAAATGAAGAGAAACGCACTCAAGTAGCCACACCTGCGCACTTGTCGGATCGTAACTCGCAGGTTAAGCCCTGTCTCGTACATTCCTTGGTGCATCATGGCAATTATTGAACATTCAGACATCATGCTCTTGCTACCTGCCTAAATCTTACAAACTTCTATAGTACTACTTCAAAACATGACCATTTTATAGTAGTAGTAAAAAAACGAAAAAAAAAAAACCTTCCACCCATCTTCCTCAGCTTACTCTACTGATCCCCGCTGTGCAATCGCGACAAGGTATTGGTGCACTTATTAAGACGTCCCTTTATGTGACAAAAAAAAAAAAATTACTTCTGTAATGCCAAAGCCTAGCGGGTCAGGCGAGCACCAATCCATATGGAGCGGGTCAGGTACGCGAGCGGGTTACGTGCCGTTACTACTTTAATTCTGGCACCAACTGGCCGCATATGCGACAGGCTGAGTGCCCACACGACGGTAAACACCGCTCTTTTACTTGCCAACTCATCTAGTTGCTGAAGACTGATATTATTTCTGAGAAAGATGATTGGTCTCTCTTCTTCGTTCATCCCTTGAGCACAGGGGCGGCGCCAGGATGTTTTTACTGGGGGGGGGGGGGGGGGGGGCAACCACGAAAAGTGAGTTCCTCCGGGGGGGGGGGGGGGGGCAAGCTAGCTCTGCTCCTACTAGGTTTTCAATATATGCTTCCGGGCACTTGGGTGGGCATAGGGGGGGGCAGGCGAGAATTTTGGGAGGGCTCCAGTCGACCCTTGCCCCCCCTCCCCCCCCTGGCGCCGCCCCTGCTTGAGCAACACGAGCCCCTATTCGCCTTTTTAAGGCATCTGTTACTAATGCTATGTCAATTCTCAGATGCGGGGCGCTTGTCTTAAATACTGCCTTCAGAGCCAGCGTAACAGCATTGAAATAATTTTTACCCTTTAAGCTCCCTAAAAAATATAGGTACTAAGTGGTTCGTAAGGTTCGTAAATGGGATTATTAGCTTTGAGTGTCTGTTTTAGGTAATATTTTACATGTGCCATCACATTGTGCAGGTCTCTCTTAGCCCGCGGAGTGTTAAGTTGCGCAGCCGCACTTAACCTTCGGAGCTTAGGATAGTGACAATTGTCAACAATGTATCCGGGGTAGCTCATCTGCGTTTGTGGGACCGAACATCTTTCCAGGTTCATCGTAAGGCCCATTTACACCATAAAACGCAAAACCAAAGTTAGTGTGAGCCAAAAATATGCTCTCTGAATGCACTTGCTTGTTTTCTGTCATATGAACATTCCCTGCTCGCTGTACAGTTCGTGCTCGCATGTCATCCGCAGTGAGCTTTATTTTCGTAATTTCCTCACGCACTACTCATCCCCGGTCTCACTGCCTGATGCCTTTACTTGCATTGCAGCCTCGGCAAATGAAACCTTTGTATTTGGCCGCTCTGGCATCTCATCTGCTTTCATTTCATGTTCACGATCAACTGGCTCAACGATAATAACTTGCTCCGTTCTTACTATATGAACCGCCAATTATGCCGACCTTGCTTGAATAAGCTTGAGTTTCTCCAAAGTGCTTGGCGTTAGTAGGGCATCTACTCCTGCAAGTCTATTTGTGATCGCACACAGTTCAATCAGCTCAGGGGCAGCACCTCTTTCAGAAGTGTTCAGCCCCAGTGGGACGTACATCAGGCCAGGCTGAACAGCATGCCCAAATGCTCCTCGCTGGCATACTTTTCCTATTCGCTGGTGTTTTACTACAGCGGGAATCAGCTCCTCTCTGAGGATGGTTATGCCAGATCCTGAATCTAGACACGCCTTAAATGTGCTCCCCCGCTTACTAATTCAACCAATGTTAACCTTGACGTACTAATCATGTCCGTGACAGAAACTTTGCCTCCTGTTATAGGTTCGCACACATGGGCTCAATTGAGTTATCTGCAATCAATTCATTGGTTCCTGTGTATAATACTCTTTCAATTAATTTAATGACATGCGAAGTTACAACAGTAGGTCTTAAGTTATCAGCATGCATACCTACTCCTTCTTTTTTAAACAAGGGAATTATTTTTGATGCTCTCCAGTCTGGAGGATTCCGAGTCAGTGGTTGATGAGATTGAGGAGCTCCACCAAACAAAATTTTTAGCATGCCTGCCGTAACACCATCGATGCCTGGAGCTGAATTCGGAAGAAGTCGACTTGCACGTGCAAGTTCTGTAGTTACGCTAACGAAATCGTTTACATAGAAATGTCTGCGGAATACTGTTTGTAATTGAGAGGCAAATCGTTTTTTTTTTTTTAGTCCCAATGCAGTTTCATCGAATAGTCCGGCCATTTTTTTTTCAAGTTAGTACGACTTATTCTATATGTGTTGGGTTTAAGAATAACCTTGCGATAGCTAATCAATAAAAAAAACGCTTTTTATTGCCACTTTTTAATAGAAAAGTATATTGATTATCGTTATCGTTACCTTTCACATTTGCGTCTCTCATAATCATAGAGTGGTTTTGGGACGTTAAACCCCACATATCAATCAATCAACCTTTCACATTTGACGATGTGAAAGGTAATCTTTTAATGTGAAATCTTTGCATTGTGCAAGGTAATTCTTTTAATGCGATGGCGTTAAATAAATCTTTGCGCAGAAATTCCGGTGTCGGCATCGTTAGCCGTGTGCGAAAAAAAAAACATTTTGTCCGTGACCGAAATATTGAGAAAGATGCAAATAAAATAAATAATAAAGAGTTCCGAGTCTGCGTGAGGATCAAATCCGGGTCGTTTGCGTGGCAAGCAGCTGCTCTACAGCACAGCCACACGTCTGCTTGAAAATGCAGTTGAAGTAACTTCCTCCGCTTTGAAATGCAGTGAAAATAACTTTCATTGCTTGCAAACACTCGCGTCATGTATAAAGGGCTGTATACATGAGGCGTGTGTTTGCAAACAATAAAAGTCATGAAAAGCTATGAAACACAACATGTAACATTGCAGTGGCATTGCGTGATACAAGCGTACATTGTCATAGAGCGCCATACCATATGATTGTCATAACGACTTCCTCGTTTAAAGGGACCCTGCAACTCTTTTTGAGCATGGTCAGAAAATGCTGCCGAGTTGGTAGTAGAGGCTCCCGACAACACGTGAGCCAAGCATTATAGCGCAGTATGCGACCTGGAATTCACAATAAATTATCAAAGTCAGCTAAGTATTGCCCTCTTTTTTCTCGACAAATCACGCAATAAGCCCGAAAATCACTCGTAGTAAGCCCATCAGCCATTGACTGATTTGAACATGGCGCGCTAAGCCGTTATCACGAAGGTAGTTACAGAGGTCGCCGTGGGATGCCGTTACTTGTCCACGCGTGCGCGCGCGATCGCTTTAGGAAAACCACGTATTCAAAGAAAAAAAAAGAAATAAGTGCTCGAGGTCAGGACGTGAGTGTGACATTTTTTGTTTGCCCCTCCCATCCCTCCCTGCTTAGCTTCCAGCGCTTTCGTCGGGACGAGAGAATGCGATTGCAGCGTGTGACAATTTTTTGTAACTCCGCTCGTACTGGACGGATTCTTAAAAATTTTACGGCGTTGAACTTATGAGGCAATACGCCTTTCCTGTGAATCAATTCCATGGTTACTCAAAAAAATGTTTCAGGGCCCCTTTAAAGCCAGCCACCCATAACAAAAAGGCACACACGTTACTGCGGCGTCTTTTTATGTAGTGGGTGCGTAGCAAGTTTGAAAACATTTTACGCTCATAGCCGCTTGTAGTTTAAATGACGTGACTCATTACGCAGAATCCAGACATGTGCTATAAAGCTTCATTGACGCAAACAAGTCGCTTTCACCTTTATGGAGTTCATTGTAATAATCCGCAGTTTAATGTTCGCAAGATAACGTCATACAATAAAAAAGTATGCACTAAGTGCTTGAAGTATACGCACTAGGGACAGGATATCGCTCTCGCTCTCAACATGTCAATCATAGGCGTGCGCACGAGAGAAGCCGAGGGGAGGGGGGGGAGGAGGCGTATATAACAATTATTGGGGTTTAACGCCCCAAAACCACGATTTGATTATGAGAGACGCCATAGTGGAGGACTCCGGAAATTGCGACCACCTGGGGGTTCTTTAACGTGCACCTAAATCTACGTACAAGGTCCACAAGCATTTTCGCCTCCATGGAAAATGCGGCCGCTCCGGGCGGGATTCGATTTCGCGACTTGCATGTCAGCTGCCCCACCTATAAGAAGCGAGGACACAATGAGGGGAGAGAGGCCGCCCCTCCCTTAGACACATATAGGAGGACGGGGACTCAAAATATAAAAAGGGGTGGTGGTAGTGGTTAGAAGATGAGAAAATGCACCTAATTTCTGCAACCCGGTTGGGAGCACGGCGCTGTGCCTGCGACTAACATCTGCGACTTCTCTTGGCACTGAAGTAACTGAAGGGAAAGTTACGGGGACGAAGTTTTTGCACGTGGGCGCACCATCAGCGTCGTAGACGCTGCCTAGCGCTTGACGTACACGTAAAAAAGTGTGACTTTCTCGCGCGCCCCAAAACGCGAAGTCACAACGAATAAATTAAAATAAAAAATTGGCAGATCCCACGTACAGTGGGAATCGATTATATGCGAAGCACGAATGGTTGATATGTCCTTTTAAAATCAGCACAACGTTACGATGTGGAGGTGATGCCGTACATGACTTCCGTATCATGATTATCATGCTTGGATGTGTAGTTTACCTTCGTCATCTATTCCAGTCATGCGATACGAAATTTGGTATATGTGGAGTTAGCGAAACGCCCGCGAGCACGATATGAGCGTAGTATATGTAGTCATGTTCTTACGTGACACGCGTGTCAGGATTATCATGTTTGCACTAGTCACATATTCCATCATGAATTGACGTCACGTAACACCAAATTTAGTATATAACAGCCGCGAGCGCATCATGAAGGGCCCAATATACTACAATGTAGCGTTGACGCGCGCGCACGCTGAGCACAGCGACGCTGGATGGATGGATGGATGTGGCTGTACCCTTTAGATCGGGCGGCGGCTAACGCCACCTAGCCGTAATACTTAGTGAACTAACCATCATATTTATCTTTTTTTTTTCCTTTAAATATTGAGGTTGAGGATTCGTACTTTGCAGTGAAGGGTTTAATTTTCACTCGTGCCTTGACTTTAGCCACCAATCAGATAACCTCCTTCTAGTTAATTCTACCCGCTTAAAGTCTATTTTGCCCTCCCTGTCCCTAAACTCCAGTGCTTTGAAAAACTCTGCGCCATCATCCTGAACTATAGGGTGAAGCCCTTTACAGAACATTATCAAGTGTTAGCAAAACGCGAGCACTCTATCGCCAGGCGCGACCGGCGCAACCAGCGTCCGTCGGCGCGGCCCGACGGCAACCGGTGCGAAATGCGACATGCTGCATTTCGTGCCGATGCGTTACCCAGACAACACTGCGTCTCCCTCTTTTCGTGATGTTGCTACATGACACGCATCTCATGATTATCATGTTTGCACCAGTCACATACCTTCGTCATCCATACACTTACCTTAATACCATATATGGCATTTGTGACGCTAGCGAAACGTCCGCTAGCACATCATGAGCCTGGCATGTAGTCATGTTGTTACATGACACGCATGCCATGATTTTCATGTTAGGGTCTGTCGCTTGTGTTCGCCATGCGATCATGTGATACCATACCAGTTTTGCAACATGCCATGTGAACGAAACCACCGCAAGAGCTGCAGGACCAGGAAATGTAAATTATGACATTCATGACATACATGTAATAATTTTCATGTTATGACTAGTCAAATATGTTCTTCACACAGTCATGTTATACCATACCAAGTTTGGTATCGATACCGTTATCGAAACGGCGCGAGGAAAGCTAAAAGTCGCCAAAGTTCGCTAAGAAACGCTTCGCATTTAATACGAATATCTTACTCGTGTGAGCTGCGTCCTGTCACAAATAGCTTCACCATAGAAAATAAAGAAGGATGACGTCAATGGCGAAGTTGAAGCCATTGACAATGAATTATACATCTGACTGCTGGGATAGCTGTGGTAGTGTTACTTTGTAATAAAGTCAATTTTGCTGCAAGGGCAAAGCAATTGATTAGCGCAGTAGCAAAAAATAGAATTACTGTAACACAATTAATGTGGAAGACATAGGGGCAAAACTGCAAAACTAATAGTGAACATGAGCCCGCTAAGTATACGCAGACGTGCTGCGTTATGGGCCCACGTGTAGAGAGACATGATTAACCCGATAGCCATGAGCAATCGGACGCAAAACGAAGGTTGTAACAAGCGGTTCTCGTCAGTGCTCGCACGCAAACACACCATGCATGACCGCAACTAACACACATCGTACTTCCGTTCTGGTGCTTCAACAGGCCGGTAAGTTGTATGATATGCAATGCCACTGGCGTGTGCGCGAGAAATTACATCAGAGCAGGAAGAGGTACCACGCGCTTCAGCGCCAACATGCAATCAGCAGTGGGGTCTCGCTGATTGCTTCTGCTGAACCTCTACATACTGTAGAGCAATAGTGCTGATGGCAAAGGATGTTGACGCAGATATATTGATTGATTAATATGTGGGGTTTAACGTCCCAAAACCACCATATGATTATGAGAGACGCCGTAGTGGAGGGCTCCGGAAATTTCGACCACCTGGGGTTCTTTAACGTGCACGCAATCTGAGCATACGGGCCTACAACATTTCCGCCTCCATCGGAAATGCAGCCGCCGCAGCCGGGATTCGAACCCGCGACCTGCGGGTCAGCAGCCGAGTACCTTAGCCACTAGACCACCGCGGCGGGGCGCAGATATATTCGCTACGTTCATTCATCCTATGTGGCAGTAACGTGGCCGAAAAGGGGTGCACCCCCCCCTCTGAAATTTTCAACACACACACACACACACAAACTAAATTATATCATCATCCCCAAGTGACGGAACATTGTTTAGTTCTGGAAATAAAGGCTTGCGCAAGCCATGCAGAATCACGAGGCCACGTACGCGCTCACACGTGTACAAGTCAAGTGAGACTGTAAATACGTGCATTATGTGTGATATTTTGCCGTATTACTTTGACGGTGCCAAATATCTAAAATTACTGAAAGCTCACTTCATCCAGTGGATGAATTATGCGATGATTGACCATCGAACTCTGTTGTAGAGTGTGCAGTGCATTTACGACATTTGGGTCAGTTCATGCACTGTGTGTGGAGTTCCTGCATGACAGCGACATCTCCTCTGGCTCTGGCAGCATTCAGCCGCTTCTGGATCGCAAATCGCGCAGCACAGGATCCGTCCGCATGCATTGGTACGTACGTTGCATGGCCGGTATGCAAACTGGGCAAGAGATCCCAACGAGCGCCTTGTGGAACGGCGTACGCCAGACTGGCTTTGTCTTTTCCACAGTAGTTTATTCTAATTGTTGAGTAACTAACAGTCTCGCGGGTGAGAAAACGTACCATGTGAATCGCGCAGAATTTGGCGTGCACGTGTCTCCGGAGAGAGAAAGCAACAGCTGTCGCGAGTGTAGAAATTACTGACAACTCCTCGGAGAGGCCACGAGGCTTTGTTTTTTATGCTGCTTTCGGTGAAGTTCGCGTCCCAGGAAGGCCGCGCGTTGTTCTAAATTTGGACGCCTCCTCTCATGGTTAGCTTGCCATGCTGTCCGCCTGAACTGGAACAGCGAGGCACCCCGTGCGGCCAAACGAACAGATACAGGTCATGTGACCTTAAAAATCGTCTGCATTGAACTAGGCCTAAAATTCCTGCACAGCAGTACGTAAGGCTCACGATAACAGCGTGTCACCTCGCAAAATTCTTCATGTAATTCTAACCGGAATCGTAGGTGAGGAATATCGATTTATTTAGCGCCGATATGTACGTACCCGCTTCTTACAACGCTGCCGTGTTGCGTTGTATTGTCCAAGCTCCACAGGAGTGAGCGGAATAGCGTAGCAACCGATCACGAAAGCCGAGGACTGTGGATATAAATGGCCTCAAACTCGCATATCATTATCGGTGGTGATGTCCGTGCGTTAATATCGGGCCGTCATCTTCATAATCTGTGGTGGTACCGGAAGCTCGAAGAAACTGCTGACCAGTTGTTTTCTTGGAGGTAGTTGGATTGCGACCGTCTGTGAAATAGTGTGTGATATCTTCAGACTCCGGAGTCCCCTAGCGTCGCAGAAACTACTATCTTAAGTTATCCGGTGAGTACGCATCGTAGCACGAAGTGATCCAGGCCCAAGCTTACCTGGTCAAATACGAACTCGGAAACTTTACCGACCGTGTACGCGTGAGTTCGAGCAGTCTTTCATTTGAATATAAATGTATCCGCAAGGAAGCTGTAACAATTTTACTGCAAAACAGTTTTATGTGTGTTTGTTAAGTGCGGTAATCGACTAATTACTGCTGCACGCTTTTCTAAATATGACAAGACATTTATTTTGTGTCTGTGTATGGTGTTACTTCATCTCTCGTACGACTGTGCTTGGGGGCATTATTGAAGCAGGACTGTCGAGTTAGAAATAGGAAAAGAAATGCGAAAATAATGATCGGGATGTGACACTTGCGGCCGCTGCGGCTCCTCGCGTATCGAATTGCTGCACTGTCCGTGGCTTTGAGACGTTTCAAGCCGTTATATAATGACACACTCGCGCAGTTAACGTGAAGTTGAGACATTCAGGGGTTGTTCCAATAGCTTCGCACTCGCCTTAGAAGCTGTTGCATAACGAGAGTCACGCTGTCTTACTTATCATTACTTGGTTTGGCTCGAATAACGATAACGTGGAAAGGCTACAATAAATTTTGAATTTTCTGCTCACGCTGCTGTTCTTTTGAGACACATTCATTAATTGTTAAGAGACGATGTTCCTAAGGTGTGTACTGTTTGGGCTCAACATATACTTTCAAAGCAATCCTTAAGCTTGCCACTAAAGCTTATGCAGAGGATATAAGTGTAGTAGTACACAGCGCTGTGTTGGATGAGTGCAATACAACACTGCATAAGTTTACAGGGCGCAGCTAGAACTTTCAGGTGCCTATTTCTACCGCAAATTGTTGTGGCAGTGGTACTGATTCAATTCCAGCTGGTCAATGCCTTATTTACACAACATTCACCACAAAATGTGCCTCGTGCCAAGATCTGTATCCCAGGCATTGCATGACATATCAAATCCTGCTGGAAGAAATGATGACCAATAAATGTATCAAAATATATCACCACTTTATACACCAAAAATGTGTGAGAGGAAGTGAAATGCCATATTTGCATGTTTAAACTTTTTGTCCTATTTTTTCTCTTATTCCCTTTTGTGCGAATAACTTGAACCACTGCAAAAAAAAAAAAACCAACAACAGGATAGCGAATGAACATACACAACAGCATCAGTGCTGATCAGCTCTGGTTGTGTTGTATGCTTTCTTTCGTTGTCCTCGTTTTGTCATGCCGCTTCAAGTTATTCGTATGATGAACCTTGTCGACAAATCTTTAAAATTCTTGCTACTTCACTTTAGTTTGCGTTCCATTTCTTTTGGTTCTTCATGTCATCTTTACTTCCTTTCCGCCACTCCTTGAAATTCTTGCTACTTTACTTTTGTTTGCGTTCTATGTCTTTTGGTTCTTCATGTCATCTTTACTTCCTTCCCGCCAGTCCTTGTCTTGTATATATATTCCCTCCTTTCTAAGAATTGAGCTGGAATTGTGCCTCTCTCGATGCTATTTGTGTTCCTGCCTCCCTGCTTCCTCTTTGCCGTTTGTGTGTCAAATATTAATAGTCACTCAAACATTTTTCACAGGCATAATCCATTATGGCGGCCGAGTCTGGAGGGAGTGTCTTCTTTGAGGATTCCAATGACACCCGAGAATGCTCTAGCGTAGTGGACCAGCTGACCGATTCCACTAGGGTCGAATCGTCGACAAATCTGGCCACACTGGCTCCCTCGCAGGTCGAGAGCGGCAGCTTCGACTTGTCTACAAACCAGCAAACGTTGCCGACGAGCGAGGAGTTTGCCGAAGATGAGCGCTCGAACAATGACAGTGCATCGTGGCAGGATGGTGACACTGATCTAGCGACGGAGTGTGCGAGCTCGGAGTTCTCGTGTCCTCCATTCTTGGAAGTGGACTTCTCAGATCTGCAGTTCTATGAACGATGCGGAGGTGGTGCTTTCGGGAGTGTTTACCGTGCTAAGTGGAAGTCTCAGAACCTACAAGTGGCAGTGAAGAAGCTTTTAGTCCTGGAAAAGGAGGTAAGTTCCACAAATGATGCTGCTTTTGAAAAAGAAGGCAGAAGTTTGGGGGAAGTTGAAAGCTTCAAGAGAGGAAAAGTTCTTGAACATGGTTTGTATCTGGAGGCAGTGTTTCAATAAGCAGACTTGTCTCCTTTGAGATGGCAGCTGCATGCTTGAAGAAGACAAGTCCTTTTGCTAAAACCATGCCTCCAGCAACATCCCATATTCACGGATTTTTCATGCTTTATGAAAGATGGTACAACTGCAAATTCAGAAGTTCATGCTTACCAAACTCAATTTTACATAAACAGACACTTGTGCCACACGTTATTCTTTACCCTGGCGAGTGGCACGGTGTGCCAAAGTGTAATGTCATTAAGATAACACACAGGAACAGAAACACTCACATTAGTGATAGTGTGCCGGCACTATGGGGATGAGGACATATGGCAGGCATATATTGAGCATGCACTGTGTTGATGCTGTCAACGAGTATGCATATATTCATATCAATGTCTCAGTTACACAAAGGTCTATTCATTTTGATATACATTAAAAAAACGTGGTTCATTATGGCAAAACACTGTGAATGATTAGACAGTGCACGAAAGTGTAGGACTTGGCCCGCCCAGCATGTTCTCACATTGTCCTATTATTTGTGCTGTTTTGCCACAATGTATGTGAGCCAGCTAACCCAGCGAATAGCTCTTGTACAATGAAGTGTTTAGCAAGATAATCAAAATGGCATGAATATCTTTTTGCAGTCGTCTCATCACTACCAAAATGCTACCCATCATTTCTCTGTAGCATTACAGCTGTGCTAATGTTTTGACTTTGGCGTTTCGGCTCATTTTCAGGCGCAAGTTCTAAGTGTGCTGAGCCACCGGAACATCATCACGTTTTACGGGGCGGCCACTAAGGCGCCGAATTTCTGTATTATCACAGGTGAGTACTGCTTCCTTAGAAAGCCAGAAAATAACATTACATATTTATTCTCGTTTGTTACATTGTTACATAGTGACAATATTTTTTGTAGCAGCAACGATCGCTGAAATGAATTACTTCATGCGAAGATACATGAGCACCTCTTTAGAAGCAGGAAAAGGCAGCACACAGACTAAAGAATGATTTATCCAGGTTAAAGGGGCCTTGCAACTGTTTTTCAGCAGGAAACGCTGCTGATCGGCAGTCAATGCTTCTGAAAACACGTGAGCCAAACATCATAGCATAGCCCGTGTCCTTGGATGTACGACACCGTCTTTTGGAAATGTCTTTACACTGCCATACAAATCTCCTGTATACAGATCTCCTGTATACATATCTCCCCTGAGCAAGTGTGAGGCTCAGCAAATACTGTTAAGATATTTGAATTTGATATTAAAGTCAATTTTCCTGTGACACACCTACAGACATTGACACTAGCTTGACGACAGTCTACAGTACTACTTCAAGTGATTTCATGAGGCAGTCTGGCTAGTTGCAATGACGTCAAACACCAAAACTTCCAAAATGGCCACTTGTGCATCACCAAAACATTCACAATGGCTGTTTATTGTGTGTCACCAACGGATCTACGATCTGGAGCGGTGGAGGGAGCGGTGGAGAGCGGTGGAGGGAGGGTGCAGTAGGAACCGAAACTTTCTAAAGCACACTGTAATTACTTTTCTGGTGGAAACTCTAGCTTAGCAGTACATTTTCTTAGCTATTGAAAGTTTGGCCTAACATTTGGTGCAAAAACACAACTGTATATTTCCATGGCAGTGCCCGTTCAAGTCTCAAAGCCCGCCAGAAGTCATTTTCTCTTCTCATTACAAATAATGACATCAACCAAAATGATTGCAAACCCAAAGTCCATGGTCATCGGCTGGTTTGAGCATTGTGATCTATACAGTTACCACGGTTGCCATGGGATGTGACCATGTGCCCCCGTGCCCTAGGTACCCTACATGAACAGCTGGACATGCTGGCAGCCTCTCTATACTGTGCGCATGTGATCACATTGAAAGTAAGTTGTGCATTCGAAAAAGAAAAAAAAAAAGAACGGGCTCGAGGTCATTATGCGCACTCAGGAACGGGTATATCTTTTTGTCCCTGCTTAGCTCACAGTGTTCTCGCTGGTATGAAAGGAGAGCGCATGCGACCATTCCCTGTAACTTCACTTGTACCTTACAGTTGTTGTAAATTTTTGCGACATCAGTAGATTCATGAGATTATAAACCCCTTGAATGGAGCCATTCGATTATCACTTGAAAAAGTGTTGCGGGGCCCCCCTAAAGTAAACAGCAGAACATGTTAATATGATGGTGAGCCGAGGACATGCTCATATGAACTAACCATCGCCTCAGCGGTGTCCGAGCCACATGCATGCACACTTCCCACGTCAGTCGGCAGCAGATTTCCCTTGAGCAGTCCTGATTTTTTTTTCCTCGTACAGTGGTAACCGCTGGGCTTTCCTTGACGTGGGCTTTATGTGTCGAGTACTTTACTAGCCCTGCAGTGCTACATATGCTCACTGCATCATCATACAGTGCTAGCTCTATAATAGCTTGTGTTGGCAGCTGACGTGACACCAGTGATTCTCACAGACTTCACTAGTCTATTAGTTTATCAAATTTTGTATACATTATTGCTCAATAAAACTGTACCTTGATTATTAAGGCTGCTGTAATCAGTAGTTTGGATTACATATTAGAACTAGTGAGTACTACATGCATTAGAAGTCATGCTTACTATTGTTTTCTTTTCTTTCCTCTCTCTCTTTTTTTTTCGGCTTCAAGATGGGAGTCAGCTTTGGCACTGGCTATACAAATTGCACGTAAATAGCATAAATTCTTTTGTGAGACAAGTCTCGACTCGTTTCAGTTGATCTAATTGTATTTGAGAGATGAGTAAGTTGCAGTGGCTTTAGGAAGTAAAATTTTAATTTAAGATCTGTATTCTCTTGCAGAGTTTTCAGAAAATTTGTGAAGTTAAAGAATGATAGAGTCATGAAGTTTAGAAATGTATGACGCTGTGCCAAAAACAGATGCTGCTGTTCTGTAAACTCCATTTGTTACGTCGTCTAAAGTGGACAAGTCTGCAGTTTAGTGTACAAGTCTGCAGTTTCTGCAAACTTGCTACCTTGTTTAAAAGGGTTTCACACTTATTTATAATTCATGTATTTCAAGACGTCAGGGCGCTGTATTGCACATCAATTTTGTCAGCCTTAGATGTATGTGTTATTAGTCTCAACTTATGGAGTTGTCATACCATTTTTTTTTATCACATAGTTAAAAAGCTGTAAACTCAGTTGTTTTGTTTTGTGACATTTCAAAATTTTAAACAATTTTTACTAGTGGCCTAAATGTGGTAAACCTCACCAGAGTCAGCATAGTAATTGCCAATGGAAAGTTTTTTTGTTTATATATATATATAATATGTGGGCTGCATGCTTTATTGTCCTTTTCCTCATCTGCTTTGTTTTTCTTGTTTTAGAAAATTTTGTCCATTGTCATAAACAAATAAATACACAAACTCAGGCTAGTTATGGTGCTCTAGCAATACTCTACGTCAGTAGCGCTTGATGTTTCAGCTCATGAAGTCAAGAATCATATCCGAGTGGCCATACAGGAATAAATACCACTGTTCGCAGCTTTTCGAAACGTTCTCTGCGGGCAGGTAATTTACCTTTTGGAAACGCTGGACTGTGGCCACTGCAGTTGGGAAACAGAAGGCTAAGGCGCAGGTGGCTTGCGAATAGCACACCTTGAGCTCTAGTTTCGTACATCATTTGCCTATTTTGTATTTTCAGAGTATGCGGAACACGGCTCCCTGTATGCTTTTCTGGCCATGCAGGAAAACGACTCCATGCTGAGCTTTGGTCAGATTCTCCTCTGGGGCATTCAAATTGCTGCCGGTAAGTGTCGAGGTTACTTGACAGTCTCACGAAATGAAAAAAAAAAAAAATGGTTGAGATGCCGTTCTCACGCAGGGTTTGTGTTGCTAGGGTGTGCAGCACAACATGGTAACATGACAAGAGAAGAAGGGATAGTCACTGTACTCTTTATCTCCAGTTTGTGCTACGCACCCTTGAACATTATAGATACATTGTGGTGCATCATAGAACATCATTATAGAAATATTACAGAATATCAACTAGCCCAATGTTCCAACCTTCTAACTAAGATCCAAGGGTCTGTTTTTTTGTTCTTGCTTATGCTTATGCTTCTCCTTGTGTGTTTGTTTAAGAAAAATATTCATTTTCCATTTGCCGACTGTTACAGGTATGCACTATCTGCATGAAGAAGCACCCATTAAAGTCATCCATAGAGACCTGAAATCTAAGAATGGTAAGCTCACTTATCTTGCTCTTTCTGAGTGAGAGTTCTCTCAAATTCATATTTCCAGTTAGGTGTGTAGTAGTGGGTATTCGCTTTCATGCATGCAGCTGCTAGGCACACACGAGGACGAGCCAGCTCTGCCGCAGTCCATATTTGAGCGCTTTAAAACAAAGTCTTAATCGAAGACAAAAGATGGGAGGATCCATGTATACTATACATTTTTCTTTGATCAGAAGGACAGTCCAGAAACGAATTGAGGACTGTCATGGGAAATCTGATGTTGCTGGTTTTAATGGCTCACGACCGTGGGTCAGCTGCGAGCATAATTTAAGTGCACAACTTACGGTTAAAATTTGGTCTTGGTAGTAAAATATACAAAAGAAAGATTGTGAACTATTCAATGATGTCGCATGTGACCTGTTCACATTTGTTTTTGTTCTTTTCCGCAGTCGTTATAAGCTCAGACTACACATGCAAGGTAAGTTTTTTTTTCTCCTCAACAAAAATTGTCGCTTAGTCAAAGTACGTTGCACAAATGTAGTTCGCAAAAAGTTTCGTCACAAATAATATACTATTAGAAGTTTCAGAGATCTATGAGAATACTGCAGTAAAGACATAAAAGTTCCTTTTTTTAGCAATCTAACTAAAATGCTCAAATTCTTAAATAATTTTAATACAAGTCTTGTGATTATGTCACCTTATTAGTTTTCCCAAAATTGGTACTATTTTTGGATGGTGTTAGTGTACGAGCTTGTGAAGAAATACGGTTCTGTTGTTACATCTTCCCAGAAAGCATTTATGATTCTCTACAGAATAAAATTATGACCAACAGTGTGGCAGTTTTGTATACCTGAGAAGTAGTGTTTTCAATTGTCATCATGATTCACCATATTGTTGTTAGAATACTTCATTGCACATTCACTTCTTATAAAGTCTTTCCTGATTTTTAAGTTTTCTATTGCATAACATTGGGATATAAATGTCGTCGGTTAAAATAATTCTATTGGAGAGTTTGATTATTATGTATTAAAATGATATAGTAAAAGAAATAATGAATAAACAGTGTAAGCTCAAAGATTTGTCTGGTAATAATTTCACGTAAAGACATCTATTAATTTTTGTACATATTGCTACCTCTAATGGGTTGATGCTAGCACTTTTTCCTGTGATTTTATGTCTTTTTCTTGCCTTTAAAATGCAAGGAAAGCTCGCAGTATGGCTGAAAGTTTGAAATACTGCAAGACTGTGAAAACATTTTCATTTTTATTTTAATCAGATATGTGATTTTGGTGCTTCTCGTTTCCTGGGTGCTACAACGAGAATGTCACTGGCAGGCACGTTACCCTGGATGGCACCTGAGGTGTGTGCTTTTGTTCCGATTGTGCCACATCTTGGTGAAATTTGCTTGCGGTACTGAAATTGTGGTGTATGCTTTACGTGTATTAATTTTTGTCTAATATTTTATCTTGCTAATATTGTGAAGGACTCACTTCGGTAATAAATGTAGGCTGTGGCATTGTGTTACAGTACACAGGTTTGTGTGTTCTATTCCCTGGGTGGCCACATTGTGGTGGCGGTAGTATGAAAAAAAAAAAAAAAAACTTTTGAGTTGTGTGCTTTGGGTGCACATTAAAAGGCCACTCACCAGGCCCCATACTGAATTTTAGTTAGACAGTTGAAGTTGTTGGGTGTCTGATGAGGAACATTTTGCCACAAAAATTTTTCGGACCGGTTCATCACGAGCGGAGAAAACAGGTTTTTTTGAAGCGGCACGAAATGAAGATGGGAGGATACGAACTCGAAACCCTTGCCACTCCTTTGCGTAGCCTTCGCATGCCAGATATCTTCCCCACCCTCTCTAGCATCCGACCATGAGGTGACCTGCGCATGACGTGCCCAAGCAAGTCCTACCTCCGAGCACGCGAGCAGCGTTGCTTTGTTGACCAACGTTATTTTGTGGTCTTCTGCCTGTTTCTTCGGAATGGTTTAGAAACGCTGGCTTAGACGCGGTAGAGTAGATGAGCACAATGAGTGCGCGAACGCGTAGGAGCGTTCCACGATGGTTGTCTGCTCAATGCGCTGACCGCGAGGACACGAACGCATGCGAAACGCTGGCACATTAGCCGCACATCTCGTAGCATTTCATGGGAAAAAATGAAAGAAAAACGTGCACGCTTGTCAGCTCAAAATTGTCAAACCTGGTGAGTGGCCCTTTAAGAAATATAGAATGAGTCTGTACTTCTTCGCTACACCGCTCTTCACAATTAAAATTTTAACCTTGTTTGATGTTGAGATGGTATTGTGAAGTATCGATATTGACTGGCAAAGTGGTGGCTTGTGGGGGCTATAATGTGTAATATAACAAAGAAAGTTGAAAAAATCATACTGAGAGAAGTAGAATGGTAATTGATAAACGTATCATAAACATCTAGAAAAGTGAAACTGTTGAGTAGGTAGACTTGAGAAGGTAATGTTCAAAGTGAGATTAGAAAAATGAAGGGAGGTCATGTAATGTGAAAAACTGGTAACTGATGACCTGAGTAAATATCTGTATGAAGGGAGCAGAGGTCTGAATAGTGTGTCGAGGTTTTTCTCTGCATCAGACTTGTAAGATGTACTGCTAGTGTTGGTGATGATGATTTGACTTTCCCGACATTAGAAAAAAAAAAGTTTGTATACCAGTGGAGGCCACAAAAGAATGACTGTGAGCATTTAATGGTTGTAACAAAAGCCTCGATGACTGAAATATTTGTCCTGATATTTTGTTTTAGTTTCACTTGCTTTAAGTCATACCAACAAGTCCTTATTTTTTCTTTTCCACAAATTTTGTGCCGGCTTTCACTCTCGCTGTATGCTAAAGACATGCAGTCAACTCTCACCCAAGTAGCAAATGCAGACTGAATTCCATGTTTAGGCAGCTTGCTTCAGCTTTGAAAATGTATGTCCTTGAATTGCAGTGCTTTGCAAGCCTTTATTCTAATAAGTACACTCTTCGCTGTGAATAGGCGGGCAAGCAGATTGGTCAGGCTCTCTACCTACATGTTGTCAACGGCTGTCTCGCATATCATTGCAGGTGATTCAGTGCTTGCCATCTTCAGAGACATGTGATGTCTGGTCTTTTGGTGTGGTTCTCTGGGAGCTGCTCACCCACGAAGTTCCCTTCAAGGGCATAGAAGGGTTTCAGGTGGCTTGGGCTGTTGTTGAGAAGGAAGAGGTACGCCCGATTTTTCAATTGCCGTCACATGTTGCTGTCATCTTGCAAAAAGTGCTTTTAGAATGAGCTACTGAAAGTGCTAAACATGTAACCTTTCTTCACTAACCCTCTGCTTTCTTTCTTTCTTTTTTTTTCCCCTTTTGCTCAACGTTCTCACTGTGGCTTTTCAGAGACTCACCATTCCAAGCACCTGCCCCGCTGCGTTTGCAAACTTAATGACTGCTTGTTGGAAAACGGATCCCAAGGTAAGTGTTTGTTATGGTTCTGTGTTTTGCCACTGTCCTGCATACAATTGTTGAATTTTGTGCCACATTTAGGCCATTCATGTCTTCTCTTGACCAAACTGCAGAACGTCATATTTTTAATCAGTCACTTTGCAACGACAACTCCAGGAAATCATGCCAAGTACAGTTCATAAATAATTTTGGCACTAACAGAATAATTTATTAGGTCGATCAAGCTGCCTTATTTACTGTAATTGTGTCAATAGTGCACAATTTTTTTCGGGGTCTTATGGCACTGCTCTGAATGTCGTAGCAATCGTATAAAAGCTAAGAAGAGTGGTGTAAAACATTTGCATTGTTGAAGACGGGTGATAAAAGGTAAGCCTTATGGGCCGCTAAGAAGTTGTTGCTTTTCGCATGCACTGCTTGCAGGAACGGCCCCCATTTTCTACCATACTGCAACACTTAAATGCTATGAGTGAAGATGGTGAGTTCGTCAACAAATTGCTTTTTTTATTTTTTCTTTTATTGCTTGTAAAACTTGTTGGAGTGAAAAATTCTTGCTATGAGTTCTAAGTCATATCCTGAAGACTGTGCAAACTGAAATAAGCTCTCACAGCTTTTTTCACATTGATGTGTCGAGCTGTAAAGAGTGAACCAAACTACAATTTTTGACAATTGAAGCTTAAGGAACTTGTAAATGCTATCCACCATATTTGGCCGCGACTTGTTTCATTTGGATGATATTCAGAGGTGCCAAGCACCGCAAGTGTGTGACGCAAAAGATTCAAAACGGTGTTTGTGAGCAGCCTGAATGGCCGTGAGCCTTAAGAAAGGCGAGGTCGCCACCCACAATTTTACCACAATTGCATTGTTAGTGATAAGGCTTCGATGGCTGTGGCGAACTCGTTTCATTTTTTATTTCATTTGGAGTCTTGAGCTGCATTCACACTGTGAACATGTCGCTCGTTCATCATCTTTTGACCAAGCTGCAGAACATCATGTCACTTTGCAATGATCGAAATTTTGAGTTTTGTACTACTCTTATGTCAAATAAGTACTAGATTTATGTATTCATCGAGAAAATGAAAACCTATCAAAGTAATAGACACTTATTCATTATTTTCATGATACAGTAGACTCTGATTAAATGGAACCTGAAGGGACTAGGAAAATGCGTTTCGTTTAATAGGAGTTCCATTTACTGAGTTGAACGGGGGTGGAGAATCCAAGTATGAAACCAATCGTGTTGGAGGCAGTTGTTTCATTTAAGCAGCAGTTCTGTTTAATTTAACAGATTTCCAATTACTGAAAGTCTATAGTACTTTCGATAATTTGGTGTTTGGTTAATTTGGCAATTACTTGCTCACTCTATTTATCAATGTAATTGACACGAGTGGTATGTGTGGACATCCTAAGACAGAGAAAGTCATTGGTAGATGAAAATAACTTTATATTGCTGCTAAGTTAATTTTTATTTTTCTAGACTGGGATATTGGGTAATATGCTTGTAGAATGCTCAAAATATTTTATTGAAAAATCTTTTAATAGTCAAAATCTGCTTTTTGCTGTGCTTATATCAATAACATTTCCTTCTTATGATAATAAAACACAGTAAGTATATGTCATGATTTTCTTTATGCAGACATTTTGCGTGATAGTTTATGTCTTCTCCTGACCTTATTGTTGCTGTTATTTTCAGACTCTCTGTGTAACCTTGCATCGGCATATTTGAGTCAGCGGAGTGTTTGGAAGTAAGTGACTCACTCTTTTTCTCTGAGGTACTGGTGTTGTGCAATGGAATTGATGGCTACTAGTATTAATTATAGTTTTGGCAGTTTGCATTCTCAGGGTCCTTAAAGGGGTAATTGCTTTTGAGGGAACTGGCATAACAACTGTCAATCCTTTGTGTTCCTCATGGTAGTACATCTGAGCAAATATAGAACACATTACATAGATGTCGGTGTTGCAAAAACATGTACGACGCGCATAATGGCGCTGGTTCTGCCGCGGTGGTCTATTGGGTAAAGTACTCGGCTGCTGATCTGCAGGTTACTGGATTGAATCCTGGCTGCGACGGCCGCATTTTCGATGAAGTCGAAAGTGCTGTACGCACGTGTGCTCACATTTGGGTGCACGTTAAAGAACCACAGGTGGTCGAAATTTCCGGAGCCCTTCACTGTGGTGCCTCTCATAATTATATGGTGGTTTTGGGAATTTAAATCCCACATATCAATCAAATCAATCACATAGTGGCGCTGGCGGTGCTGATCTTACGAACAGATTTCTCTTTTGTTGTAGAGATGAAGAGGTAATGGAAATTCAGTCTGTAAATCCAATGAGTTGTCAAAAAATGCCTTCTCTTTCTTCTTTACATTCAAAGAATGTAAAGGAGAAATAAACGTACAGTCACGAAGCTTTTACTCAGTACAGATGGCTTTCACTATTTCATTGTCATAATTGCTTTATTTTATTATTATAATTTATCATGCTAGTTCATAAAAAAAGGGGCTTATGTTTACAAACTCTTGCAGTGGGCAAAAAGATGGGATGATGAAGTGTCCAATAAGCTCTCATTTAGATTCTGACTTAGAAAGCAGTCAGTAAGCTCCTTTTTTCAGTGTTTTAGTATATCGGCTGGTTTGGAACTGTCTTTCTTGCATTTGGTTGTGCCCCTATGCATATAATGCTACCTCGTCAACATTTATCTGTACGATCAACACACAACTTCATACCTTGCTACAGTATGAGTGAAAAATCTACCAGGCCTGCACGGAACGCGCAGCACAGCCACAGCAAAAGCTGGAAAAGTGCCTTTCGGAGCCTTTTCTAAGTACTCTTTGGGTAACTACTACAAGCACACTTCTGGGTACCTGCTATGCCATGAATAATCTTAATTTTTGCGTAATAGGCCGTCATTCACTATGCTATCTTTCATCATTCTCTGGAGATTCATGGTATCCGCTACACACTTGCTTGGAATTTTGTGTAATGTTTTTATGCAGTGGTGGACGATGATTAAGAATTGTGCCTGAAGTGGGTGTGCGCCATAGCTCATAGTTAATAGGTGATCAAGAACAAGATTTTGTAATGGGTTGGAGCATTTGACGACACACTCATTACGCAATTGGTGTTGTGTGATGCCTGGTTGTTCCTTTCATGTTCTAAAATGCTTTATTACTCATATTAACACGATTCCTTTCCCGACATCAAGCCTGCCTAAGGCCTGTTTGGAAACAAGTTCTAAGCACCGGCGCGGCTCAGTGGTAGAATACTGGGCTGGCACACTGAGGACGCGGTATCAAATTCCATTCTGTCATTGGTGTTTTTTTACTGAGCTTTTCTTTCTTATTTCGTGCGATACTGGTTACGGACACCAACGGCGGCGACAACTGCGGCGCCCCACGTGACCCGTGTTGTGATCTCATAACAGCTTTCACTGTAAAATTGAGCAGAATGTCCTTGAATTAAAATGGAGACATGTTTAGTGTTGTATGGTGATCATAGTGTAGATTTTGCATTGTGGCTGCAGTGGATGATTGAAGGCCACGTACATATACATATATGCATTTATATGCATTGTCTCATTAACATTTTATACATGAGTATTCATCGCCTCTTTTGTTTTTATATCTCCTTTTTCTATTGTCTTTACTGCGATTTCTTCATGGGTGGGGAGTCTTGGTTGAGTGAAACCATGTATTCAAGCTTCACACGAAATTTTTCGACTAAATCTCTAAATAACGCTATGCATTGAATGTTTTGTGTAACCAGAAGCTTTAATCGAAAGCTCGTGAACCTTGGATCTCTCATCCAGTGGACTCTGTATCCTTACACATGTCTGGCTTTCTGCTTGTCTACTGAGCTGTTAGTGTTGGCAGGCTGATTGAGTGCTTATAGCCTATGTCATGTGTACTCTATATATTTTAAGACATGAAGGGCATGAAAACTAGTGAATGAACTGAGTTGTCCATGTGTTTTCAGGCAGGAAATTGAATCGACTTTGGAGTTGATGAAGCGGGCTGAGCGAGACCTTAGTCAAAAGCAAAAGCAGCTAGAAGAATGGGAAAGTCGTTTGCAGCAGAAGGAGCAACTTCTTGAACGACGCAAGGGTTGCATGGTGATGTATACATTCTATACATTTCCTTTCATGAAGTTTACTGGTGAGCTAGCAATGCTGAGATAGAAGAAAGTTATTAAAACAGTGAGACTTCTCTTGATATTTTGTCGTGTAAAAGAATATTTATTCTAGGCGAATGCTCTTTTATTCTTGTTCAGTTTTCTGTACATATGCAGTATGCTTCAATAGAAGATAAGCAGCCATAAGTCGACACGTCTTTTATGTCACCTGGTCAATGGTGCCTTATTATTTACACTGCAACGTAGATTAGAAAACAGTTATGTTTTGTGCACTACTGAGCTTTGACAATGCTTGCTGCAGGTATTATAAGAGGCCAGTTAGCAACCACGAGGTATGTGCATTTGTGCAGTGGAACCACGATGCTGCAAGAATTTGGCATATAAGTGTTGTACCGTAATAAGAAAGTTACAGTGGATAGAACAATCCTTCTATGGCTGCTTTAGCTAGTTTTAATTTCTCACTTGACCTCCCTCCACCCCTTCCCCAAAAGAAGTAGTCATTGCCCTTCGTAACTGCACCCCCTTCGACAATATAACACAGTAGCAATTGACATCATGAGCGTGCTTTCTCGCCCAAAGCACACTTCTATTTGCTGCGACTCTTGCTGGTACACTGTGCACAGTTTATGCTGATGCTATGGATTCCACGCTGCATGCACCCTTTCCAATCACTGGATTTGGAATGATCGACCACTTGCTCCAAATGTTGCTCATGTCAGTTGCTTGCAGGTGGTGTGATAAGGAAGCATGGTGTGGGGCACTTATAAGATTAGGAAATTTGCATGTGATACGGGCAACAACCGCACAATTTAAACCACATGACCACAGGGCCAGGGTGCAAAGGCTGTTTAGAGGAACTAGTGAATTCAATTTTTTGTTTAAACCTAGGTTAGACTGTTTGATAAGCTCAATGCTGTGTAAGGTTCCCCATGAGAAAACATTGTGTTAATTAGCGGGTGAAAAGGATTGCTCAGATTCAGAAGAGGCGTGTGTTAATTATTATTATTATTTTTTTCAAATTATGCAGTGTGCAGCACTGTGATATTCACAAAATGTGATCGCCATGGCCCTGTGTGTAGAGAGAGAGAGAGAGAGAGAGATAAAGATGCAAGGAAAGGCAGGGAGGTTAACCAGACGCACATCCGGTTTGCTACCCTGCACTGGGGAAGGGATAAAGGGGAGAAAAGAGGTTGCAGAGAGATGAGAAGGTACACACAATCACGAGCACACTCGGGGAGCACACACAGTCTACAGGCGGTCGCTCAGGTTTGTTGACTTTATGTAAAGTAGCAGTGCTTTAGTTGCTTTCTACGCAACTGAGGCAGATGCCCAAGGTCCTAGTATCTTCTGCACACAAAAAGGTCCGGGGTCAAGTTGATTCAAAACCATCCGGAGCTGGCATCGCTGTGTGTCGTAGCAAGCGCAGCTGCACAGGACGTGTTCGATGGTCTCTTCAGCTCCGCAGTAGTCGCATGTAGGAGTGTCTGCCATACCAATGCTTAAGGAGTACACCTTTGTAAATGCAACACCCAACCAAAGGCGGCATAACAGTGTCACGTCGGAGCGGGAAGGTTGTGATGGTAGCTTTAGCTTGAGCGAAGGATCCAGTTCATAAAATTGACACCTTTGGAAGCTGGTAGACGACCAGAACGTGCGTGTGAGATCTCGAGCCAGCAGGCAAAGTTGTCTTGCTGCATCATTCCTTGATAGAGGAATCGGGACTACACGGGTTCCTTCATGGGCTGAGCGGGCTGCATCATCGGCTAATTGATTTCCGGTAATTCCGATATGTCCAGGCAGTCATTGATATGTAATATCATGCCCTCGTGCTAGAGCTTCATGATGGCAATGTTTTATTTCTTGTACCAATTGGTCATGACTCCTCCTACGCATGGCAGACTGCAAACTCTGAAGCACTGCCTTCGAATCACAGAATATGACCCATTTTCCTGGACGTTCTTGAACGAGATATTGTAAAGCAGCCCTTATAGCAGCAAGCTCTGATGCCGTAGATGTAGTCATATGCGACAACTTAAACTTGATTGTCATTGCTGCAGCCAGAATCACAGCGGCACCTGATGAGCTGCTGGACGAGACGGACCCATCAGTGTATATCTGCGTTCGGGCCCTGTGTGTAAATAAGTGAGCTTGTTAGGGAGCTTTAAAGAAAATGTGAGGGCCTGTTTACTGGCCTTTTAATAAATGCCTGCTATTAGGCTATTGTGACCTGTTGTACATTTTGGTATGAGTGATCCTCTGACAAAACGCAGTGCATATAGTTAACACAATTACTTTTTTATTATTTTTCTTAATATTGTTATTATTATCATTGTAGTTGTTTCAAGCAAGCTTTATTCTTTCAGGAGCTCTATGTTCATGATGTGAATACTTGGACTGTGGACCATGTGGTGAGTTTGACATGTCATGTATTCGTGGTTTTGTGACATTTGTACATTGCTAGTGCAGTACTAAATGTAGAAAAAGGAATGTCATGACTTCTGATGGGTCCAAACCAGTTTAAGAAGATTGATTGCCAAGCTTCTTATGCTGGGGCACGACCTTTGTCGTGTACGCTGGAGGTGCAGCTGTGCAATGTACCCACTACACGCCGACCGTAACTTTCATGAGGTAGGGAAGTACCTTCTATGTCATCCATACTTCTGTTGATAAGCGAGGTACCCACTACACATCTGTAAGGCATTATGTGCACTTTGTGCTGCGAAGAAGACGCATCAACAGTAGGACTCCGAAGTGAGAGCCCGCGAAGCAGAGGCGGCACGCAAGCTGCAGCAAGAGAACCTCGACTCGAGACCTGCATCGACATTGCCTTCTACAACTTTCAACTGCAACCTCTAATTCAAGATCCCCTTGCCACATACTTCACCAACCACAAAATTGTAATCTTCAAAAGAAAACATGTCCCACAGCTTTGTAATCAGTAATGTAATCCTTGTATATGATTGCATTGATGTGTATATGATTGCATCTTGTGCACATATAAGTGCATATATAATCACCCCTATAACAACATGTCACTTCTTTATATGATGGTGGAGGACTTCTACGCAGGATGCACGGGTTCTCTTAATCGGTTCCGAGCAAGTTCCTCCATGATCGTTCACTTCATATTTGTAGCATGTTCAATAAAGATACAGCACAGAAAGACACAATTGCCTTCTGCTCGGTGTTTGAAAAAAAATGTATCCTGACTTGGGGTTTGGACATCTTTTCGAGGTGGTCATTCTGCCATCTAAGCCCACCAAAAGACCTGAAGGTTGCAGAGCAGGCCCTATGCGACTGACAACACCAAGCCCTGGGACAGTTCAGCTGGAGCCCACAAAACAGCTCAGTAAACAAAAAAATTGGCATACACGTGACGGTAGTACAATGCCAATTACTATTACTGTCAAGAACAATGCTAATTACTGTCAAGAAAAAATACATTCAAGTCCAGGACATTTTTAGAATTAAAAGTTCGTCCAGGTCTTGAATGCTGTTGAATAAAGTGTGCTGATTAGATTCAGAAGTACTGCTGTTTGATTTCTAGGCTGATCGATATTTTCGTACATTCTCTCATATGGAATCAATACTAATACATTCTGTATCGTCTTTTATTTCATATTTTTATTACAGTTTCTCTGGGTTCAGCAGTTAGGATGTGATGGTAAGTCATCAAACAATAATATTTCTTTTTAGCGTCTCTCTTCTTTGTGAAATGAGAGCTTGGTGATTGTAATATGTGCTATGAATCTTCTATTTCTAAACTCACTAAGTCTATGTTTTCGACTTGTTATTGACATGCATTTATACGGTACACATTTTGTGCCACTTGATCATCATGCAATTTTGAAGAACAGGCATTAAGATATGTGGTCCTTGAGCCAGGAGACAGCACTTCTTATATAATGATTCCATCACATAGTTTAACTTGAGGAAGTAGTCCTTGTGCAGAGAATGATCAAGGAAAGGTCTTAGCAACTTTTATGTGTAAAAAAGCTATCAGTTCAGGGTAGAACAGCAGCTTTAAGAGATGAAAACTTCGTGAACAGGTGGTGTTGGTAGAGCCGACGTTTCAACAAATGGGTCTTCTTCAGCGCTGTAACTTCTTTCCTTAGCGCGTGTATGTATATGATTCGTATCCTCTCCATGTGCAATGCCTGGCATGAATCACAGGGGTACAATAAGCACTCTTCTTTCTGTCAATCTTGCTATACGAATGTGTCACTTTTTACATTTGCGTCGTTGACACTAAGATCTCTTTTAGATTAACACTTGGTCACACCTGTGACGGTCTTCTGATGTGCTTCTGTGCAGATGCCACGAAGGACTTGGAGCAGTATGCGGAGATGTTTCGCTTTCAGCAGATTTCAGGAAAACGACTGCTCCTTCTCACAGTGGAGCACTTGAAAGACATGGGCATTGCCCCTTTGGGACACAGACTGGCACTGATGGTGGGTGCTGTGCAACTTTCATTCTACACCCCACAGCTCTCTCCAAGAAGTACTAGAGAAAAAAAAGTTATTCAGTACTCACTACGGTCTAAATGTAGCGTGATAAAGACAAGGACAAGAAAGTGCACAGCACGAGTGCTGTGGTGTACACTTTCTTGTCCTTGTCTTTTTCGCTCTACATTTATACCGTAATGAATCAGTACGAACTTGCTCGCCTCTCCGTTTTGCAGAACTCACATTTTCTTTTGGGCAAAACTGAAAACTAGAGTAAGTGGAATAACCGATACGAAACACAGAAAAGTGCAACTGCCACACCTAAGCACACAACCAGTATGACGTCACTCTTTCTATCAATTATTGCAGTGCAGTTCTTCTGCACTCATTAACCTGCATGCCCCATAGATGCTATAATTTCAAGCACAGCCAACACACACCATGAAGAAGTCAATTGATGGTTGATATTAATTAATGACGCTCACTGGGTCTGGGCATGTCTGAAGAGTATGGCAATCGGACTTTTTGCTGTTTCGATTTTGTTGGTTAAGTTGGTTGGATTTCGTCGCTTTATAAATCTTATCAGTGTCTGATTTTTGAAAGTTGCAAAGCTGCAACGGGCCATTTGCAGGAAGGCTTCTATACTCCTTTCTGAACTGACCACATGTCTTGTCTAGTTAAAGAAAAGCTAATTAGTGTAATTTTTATTACTGTTGTAGTTATTCTCTCTAGTCATCCGAAGATATCTGCTGTTATAGAAAGAGTAATGCTTAAAATGGTAAGCAAATGCCACAGTTTCATTATTGTGAAGATTTCGGACACATCTCTTGAAACACTCGGTAAAGGTTGTATGTCCAGCATTTTAGTGCTTGAAAGGCATCCAGCATTTTCATTTCTACAAAATTTTCAGGACGAGATTGAAAAGCTTGCCACGGAAAACAGACGCAAGTTTGAGATGTCACAGCGAGAGGTGAGCTTACGCAACTTTGCAGAATTATAGAGCTATCTCATTGAATAGTCTCATCATAGTTGAGTGTGTAATATAATACTAATATAAGCTGTCAAGGTAATGTAGTTTCATATGTAGTTCTCATACGACTGTGCCGATGGTGTAAATGTATGTGGTTGATTGTAATCTTTCTGCATGTATTACAGTATTACTCTTTGCAATTGCAGCTTATTAGATTCAGTTTTTGTGTTCATGTCTGTAAACTCAGTGAGAACCCCATGTGCATGATAAGAACAACTCCTTATGTATGGTAAAGAACCTGAAAACTTGTATATGTAAGGTCATACTAAATTGTTGCAATAAATAAATGATTAGAATATACTGTCTAGGTAGGAAGGAAAAAAAAGAACTCAAAATGATTCACATTTTAATGACAGAAATATGTGTAACATTAGGTGGAAGGAAAGCACTGTTGTGTTACTCCTGTTTCTTTCAATCACTAGGCCGTGGTGCATATATATGTTGTCGCTAACAATTTCTAGCTCTCCCAAACCACCATACAAAGCTATACCTGGCATGCTTATGTGCTCTGGGCTCATTGGAACTGCATGCTTGTTTGCATGTGCATCTAATTACTGCTCTCTTCTCTTTGCCAGTCTTTGAGCCATGGTCATACCTCCTCCACCTTTGGTTCCTCCGCTCTGGGAACGGCGAGTTTTGCATCGATGACAACGTCCTTTGGATCCCTGGGCTCCAGAGTGCCGTCAGGTTCAACGCCACTTTCAGAGCCTATGCTGCTGCGACTCACGTTGTTGTTTGGCAGCCACGTTCGGCTGGGCGCAAGTTCGCGCGAGCACAAGTGGAAGGCTTTCGTGGAGTTGGACACGGGCGAGACACACTTGGCCGGTGATGTGGCCACCCGCTGCATCAGCAACGTCACCTTCGAGTGTGCCCAGTCTGGCCTCTTCCTTACGCGCATAGCTCAGGTAGGAGAGTCCTGACACAGTTGTTTACCCTTTGAGAAAGATGCCTTTCTAATGCTAATAGACTGTGTGGGCAAAACAAAGATGCAAAAGAGAAGTTAAGGCGACACAAATCCTAACTAACAACTGAAAAGGCACGCAGCAGCAGAAAAAAAGTTGAAGACAAGAAACTTATCTGCGCATGCTGAGGCGAGAGGTGATACCTATCAATCCAGTACGCATTGGGGTCTTGCCTTCAACCATGGAGGAAGGAAAGGTAGGAGAGGCCCTGACGTCACTCTTTGTGAAGTCGCGATGAAGCCGGAAGTCGGCCATATTGACTGGGCGAATTCTCCTCTCTTGTTTACATATGAATGCGAAGCAGAAGGTGTGACTCCCTCTCTGTCTCAAAAAGCACGTGGCCTGCGCGCCGCGTGCACCGGTGCTATCCGAAACCAACGGAACGGATTTCAACACGCTGTTCTACCGCGCTCGGTTGACGAAATCTCTGCGTATGGGTGTTGTACTCTTGCACTGCCGGCGTTTACGATAAACACGGCAAGTTGCACATTAAGCTTTTTTTTATTTGCTGTGTTCTTTGTGAGAATAAAGATGATATTTCGGACATTGCCGCGCGACGAACCAGGCACCAAAATTTGTACAGCTTCTTTCAGATCACTTTTTCTCCCATTTGCGCTTCTTTTTAGGCTTTATGAAAATTTCGGTCAGGCTGTGGGCTAGACACAACGATAAAAAGCGAGCATCTTAAGCGAAGCAGAACAGGAACTTTAATGCACAGAAGCATGTGGTAATTGTACAGGAACACGAAAAGCAAAATTAGATTACAGTCTTAATAAGGACCTGTGGACCGCAAATGCATCGTCCGTTGTCATAAGAAACAACACCGCATAACTGTCACTAACCTGCAAGGCATTCATTGAACGAATTCTTGAGCACAGTCGTTATCTTCTATCATGGCTTTTCAGCATAATTTTAACGGACGCTGCAAATTCGGAGTACGTATACACGCGCTCGTTCCATGGTTTCTAGTTCAGACACCTGGTTACAACAACCACCGGAGGAAAATCGCGTAGATAACAATGCGGCACAAAGAGTGGATGTTGTCAAACACCTGCAGTATGCGACGGTTAGGTGCGAGGCCCATGAAAAGGTGCACACCGCCGCTGGACCGCCTGAACGGTGCCGCACCGCTCTACATCAACAATAACAAAACATTGTGCCTAGTGAATATGGCCGCTGTGACGTAATTTCCACCACATTTTTTACGCCCTGTGCCGGCTGAGCATGCCCTCTCCTACCTTTCCTTCCTCCGTGCCTTCAATGCACATTCATGATGGGCAGCTCACAAATTTGTCTTTGCACTTTTGGCTTCGTTTGGCTTCACATGGCTTAAAGCTGCTTTGTCATGAAAGAACAATCGGCAAATGTTCAGCAGTTGCACTTCGCCACCTTAACCTTTTAGGCTGACCGATTCAAATCGGGCTGCAGAAGTTCACAACGATCAGTTCTTTTATTCGAAAAATACAGAAAGGCAACAATAAACAAATCCACAGTTTAGGAAAAAAGTGTCTGATTACTTCACTTCTGTGTAGCTTGAACTTTTTTTTTTAATGTGTTTATTTACCTTATAATGTGTCATATGCATGCAGTTGTCAATGTTAGTTTCGTTATCTTTTCATGCTAGCGGCAATACCTGTGTAGATTTGTGTTAAACTTTTGTATACTTCTACGCACTGCTGGATACTTGTTTGTTCAGTGCTTTTGTATATTTGCTCATATGTGTGCAATGTTTGTACAATTCGAACACCTTTCAACATCCTGATCCTGTACCACTCCCCTCAACAATGCCCTCTGGGCCATCAGGGTACCTGAAATAAATAAATAAATAAATATTGCTAGTGGAGTTAAAAGATTTGTCGCACGCTGCTATTGTATTCTCTCTTCTCTCGTCCCGACGTAAGCGGCGGAAGCTAAAAAGGGAGGGATGACACGCGCAAAAAACTACATCACTCGCGCTTTGTGACCTTGAGCACTTTCTCTTTCTCTCTTTTTTTTTTTTTTTGAATGCACGGCTTTTTCTGATCCAGGCTGCATGCTGTGCTATATTATTTGGCTTGCGTGTTGTCGGGAGCCTGTACTACTGATCGGCAGCATTTTCTGACCATGCTCAAAAAGTGTTGCAGGGCTCCTTAAAGCTTCTTGTGCCTAACTTATTTCCGGCCACTGCGTACCTTTTCAGTTGTTAGTCCGGATTTACGTTGTCTTCATTTCTGTCTTGCATTCATCATGAGCTCACCCACTTTTTCAGCTGGACTACAGGTCAACCCCTTTATAAGAGACATGCACGGACCAGCGATTCTTGTCCTTTATATGAGGTATCTCTTATAAGCACAGTACCATGTATGGATTTTCTTTATCAACCCCTATTCTGTAGTAGGCACACTGGCGTCTCTTATACTCAAATGTTTCTTACATCAGTGACTCATATAAAGGGGTTCTACTGTACCTACCAACTTGCTTATTACTCTGTTGTATCTTTCTCATGACATCAGTAAGAACATTCGTATTGGATGCGAAAGAAAAAAACGAGAGCGCGAAGAAGAAAACAGACAACACGAGTGCATTTCTCAACTGGGTTATTATGGCAAAACTGTTCATAGCTATGGTGTGGGGAAAAATATTAGTACGCGTCAGCTTCTGCATCTGTGCTGCTGGGGCAGAGATGTGGACCAACCCTGAAGGTTGGGCACTTTGACAGCGTCGGGTGTCAAGGTCAGCTGACATCATGAGGTTGTCATCATATGACGTCATTTGGTCGCACGTGTTTTCTTACTATCAGGTGGTAGTGCAGGCACTCAGTGAATGGATGCTGGATTTCTCGCTTATGAGTCATGCAGTATACAATGGACTCTCATTAAATAGAACTCCTGTTAGATGGAATGTATCTTAATGGTCCCTTGAGGTTTAGTTTAATGAGAGTCTACTTAATATTTAACTGGATAAATACATGGTACTCTTGTCTGGCTGGCCTCATTTGATGTTGTGTACAGTTTTGTTGGTGATCCACCTAGTGGAATGGCTCCTCATTTGTTTGTGGAGTATTATTTAGTTTTGGTATGCGACAACCTTTTTTTTTTTGATTCCCGATGTCTTGTTTCGTCACCAAGGGGTGGGAGCTTGGAAAGATAAAACGTCTAAATGAATCTTGGAAAAAAATATTAAGTGTCGAAAGTTGCTCTCGTATTATTTGTTACCTCCTTCGTCCTAGTGTTTTTTGCGCATTCACTGCGATTGGTAATGTAAAAATTTGTTTCACTTGTAATAATATGCATCAATGTAAAGATTTCTTGTTGCTTTAAATGTATTTGTTTGAGCGTGCCATGTTTTCATTATTGTTGTTTTTCAGCCACCATTTGTGATGGACCGATGGTGCATTGGGATTACTCCAGAAACAGTTGTGACGTGTGTCGTTAATTACGAGGTGAATATTTTTCGTTTCTTTCATCAGGGTATGTGCTAGAGAGTGCAATTTTGAAATTGCTTTGTAATGTCACCCTTGTGGTGTACCAATTCCCACACCCTTAATATTAAATTTTATTCGTGGAAAGAAATTAAATGTGCACAAGTGGACCATGTTTGAATACGCAACACCACGGTGAAGTGGTGCGAAAACCTCAAAAAAGCATCTCCATTCTTCCTGAATTTTCTCATTTTTTCTGGCTTGCCAACTCCTGTCATAGAACTACTACCTTGCTATTGTGGAAGCATACCTAACTTCATAACATAGGTCAAGTTGTTTTTCTTTTTATTGTTCCATTGGTTAACGCAACACACACACAAAAAGAACAAAACGATATAACATGTATTTGTAAGCTACCCTTCCACTATACCAAAAGTACCACCCTTACCATGACACGATGCTAAGTGTAAGCCATGACACATTCCAAAATGAAATGTTAGTGGTGATGCCTGCTTGACGTTTTTTCAACAACTTGCCATGAAATTAAGGATTGTGCGAATATTGGAAGCATTTGAATATTCGAATGAATAATTCAGTATTTGAATTCACTTCGAGCCAAAATTGAATTATTGAAAATTTCAAAGTACTCGAAATGTAATATGTAACTTCTTGTAAAGTTGGTTTCACTACAGTGGAGATGTACTAAGCGCTGAGAACATTTATTCAAACGTATAATTAGTTCTTTTGTAGAAGTGAATACATTGCGTTAAAGTGGTGCTAAGTCATGAAAAAACCTTATCAGGAGAATTATGCACTTCTGCGAAGCATAATTTTTTAGGTTTAAAAGCTTGTTATACCGACGTATATGCTCTGAGTAAACTAAATTTTAAAATGTGACATAATTTACATGTTATCACTTGTATTCTACCGAAAGTCAGATTCTGCTACTATTCAAAATTGTTTCCACTTCTTTTGAAGCTAGAAATGCCATTGGCATAGGCTTTGTTTCATTAAAAAAATATAATGCAGGTTATTTATGTCATGACCAATATGCCCATTTTTTTTTATTGTGCGTGTGAGTGCAGTCACTGACTCTTCTTTGTAAATTGGACGTGTAATCATCATTTGTATAATTTCCTCATCTGTATATACCATCGTCAGTGTGTGCCAGCTCGAGCTCGTCTCGAATAAAGCTCTTCCTCACCAATTTCCACCGCTGCATTACCCATCACGGGCTTCAGTTAGCTTAGATCCAGCCACCTATCTATCCTTGTGTCCCATCAACGCATTGACCCTTACTGCCGCTCCATAATAGCACGCTTAGAAGGCACATCCGCTCCTTCAAACGCTCGACTTTGTCAACTACCTAAACAATTAAAACTTCACGATGGTGTTTTACATTGCTATATTTACCATGTTGAAGGAAACAAATGGGTCCTCGTTATATCACATTGTCTACAATATTAGGTTCTTGAGACATTCTACGATGATCCTTCTGCTGGGCATCTCGGCTATCACAAAACGTACGACAAGGTAAGCAGTCGGTTCTCCTAGCCTCGCCTCTTATCCGCCATTGCTAAATATGTTTCTACATGTGCCTTATGTCAATGGCGAAAACGACCCACTACTGCTCCCTCTGGCTTTCTGCAACCTCTTCCTTGTCCCGCTTTGCCATTCAAAGTCGTCGGGATAGACTTGTACGGCCCCCTTCGTGGGACCTCCGATGGAAATCGTTGGATTGTGATGGCTGTTGACCACCTCACTCGCTAAGGGGAAACAGCCTCGCTGCACGCTGGTACAGCCACTGAAGTAGCCAATTTTTTTCCGTGTAACATATTTTTGCACCATGGAGCTCCACAAGTTCTGCTCAGCGACCGCGGCAAGGTCTTTCTTTCCCCTATTGTTGCTGAGGTTCTACGCACCACCAACGCCATCCACAAGACAACTTCTACTTATCGTCCACAAACAAATGGCTTGACAAAAAGCTTTCATCGTACCCTCTCGGACATGATTGCCATGTACGTCAACCCTGATCACACGAACTGAGACACCATTTTGCTATTCGTAACGTTCGTCAACAATACGGCTACACAACGCACCACCCTGCTTTTCTCCTTATTTTCTGGTTCATGGCTGCTCTCCAAGTGTAACTCTGAACGTCTCCTTCCTTTCGGCTCCTGCTACCTCAGCAGGCCTTTTGTCCGCACAATTTTCGTCTCACCTCGAGCACTGCCGTCATCTGGCCCGAATTAACACCGGCATCTTCCAGGAGGCTCACAAGTCTCGCTATGACTCAACTCACCGTCTTGTCACCTTTTTCCAGGAGACCAAGTTCTTCTCTAAACTCCCGTGTGTGTGCCCGGCTTATGTGAAAAATTCCTCTGTCGTTTTATAGGACCTTATATGGTCATTGAAGAAACATCCCTCGTTAATTACCGTATCTCACCACTTAAAGCTCCCTCCAACCACCGTTGTCGTGGGACAGAAATTGTGCATGTTTCTCGATTGAAGCTGTGTAACCAACGCAATTCTTAATATTGTCTGTCGTGCAGCCAGGATGCCGCTTCCAGCATGGCGGGGAATCAGTGTGAGCGCATTCACTGGCCCTTCTTTATCGATTGGACGTGTCATCATCATTTGTATAATTTCCTCATCTGTAGATTACCATCATCAGTGTGTGCCAGCTCAAGCTCGTCTCGAATAAAGCTCTTCCTCATATGTGCGAAATATGTACTATTTGAATTCGATTATAAATTATTAGAACAAAATCACTGTTCGCTTCAAATTCGCTTCAAACCTAAAATTCACTCTTTGCACAACTCTAATGAAATCATAGGTTTTGGCAGCATCTGCTAAGGCATACAAAATTGCTTATTAGTAAATATGTGTTACTAAATCAAATTCCAAGATATCCAGAGATTTAACATGTTATATCGTTGTCACACGGATGATTTTGATTGTGCTCAATGCCGATCAGATCAGGCTAGATTTCGATCAGGTGCTGCTACATAGTCTCATTTAATCGCCACCAGGCCCAATCAGGATCAAGAATAATGGGCTTCATTCGCAAGCTGTGCATAGAGATCTGGTTTCAGTATCACGATTTGACAATGGGCGGATGTCTGCAGCAAATTCACTCTAGGGTGTTTCGAGAATTTCAATCTAGATCGGCCCTACTCGCTATCAAAAGGGCCAAAGTAACTCCGGTGTTAAGTGTCGGGAACCTCTATTGAGGCAGCGTTGCCAAAATATCAAACGATTCATTTAAACTTGTTTAATGGCTAGTTGGTATGACTTGCAAGAATTTAAATCACTACAAGGGACAGATGACCTGTAAATAGGACACAGGCAACAGCGTTGATTGCGTTCTTCTTTTACTCGTCTCTTGTTCTTTGCACTGTTTTAAATGATACCATATTGAAATCTGCGATGTGACGACATAAAATTTGAAGGCTTTGACGTGTTGACCTCCATTTTCTTTTCTGAAGAGGAATTTATGGACTCTTATTTTATGCCACCAAAGTTCTCAAACATTGATTTATCGATCTAATTCAATTTACTGCTTCACTGGTGTGTCCTTTTAATATAGTGTGGGGCAAGTAAGCTCAGCAGGGTACATCTCCTTCTTTCCCTCAGCTCTGTGTTCTGGAGCCCCGGTCTACAATGCTCACCCATCGGGTGCGCCCAGAAGGCGGCGTACCCGAGCAGATTGAGGTGGTCCTGAGGCTGGCCCCACTCGGCCTTCGTCGTGAGGACGGCTCACGATCCTCCTCCAGGCGAGAGGCTCACTCGGCACCGTCCAGAGCCCGCCGTCTCTCAGAAGACTTGCTGCCCGAGGCCTGGCGTCAGCGTGGCAGCCTCTTCGGCAGCTTTTCACCGACCCGGCGACCAACGCACCGCCGATCACGTGAGCTTCTTGCTGAGACATTTCATTTCACCTGGGAAGAATCGTTTTGCCTCCATCCCACCCTGTGAAAGCAGATGTACGGCCAAGCTTTCGTAAAAAGCGCCACCACCATAACTTGCGTTGCACAACCATACACTGCAAACTAATACTTATTCGTCCAGTTCTTGACTCATCAAGCAAAAGTGACTCGAATGAATATCTAATGGTATGCATGGGGGACGATTATGTGCCACGTCGTTGCTTTGACTCTGTGCACAGCTGTGAAGCACATTTTATTCTTAGCTGTCTGCAGTTTGGTATGCTGTGTACCCTTAAGTCGCCCTTCATCGTCTTGCCACTACGTGGAGGTGCTGTTTCTATGTGAGCACTCCACAAAATAATCCTGACCAACTAGATGCTAACACCTCCTGAATTCCTAAATTTAGGAAGGTGAATTTGTCCCTGAACAAGTGGTGTTACTATGCAATGCTTGCTATGCAAAGCTGTTCAGCATGCAAGTTGCATGCTTACACGCACATCCAGAGAACAGCATTAGAATTTGCAATGCTCTGAGCTGCTGAAAGGTATTATATGAGACGTAAATATATCGTTATAGGAAATATAGGAGCAGCATTTTATGACTGCGCTGAAAAGAAGCAAGTTTTCTTTTCTGCTGGCAGACATTTTAGCTGATCGTCTGACTCTTTTTATTATTATGATATTTTTCGCTGGCAGAACCGATGCCCGTCGTTCACTCATGTTTGTGGTGAAATTGGGCGCAGCCATTGCAGAAAAACATAACCCTTGGAGCTGCAAACTAGCCAGCGCAGCAAGCAATCACCTCTGATTGCTTTGAATTATTCAAAGTCCCTTGCATTCTACTTTTTGTATGTTTCATTAATTGGAAAACCCGCTTAATTCGAAAATTTTTCACAGTCCTAGCGACTTCGGATATACAGCTTCCTTATGATCCGCTTCAGATTTGATATACCATGCAAGTTCGACTGTAATTGCAGTGGATTCTCAACTGTGTCTCTAAGAATGCAAAGTATGGGACAGTGAAACAGACTAATTGAACTCAAAACGACTATCTGTTTCTCCCTGCATTGCTTGAGCTGTTACTCTTTATTGAAATCAGTGGTTATGCTAGCTGGGGCGAGTTGCCTAAGAGCATTCGTGCCCCATTTTTTTTATTCTCCTGTCTATATTGACGCAAGGCAAACGCAGTATTCAAACTACACGTGCTAGTTCGTGCGCCCCCCAAGAAATCAGCGGCTTGATGATGAAACAAGAAAAGGCCGTGACGGCGCGCGCCTCCTCAGCACGGGATTTTGATGAAAAAGAAGTGGGGCACCGCTCGAGGGTTTCTCGAAGATTGATCCCCTTTTGCTGATCGCCTGTTAGAGACGCCGCTACATTTTCCTTTACTTTTCGGGCACAAGTTCGCCCCAATAAACAGTTATTCGTACACCATTTGGATTGTACGTAACAATTCTGGTGGAGGTGCTGGGTAATGATCCCAAACCCAGTTGGACTTCGAGGAAGCAGCCCGTAACCACGAGCAGTCGAACCAACTGAGCTCACACCAGTTCATCAGCGCTCCAGCCGTCGTCTACGTGGTGAGCCGCCAGAATTTCCCCTGCCACCAGAGCCCAGAGTGTCTCCAGCTGTCTCCGGTGAGAGTACCGAAATGTCGTCTCCAACCGCTGCCGCACACGTCGTTTCGCCTCCAGTCGCTGCCACGCACGTCGTTGTCGATGAGCCACGGACGCCCGACCCTTTTCATGGCGATCCTCATGAAGACGCCGAGGATTGGCTGGAGGGTTTTGAGCGCGTCGCCAACTGCAACGGATGGACCGAAGAACGGAAGCTCCGCCGAGATTATTTCACATTGCAGGACAGCGCACGAACGTGGTTCGAAAACCATGAAGGTACCATTCGATCGTGGGATGATTTCTGACGGGAGCTACTGGCCACATACCCGAGTACAGACTGCAAGGAAAGAGCTGAAGCTGCCTTGCAAGCAAGAAACCAGTGCAACAATGAAAGCGTCGCAAAATGTGTGTGGAAGACATGTGCCGGTTATTCCGCCGGTCTGATCAAAATATGAGTGAGGACAAGAAACTTCGGCACCTGATGTGTGGGGTGAAGCAGGAGATTTTTGCTGGTTTGCTCCGATGTCCCCTGTGAAACGTGACTGAATTTCGCACTGAGGCGACAGTGGTTGAAAAGACTCTGCAACAGCGAGCGAGGCACTACAATCGAGATGTTAACGTCGCATTCGTAGACGCGGTGTCAGCAGTCTTCGGGAATGGCATCGACGTATTACGAGAACTCATTCGATCGGTGGTTCGAGAAGAGCTCCAGAAGCTAAACGGCAACCCCTCAACGGTCTCGTCATTAGCGGAAGTTGTTCGGGAGGAGGTGAGACAGGCAGTCCGTGAGCAGCAGCCACAAGCCCAGCCTGTTCAAGCGTCTGTTCCGATGCAGCCCGCAGTCTCGTATGCCGAGGTACTGAGAAGCGCCCCTGTACCTCATTTCGTCGCCCCTGGACCTCCTTTCGCCGCCCCTGGACCTTATTCGCCGCAGCAAGCACGCATCTGCCGAAACCTCGATTTATGCCATCCCCAGCCAAGACTAGGATCCGAAAAGCTGATATATGGCGCACTCCGATCGAATTCCGCTTTATCACTGCGGCGAAGCTGGTCATCTTTACCGGATGTGTTAATATCGCCGAGCTGGACTTCGGGGTTTTCCTGTAAACGCTGCCTGTCCACGGAATGGGGAGCGACCTTTTGAAATCGAGGAGTACTTGTCAACGCGTCAAGGTGGTCACTCCTCGCAGCAGCATCAGTCTCGGTCGACAGCGCCACTGAGGTATCGGTCACCAAGTTCGCGCCCATCTTCAAACTCTCCGAGGCGACTTCCCCAAAGCCCGCTTCGGGAAAACTAGGATCGGTGACCTGGGGAGGTAAGGCCGCTGCTGACGCAAGAAAACAATTTCCAGTGCCAATTTCAAAATGTGATGATGGACACGAGACTACGTGCGGAAACGGTAACGTCGCTTCTGATTTGTCGGTAATTATAGACGGCTACGAAACGAATGCTTTGGTAGACACAGGCGCAGACTATTCCGTCATGAGCAAGGGACTTGCCAGAAAGCTAAAAAAAGTGCTGACCCCTTGGATAGGACCACAAGCGCGAACCGCAGGGGGACACCTAATCGATCTGGCAGGCATGTGTACCTCTAGAGTCGGGATATGCGGCTTCACCTACGTCGCCAGCTTCATTGTCCTGTCGGAGTGTCCAAAAGATGTAATTATCGGAATGGACTTTTTGCAGGCCAATGGCGCAGTGATAAACTTGCAGGAAACGTACGTCTCGTTCTCGACGAAACACGCCATCGCGACATTCGAGAGTGAAAAACGATTCGATGCGCTCCAGATTGCAGGTGATGATGTAACAGTACCTGCAAGATCCATCATCGTTGTCACCGTAAAAAGCAATGTGTAACGACTATGAAGGAATGGCAGAAAGCAATACTGGGCTATTACTCGAGAAAGGGATCTGTGCAGCAAGAGGTATTCTACGACTGCGTGATGGGTGTACGAGTGTCTTCCTGACAAATTTCCGAAATGACGTGCAGCACCTTGCGAAGGGAACTGTTGTTGGTCACTTGCACGATTACATTCTGATTACGGATTTGAATTCTTCCGAGACTGCACCACTGCACCCTGACGGTATAGATTCCATACTCGCATCTATCCACATCGAAGCAGCCCTATCACCGAACCAGAAACAAAAAATCGAGAGCCTTATACGGGAGTACGCCTCATGTTTTTCCACGTCATCGAAAGTGCAAAGAACATCTACCATCAAACACCGCATCATAATCGATCAATCTGTTAGACCTATTTGCCAGCACCCGCACCGAGTGTCACCAAAAGAGAGAAAAGTCATCAGAGGCCAAGTTGAAAAAATGCTCAGGGACGACGTAAATCAACCGTCGGCCAGCTTATGGGTACTGGTAAAGAAAAAGGACCAGACCTTGCGCTTCTGCGTTGACTACCGAAAATTGAACGTCGTCACAAAGCGGGATGTCTATCCCCTTCCAAGGATCGATGACACCCTTGACCAACTACGAGATGCGAAATTCTTCTCCTCTCTAGACCTCAAGAGCGGATACTAGCAGATAGAGGTGAACGAACGAGATCGCGAGAAAACTGCTTTCGTGACCCCAGATGGGTTATACGAGTTCAAGGTACTCCAATTTGGCCTGTGTTCCGCACCCGCCACATTTCAGCGGATGATGGATACTGTGCTGTCCTGGTTAAAATGGCAGTTCTGTCTTGTTTATCTCGATGACGTCGTGATCTTTTCGGCCACCTTCGATCAGCATGTGGAACGACTACGGACTGTGCTCGAAGCGATTAGTTCAGCAGGGCTGATGATAAAACCCCAAAAGTGCCATTTTGGTTTTCATGAACTGCTTTTTCTTGGTCATGTGGTTAGCTCTGAAGGCATTCGACCTGACCCCGAAAAGACAGCAGCTGTAGAAAAGTTTCCTAGACCGACAGATAAAAGGGCTGTGAGACGATTCTTAGGACTTTGTGCCTATTACAGAAGATTCATCAAAGATTTTTCAAAGATTGCGGAGCCACTAACCCGACTGACGAAAGAAGACACGCCTTTCACCTGGACAAGCGAGCAAGAAGAGGCGTTCAATGAGCTACGACAGCGACTCCTACACCACCCCGTCCTGGCACATTTCCATGAAGAAGCCGAAACAGAGATTCGCACAGATGCAAGCAATTTGGGCCTAGGCGCCGTCCTTGTGCAGCTGCAAAACGGAGAGGAAAGAGTGGTCGCATATGCTAGTCGCTCTCTTTCGAGAGCTGAAATAAAGTATTCGGCGACGGAAAAAGAATGTCTGGCGGTAATATGGGCCATACAGAAATTCCGACCGTACTTATATGGTAGACCATTCCGAGCAGTGAGCGACCATCACTTGCTGTGCTGGCTCGCAGGCCTAAAGGACCCTTCTGGGCGACTTGCTAGATGGAGCCTCAGGTTGCAAGAATATGACATAACAGTCGTATACAAGTCGGGTCGCTAGCACAGCGATGCTGATTGCCTGTCACATGCGCCAATAGAATCTGCACCTGTGGAAGATGGAGAGGACTTTCCGTTTCTTGGGGCCGTCAGCACTGCAGACATGACTGAATATTAGTGATCTGACGCGGAGTTGCTTAAACTGATCAAGCACCTGGAAGGGCAACCCGTGCGTGTTCCTCAAGTTTTCATCCGGGGATTGTCCTCGTACCTGATGAGAAACAACGTTTTATACTAGAGAAACTTCGAGCACAGCAGGGAGAAATTCCTACTCGTCGTTCCTTCGGCCTTGCGACCCGAAATCCTGGAAGCCTGCCACGATGACCCAGCAGCAGGACACCTCGGAGTGAGTAGAACATTGGCTCGCATCCGCACCAAGTACTACTGGCCAAAGTTACTGGATGCTGTACAGCATTATGTAAGGACATGTAGAGATTGCCAGAGACGCAAAACGCCTCCATTGAAACCTGCAGGATTTCTCCAACCAATCGAACCACCTGAATCTCCGTTTGAACAAGTAGGAATGGATCTACCGTATTTACTCGCGTAATCCTCGCACTCGCATAGTTCTCGCACCCCCCACATCGTCCAAGAAAAAATACGATTTATTTTTTCCTCGAGTAATTATCGCACCCCCGAAAACTGCCGCAATAATGTCGTCTGCTTGTTCCAGCCACTGATGATGATAGCGCGCACCATCTGGCGCCATCTCTTAAGCATCAAGCATACTATTGCACGGAGATCCAATCCAATTCAAGCCAAGCCAAAGTGGCCAGTGCGCGTTGCGGCGTGTTTTGTGTGTTGTGTCGGTAATCTTGGCACATTATGGGAGCGATACTGAAGCCACACGGCTGCTTCAAGTTGCAAGTGATAGATCATGCGCTAAACAACGGCAACAGGGCCGCCGGTAGGCCCTTTGGAGCCTACGAGTTTTGTGTTCGCTACTGGTGACGGCAGCTGAAAGCCACCAAGACGTTAGGTCTGCCGTGTGCCTAAAACTGGGATTGATGGTAAACTTTATTTCTTCAGAAGGGAACTGCGGACGATTCTGTTAAATAGCCATCAGCCCAATACTGACGTCCTACGCTTACTTTTTGAGGGCCCCTGTTGAGCGCCGACCGCTACCGCAACGCCTACAAGCTTCGCGTATGGTATTCTAATTCTCGACTATTTGCTTTCACTTTTTGTGTCTCAAATAAATCTTGCCTTGTGTTGAACCTCTGCTTTTATTGTTGAGGTAAATTCTAATTAGTACTTCTTAAAGCTTGCTGTAAGGTGCTTTTGTGAGAATTCCGATTTGTGGCCACTTCGTTTTCTTTTTCGCTCTCTGCGTTTTCGTAGAAAGTTTTCCCCGCGTAATTCTCGCACCCCCCAAATTTGCATCGGTTTTCTGGCAAAAAAAGTGCGAGGATTATGCGAGTAAATACGGTACTTGGTCCATTTCCTACGTCATCAATGGGCAACCGATGGATAGTAGTGGCGGCAGACTACTTAACCCGGTATGCCGAGACAGCCTCTCTCACCAGGGGCACGGCTATAGAAGTAGCTGAATTTTTCGTCACTAACATTGTACTACGGCATGGGGCCCCAAAGGTGGTTATCATGGATCGAGGAACTGCATTCACAGCCAATCTGACACAGTCCATTATGAAACTTACCCACATATGTCATAGGAAAACAACGGCTTACCACCCCCCAAACGAATGGGCTAACCGAGCGACTCAACAGAACTCTAACCGATATGTTGTCCATTTACGTTGATTTGGAGCACCGTACGTGGGACAAGATACTGCCGTACGCCACTTTCGCTTACAATACTGCTGTGCAGGAGACTACTAAAGTGACGCCATTCCGGCTAGTCTATGGTCGAGTAGTTACCACACCATTAGATGCAATGCTGCCTGTAGGCGACAATACAGAGCACAAGCCTGATATCAGCGAATTCATTCAGCGAGCCAAAGAAGCACGGCAGTTGGCGCGACATCACATAAAACAACAACGCGTGGATGCAAACCGTTACAACCTTCGTCGGAGAGGAGTCGACTACGCACCAGGTGACCTAGTTTGGATTTGGACTCCCGTGCGGACGCCTGGCCTTTCCGAAAAGCTTATGCGCCGCTATTTCGGTCCTTACCAAGTCCTTCGTCGCGTCAGCTCCTTGAACTACGAGGTGTCACCGGAAGGACAAGTGAGCTCATCAAGATGCCGAAGGAGCACAGAAATCGTGCATGTAGTCAGAATGAAGCCATACTATGACAGGCAATGAACATCGAACTATACACACCCGATTATGAGGAATACCTATTTCTCCAATGGAAACCACGCATTCAGACCATCTCAGCAACACTGCTTTTACGCATCGGGACGATGTGTTTTTGGAAGAGGGATAATGACGCAAGGCAAACGCAGTATTCAAACTACGCGCGCTAGTTCGTGCGCCCCCCAAGAGATCAGCGGCTTGATGATGAAACAAGAAAAGGCCGTGACAGCGCGCGCCTCCTCAGCACGGGATTTTGATGAAAAAGAAGTGGGGCACCGCTCGAGGGTTTCTCGGAGATTGATCCCCTTTTGCTGATCGCCTGTTAGAGACGCCGCTACATTTTCCTTTACTTTTCGGGCACAAGTTTGCCCCAATAGACAGTTATTCGTACACCGTTTGGATTGTACGTAACAATATGTGCTCTGCCTTCTCAATAAAAAAAAAAAAAAAGTTGATATTTAGCATTTTGTCCTGTGCGTTTCACTGTCCCATACTTTGTACTGTTCTGCCGTAATGTTCACAAACCAACTAGCTCGCCTAACAATCGTTGTGCATTTCCTTTATTGCATTATAATAAAAAATTGTAACATTTCAATTAAAAAAAGTGTGTATTGTTGTACGTATTTCTTTTACAAAAGTAAGCATTATCATGTGTTTTATATTACTGTTCTACTTTATCTAATGCCTCTATTAGACCCTTGTAAAGTGAAATAAAAATGTGAACTCTGACAAAGTGATCCGTGCTCTTGTGATACACTCAAACCTTGATATAACAAAATATTGGTTATAACGCAGTAAATTAAGAAATGTCTTGCAATAATTATAGTGTTAGAAATATATGTTTATAACAAAATTTTCCGATACAACGAACCTAGTTTGCTATAAGATGTGACTTTCCTATAATGAGGCTTGAGTGTAACGTCCTCATAACATTTCTCTGGCAGGCTCCGGAGGTGACAGTTGCTGGGGTGCATCCTTGCTGTCGGCGGCCACACGCAGTGGCTCTCCTCTGTCGTCGTTTGCACCTAGGCGGCTGCTATCGTCGCCCGCCGGCGGAGACCTGTCGAGCGAAGAGGAGGAAGAATGCCTGGCCCACCTTGCCTCAGAGCTCGGAGGAACGGGAGGTACCTCTTCGACCGGGAGGAGCCGCCTCAAAGAGCACCGGCGCCACCGTCTGGCATTCTCTCTCCACTCCAGCTCGGAGGACTCCCTGAGCGACCAGGGTGCCTCCAGCCTCCGGTCGCACTCTCTCGCGGGAAATGCCACTTCAGGGTGAGCCAGAGCTGTCCTTTCGCGGGCACGCTTCTTTGACTACACCGTCCAGAGTTCATCGAAATATCTGCCAAATATTGTTGAATAAAACTGTATGCCTGCCAGAATAGGAAAATGTTATAATGATAATACTAATGATAAGTATTATTGAACTACTGCATGTAGGAACAGTATTCTACTGTAAAATCTCTAGCCAGCACCTGCCTCCCATTTCTGCCAAACTTGAAATGTGTGCCCCCTTCTCTCTTCCCCCTTTTTCACCATTTCTTTTAACATTTCTTTAGAAGTGCGGGTGTGCATTTCTTATTCTTAGCGACTCTTCTGCCACCATCTTGAAAATTGATCTGTGACTGAGGAAGGATTTTACTTGAAGAAATTAAACGTTTGAGCAGCTATCTCTCATGTAGAACCCTGCATGTGCTAAATTCACGGATGGCACTATCTAAACATGTGCAGAGAACTTGTGTGTCTACTTTCTTTTGTTTCTTAGTTATTTTGTTTTCTGCCCTTTTAAGTGTGCCATGTAGCTCATATTGAACATGGCCCAAGAACACTGCCATTCAGCAGTCAAGGCTGCTGCGAATATGTGAGCCAAATAATATAGGGTTGTATGTAGCAAGGAATTTATAAGTACATTTCAAAACAGTTCGAAATTGATCGGCTTATCTTGTAGGGCTTTGCTATATTAGTGAGAGGAAGGATACGACCAAAGAGCTATTCCTGGAACTATCGTAAACTCATACCAAATCATTGAGGTCGTGGGATTCCCTTGACTTTTCAGACTCGCGGATAGCCGTTCACGGCACGAAGACGAGCGGCACCGGCGAAACAGCACGCCGACTCGTCGCCGGGATCCGAAGAAATACCGGCACTCGATGAGTGACAGCGGCTTTGCGTCCTCTGACACATCCAGGCAAGTGCTGCGCGTCGAAAAGTGCCACGTCAAACTCAAGAGTGGTGGCGACCTGCCGGCCGACCGCACCGAACTCGACATTGGTTTGGGGCCCAGCTTAAGCTCTGGCTTGAGCTCGGGCTTGAACAGACTCAGTTTCAGCCTGGAGACCGACGGCTTCCGACTTGGAGGCCGGGAGCGAAGGTTGGGGGGACTGCTTGACCGCGTAGCTGGCAACATTGGCTGGCGTCGCATGGGCTACGATGGTTCCATGTGAACTGTAGTCTGTTGTAGTGTTTCAGCATGCACCTAGTTTCTTTTGTGACAGGTGGAAAAGGGGAAAAAAAGAAACAAAAGAAGTACCTCTGCTAAGTATTTTCGTCAATCAATGCTAGTCTTTCACTTGCTGAGCAATATTTGTAATGTCTTGTATTGCCGCGCTCAATTTCTAAATATTTTGCTCGGCCTTTTGCCAGCAGTAGGGCACCCATTGTTTGGTAATGCATTGCAGTTTGCTCTTGCAACTGTGCTGTTGTTGCCGCTGAGCTTCCAACCCTGGTTTGCTGTATACAAATGTTTCTTTGCATCTTAGCACTAACTTCAGACCTCAAGTTTTTATCTTCATGTTGTACGGGCAATATTAGTGGCGAGTGAATGTAAAGCTTAGAAAGGCCCGCGTGTACATTTAATGTTATGGGGCTTTGCAGACGTAGTTTAACTGCTTTCCTGGTGTCACTATGCTAGAGAATTGGTGCTTAAAGTAAAGCGCTTTAAGTAACGAAAGTTAGCTTCAGTTTTTCGTGTGACCACCTCACGAAACCGCTGTGCCCTTAAATAGTGATACGAGATACTGCCTGCTTTTTGCAGACATGACTGTGCCTTCTAATTTAAGTGCACCGGCGAATTTTTTTTACCAAGAAAAAAAAAAAAGATGTCATTGCTAGTTTTTATTTCAACTTGCTATGCCATACGGGGTGTACGTGTATGCTTGGAACTTACTTAAGTTATCAGTTGCTTTTTATTAATTCAGAGCATTTCCCATAAGCATTAATAGAAATATCAAACAAGACTGCCATCAAAACGTACCAAAAAAGCATTTGGCATGCCATAAGAAAACTCTTGAAGAGTGTGTACTAATAGAAATAGAGAAGCCTATTGTTTAGTGCCTCTATCAGTGGAGTTACTGGTTCATTAAATTACTCATTACAGTGTACTTTTTGTAACTATGGCACTCATATACGGTAGAGCGTTGTTAGCCTAACATGCAGAATAAGCTGTGATTGCACTCTTGTCATATGCTGCAGGAACATGAAGTTGCAGTCGTTTAGCAGTTTTTATTTCTGAACCATGTTATATAGTATTGATAAGTATTTTAGTTCATAGTCGTTATGTCCTGATCTGTATCATGGAGATGAAGAAAAACGCATGTGCGAATTCTGTGAATGTACAGTCATGGTATTATTTTTTATTGCAAGAAAACACGTTTAAGCTAATTAACACAGACGTTAGACATATTCCTAGTCAAGGTAGTAGCCTTTGTTCAACCGTGAGAAAACCCCTTGTGTCACTACTTCTAATGCTTATAGTCAACATGTCATGGATTGTCATTGTTAAATTTCAGTACGAATGGAGAAGTACCTGCGATCACTGCAGAATTTCGCTGTGGTCTTTAGTATGGTAATTAGGAGAAAAGAAAATGGGTTGTGAGATGTAAGTCAGCTTACAATATGTTGAGATCCCGCTATTGTACCAGTTTTTTTGCTTGATACAGGAGCCATCTGCACATTAGGACTTGAGACGCCTTTAAAAACACCCTGATACACTTCTTGAGCATGGTCGAAAAAGGCTTCCAATGTGCCGTCAAGGGTCCCGAGAACACACGAGCCAGGAATTGTTGTGCAGCATGTGGCCTAGAATTCAAAATTAATCTTCAAAGTCAGCTAGAAATCGCTCTCTCCTCTCTGTACAAATTATGCGATATAGTTCTGTGCCATATATGTACTACTCACATCTGCAGCGGTGGCTGATTCGAGCATCGTGAGTTGCTTAGTTGCCGTGCGCTCTTGATACAATGAATGTAAGCTGCATGTTCAAAGAAATACAACAAAAGAAAGTTCTGAAGTTCATGACACATGCTGATGAAGGGGCACCTCTTGTTCCCTTGTAGTCCCTGCGTAGCTTTCAGGAAAGTTTGTGGAAAATACATGCAGCTCTGCTTGTACATGACCCATTCTAAAAATTTTGCGGCATGTAATTCGTGAAGCATCATGGGCTAATAGTGAGACATTTTTATTAGAATTTGGAAAAGTGTTGCAGGGCCCTTTTGGAACCAGCCCTGTTGTCTCATAATATCTGAACAGCTCTTGATACAGTATGACAGTTCACACGCCTTTATCTGGTTCCTTGTCATAGTGCTAATAGAAGAAAGATAGTAGTGTAAAGAAGAGAGCAGCCAAGTATAGGCGATATTCTAGAAAAGATAAAAAGAAAAGAAATGGAATTGAGGGAGGTTGCATGGTGCGATAAGGGGTGTTCTGTAGAGTAACAGAACTTGGGGCTTGTGGTGTGGGAGATTCAGTCAGGTGTGGTAGAAGAGTAGGTGTTGTGAGTTGGGATGTTCAGAAACTAGCAGATATAACGTATAGATACTGTTGATGCAGTTGAAGCTGAATATAGCGAATTGTTCTCTATATCAAACTCCCATTCATATTCACATTCAATATAATGAAAACTGTGTAGCACTGCAACCACACATGTGTATTTCACCTCAAAGAAATGTGATCATATCTGCCATAGGATGTCTTCATAATGACAAAATAGCGCTTTTTTTGCCAATGCGATGCATCGAATGTGAAGTGCAGTGCAATTTTTAGAGGAAAATGAGCAAAGTGCACATGCCGATTGCCCACACATCTCGGACTCTACTTGCACTATATAATGACAAATTTGCTTTTCTAAGCTTTACCACTACATATATATGTAATGTGGTGAAGAGTACTAAGAGCGAAGAGAACTGCTATGTGCACTGAAACCCGTGTCCATTCATTATCAGAAAGATGCAGCTTTAAGAACATTTTCTCGTCTTGCACATGCATTCCAAAAGACGGTGTGGCTTAGATATGGACAATGAGTTGACTTTTATGGCTTTGTCATGGTCTTCAAGAAACAAATTGGCCAATTATTGCTTTTAAATATATCTCGGAACTGTCCGAAATATGCTTAGTTTCTCTATAAGCTTCAGATAGGCATGTACTACACTTCACATTATCAATGCGTTTAAAATGCCCTTTGAGTTCAATATAACCAGTCTCAATTGTATATGGCAAAGTAGAGCATTGATGTAGAGCGGCTGGTACATATTGATGTCAAAAGAGTATTAGAGGGCCGGACATCTCGTCTTTTATCTTTTGAGTTTCAATCCCAACAGTGGTAAGGGGAAAGTGTTCTTCGCATGCAGGACCTAAATTGAAGAAATGAAAGAGGATTACTCTGACAGTGATTTAGTTCTTACTGGCTCAGTGCAATTGTGTGAAATTGAGGTCATAATAGCATGGTGATGATGATGATGTTTATTTTGGTCTGGAGAAGACACAGGGGAGACACCGTGCCACCCAGCAAATCCCACGTAGGGATTGTCAAGCCCAGCTTGGCGGGCCCGTTCATGGGCACTTGGGCAGTCAGGTTTTAATCGTTGAACGAAATTCTCATGTTTCCTTTGAATGAAGTGTACAGTGTTGGTTGAGAAGTTTTTAACCTGTGAATTGGTTTTATTGGTGAGCACTGCTATGTACTATGCGAGGCATTATGCATAATGTATTGCATGTTTTTTTCATTGTGCCATAAAAGAAGATCTTCACTTTTCTACGCTGATAATTTTCTTTATTTTGGGTACGAATCAATAACTCGCTTGCAACAAAAAGCAGCCTAAGCTTTGGAATGAAGTTCCAATAGTATCAAGGGATATGTACTTTGCGTGATGATCACTGAGAGAGTTACTTTCTTTTTGAACTGTTTATTACTGCCAAGAAAGAAGAGGGTTTTAAATAGCTACAGTATCCATTTGATTGTCAGTCATATTTAGCAGGGTCGTAAAGCTGAGCACTCTTTTGATCAGTCGCCTTTTCAATTAATCAGCTGTGACAAGTTCTTGCGCAAAACATAGTTGCATTGTTCTACTGCTCACGAACCTGGTTACACAAGCTCTGCAGTAGTAGCGCCGCATGAGACCTTCTCTAGCGTGCATACTATACTACTCAGTGTTCAGAAGCACATTCTTCTTCAGACGTGAAGTGTCAGTTCCTGTGAAAATAACTTCAATAAGAATTGCTCAACTAGCTGAACAAGTGGTTACTTTGTTACTTTGCTACTCTCTCGGCCACAAGTAGAAATGTTATGCAGGGGTATCTCGCGTGTAGCCTAACATCTTCTCACAAACTGTCAGCAGAGGTTTCCAAGTTATGCCAGCTAGCATGCCAACCCTTTCCCTCCTTTTCTGTACAATCCTCGGGCAGTTCTCATTTATGCCTTCTCATACTCCCTACATGAGAATGCGCTCTGTAAGGGTTTGGGCGCCGTTCATGCAACCCGAAACCCAACTCATCTGTAATACTAAACTGGTGTTTCCCGAACTCGGTATAGTATCCATGCAATTAATATCCACTCATAGACATGATCTGTATAGATTGAGAAAAAAAAGAAAAGCAAGCTTCTTCGAAGATTTAACTTTGAAATCTGCCTGTAGGTTGAAAGATTAACAGGCAAGGAACTAAATATATAATGAACTTAGGTATAGTAAAACATTTTTAAAGAAGACCCTTGCCACTTGATCTGTTTCTCTTGTTTAATCGGCAAACTTGTACAGCATTCTTGAAACAAAACTTTCTCATATCAGGTACTACTATTCTCGTCGCATTATATGTTACCTGATGTAGTGCATTAGCAGCTATTGTGTTGCACTGCTAAACTCAAGTACACAGGAGTAGTTCTGACTACGGCGGATGTATTTTGATGGCAGTGAAATACAAAAGTGCTCAGATTGGGCACATGCCGAAGGACCTCAGGTGATCAAAACATTAGTCCAGATTTCCCTACCATGGCATGACTCGTAATCATATCATCGCTTTGGTAAGTAATACCTGAGAATTATATCTTTTTTAAAATTTAAGTGCATCAACGACTTCTACATGATAAGCTTACATTTATATTCATCAGCTTCATTTCACATTGCTTAGTGTCGTTTTGGCTGCTATACTTCGATTAAAGTTTTTGCCACCTCTAATGACCAGACCCACAGTGGTGTAGAAATACACAGTTTAGCAATTGAGCTTTCTGGTGGTCATATTATAGCATGACAGGATCAAGGAGCCTACGTCGTAGAAAATCCGGCGTCAGCGACAGTGTCAACAGCATTGGCCGTGAGCAAAAAATCTCATTGAGTGTAAAGAATAGAAATGGGTCAAAGAATGCTCGGACTGATGCCAAATTTTGTAGGGCAGCTCATGCAAACAAAGCAATGTAGTTGAAGTTAAAAGAAAATTAAGTAAATTGGTTTCGGTATTTTAATTAAACCCAGGCCCAGCAGTTCAAGCTGAATAAGAAAGTACCTTGTGAGTGAGCATGCTCTTCAGTGCCTTTGGCCCCAGCACTGCTGTTGTCGCTACACCTTCCGGCCTCTGCGAACAGTGGAAACAGCGTACGTACACGATGGTGATATGGCGCCACTCTTCCACAGGCCGCGAAAAAGGGGCCCAGTAACATTGCTGCATTGCACTCTCAAAGGGAAAGCTTGGGCATATACCAGTTCATGTTTTTTTTGTGTGTGTGTTTTGGTCTTCTAGAATGGTTGATGCATTTGCAGTGAGAGGAATGGGGGAAAAAGGAACTGCTAATGGGAATTCAGTTGAAAGAAGTGCTGCAAAAGGCATTACATAACTTATCCGCTTATCAGACTGAGGTTTATAGAAAGTTGGGGACTTTCTGTGTGCCACCAGCAATAGTTGAACGAGGAATGGCAAATGAGTGAGTCAATGGTTCAGCAAGGGGTCTTCAATAGAATGATATTGAGTAGAGTGATCAATTATTTCAAATAAGTGCACGAGATTTATGTTGATGCTATTCAATCTTAGCTGAACACTCAAACTGATAAACATGCACTGTGGTATTTTAATCACTGTGATGCTGTATTTTCTTGAATATGATACAGGGAGTTACTTTCATTGGCCAAGGAAATGATTGCAATATAAAGCATAGTCATAGGCTTTCAGTAGGACATTATAGTGCATTGTAATGTGTGACTGGCTGTGGAGCTGCACACTGACGTATTACAGCATTCCCAGTAGCTGAGGACACACAGGCATGTTTTCAAACAGTGAGTCCTTGTCTCATGACCCTTATGCACGGTCACCCTCTATGACTTCTATGACCTCATTGGGAACGTATGTTGTGCTTTTAATGCATCACTGTTTGTATTCTGCCCACAACATTGAGATGTGTGCTTTTCCAAAAACTTTATCATTAAGTAGCATAGCTTGCTGCATTTTGAAGCGTGAAGTATTGTGAGTTTCTCTTTAAGGGGGAAATTCGTTTCATGAGAGCATCGTTTTCGTATGTACTGCGCACCGCGCTGCAGTAAACTGTTAATGTCGTGGTGCTTTATTACATGTGGTGCTTTATTCACGCGAATGAGTTAACCCTCATCTCTCCTTTTGTCACACTGCATAATAGTAGTACCAAGTGTGCTTACCTTGCAAACCAGCTCTTGCCACGAGCCTCCAGGGCAGTTTATGTCCAAGGCACGACTGCTCCAATGCGATGCCGTAGTACCAAGTGTGCTTACCTTGCAAACCAGCTCTTGCCACTAGCCTCCAGGGCAGTTTATGTCCAAGGCACGACTGCTCCAATGCGATGCCTTAAGATTCGGCAAGTGTACAGAGCAAAAGGTGATTAAGCATTGATGATATGCCACAGAGCAACATGCAACAATTGTGCTGCATCCAGTAACATGCAGTTCCTCAACGTCGCTGATTGTGGAATTTCCATTGACGAAAACATGTGCGTGTCACATTGAATACTCGTGAATGTCTTTGCTGTCGAATGTTTTGCCTTATGTGCATGCCTATCGAGTCGTTTGCTGCCTATCATAGGAAAATATTCAGGAAAACTGGATGATTAGTCATGCTGCAGTCTTCCAGCACTAAAAAGTAGAGATTCAGGAAGAAGACATAGGATGATGCATGATGCACATTTTCTGTGTTTCTATTCTTTTGTCGTGTTCCTGCCCATAAGTGCTGGAAACTTTTTCAAAAACTGTACTAGTGGTACATATTTCTTGCTGTTTCAATGGCCTTGAAATACCTCCTTTCATTTATTTAAGTCTCATTCATTACTAATGCCACGCATTTGCATAAGTAAGCTACTTTTCGATTACGCTGTGTCAGCATACGACAGCACTAAAAAAAAAACAGTTTGTGTAATAAGAACCATTATGTTCTTTGCAGCTCAATGGTTTCAATAGTCCCAAAGCTTGGTAACTTGGGTACTGCTAATGTGTTTGTGTGAAAAATTTGAATATTTCTTCAAATTTACATTACAAGTACTTCTAATAGCATCCCCTGTACTTTCCCCGGTATTATTGTCTGTTAGTTTTCAATACTGTATCTAACAAACAAAAGGAGCCCATAAATTTACACTTTTGTTGACTTAATTATACATACTTAATTGGTGTCTTCTTTGACATTTGGTGAAAGCCTTCTCTTTGCTACATGGCAATGCTATCCGTCCAAACAGTCATGAAAACCATGTCAAAACTGCAGCTATTTTTGCGAATGCTGCACATTTTTTGCCTTGTCTGCACAGGGAAGGGATGCCACATTTTTTGGTTAGTGATCATGGGGCATAACGTTCCTTAAGTTTGCCCCCCCTTTTCTTTTAAATATAGATATGGTATGTTTATATGTAAGGTTTGCCTTTTCCTTTGAGGTATATCTTTTCTCAATGAACTTGGAAAGGTTTGTTTTCTTTTTTAAGTACAAGTTCCCCAGAGAGCTAGTTGGTGGTCAGCGAAAACTTACAGATCTTTACAAGTGGGGCCATTTTATGAAGAGGATTGGTTTAATGAAATATGAAGTTTTGCCAGACTCTATCACTAAACTACAATTTCGGTAATATTAATGTCATTATATCAGTGCCATTATGATCATGTATTTTTGATGTCATAAACATTGACAAAGTGTTCACATTGCATCAAATCAAAGGAAACTAAACCAACTTGAACAGTTTTTATGTTTTTAATAAATTCTTCAGAAAAATATTTTAATTATGATCATCTTTAGGAATATCAGCCCATGTTGAGTCTAGCGGTCCACTTCGAGAATAGTGGCCAACTGAGCTATAGAAGGTGTTTATTTTTGCATGAAGAGTGTAAAGAAACAACAACAAAAAAAACAAGACAGTAACTGCTTCATGTTGAGTCACTTCCAGCACAAGATAAAAGTTCTTTCATATTATACAAAGCAGAAGCAATATACAATCTGCAAGTAGAACAATACATATGCACATGACCATACACATATATTTTGTCTGCTTGCATTACCTTTATAACTATAATGATGGTTAACTTTTAATTTTTTTTTGGTTCATGAGCCAAGCCAGAATTGGGACCCGCTTCTATAACTGTAATAATGGTTAACTTTGCTTTTTTTGGGTTCATGAGCTAAGCCAAAATTGGAACCCATGCCCTTATTATTGCTTGTGAATTTATATTTACTAATTGGTGACAGAAATACTAACCAATGCCTATTACCTCTGCAGTGAGCATATTGGCATCCTAATGAGGCAGTTGTTATTTCAAGCAGTCTCATAATATGCCTATGTTCTGTGGTTTAGGTGCATGCTAAATCACACAAGGTGGTCATAATTAATCTGGTGTTGCAATGAACCGTTTCTTGCCCACTTCAGTTTGCTTTAATAGTCATGCCATGTCACGCAGAAAACCTGAAGTCAACTTTTAGTGGTAAGCTATGACATTACGTCAATACTACAAACTGGTGCGTTCAATGAGACATTTTAGTTCTTCTCAAGAAAGGTGAGAAACTTCCAATAATTTAAATCAAGTTCTTGCTGCAAGGAACTTATGACTTTTCTTGTTAATTATTATTGTGACTTAATGAGTGAAATTTGAGTTGTCCTAGATTTTGTATGTTTCATTTTCTTTTTTAAAAGCTGGAGCTGTGTGCATACATCCAGGCAAAAGTTACAGTTACCTATTTGATTTGGAACCAGGTTGATATAGTCATGACAGTTGTAAAAAAGTTTGAGGCCACCAACTAGCACTCATTGTGTTCACAAAACTTGTGCTCTTTTATTTCTTCCATATTTTTTAAGTTTTGAGGAATTCGTGACTGTTGTGCATTTTAGAGCCAGTGTTTATGTGCTTTTCTTGTATTGTTCCGCACAGCAGCGCTCAATGTGTTCAGATATCGCTGCACAGCCTTGTAATTTGCTTGACATTTTTTCTTGTATGCATGTTAAACTCTTCGTTACAGTGCCATAGATATTGAAGTAAGTACTCGTGGTCTTCTTTGAATGAGCTGTGTCATATTGCGGTTTGAAAAAGATGTGTAACTATGACGTTTTGAGGTTTTGTACAGTGGCATATATTGTGGGCATCAGAAACTTCAGCTTACTTTGTTTATGTTTATTTATTTATACCGGCGGCCCGTTTTGTTTGTTGCTTTGTTTTTGTTTTTGGTGATATTGGGGGGGAGGGGGGGAGTTGACTGAGGTGAGAGTGGGGTGCGACGTTACAATGGGTACCACCTGTAAATATTAGTTCAGTATTGGTTTCTTGCTGCAGTGATGGTAGTTTGGCTTTGTTTTTAGAGATTTATTTCTTCGATGCGCTTTCTGAGGCAATAAAGTATACATGTTCCTCCCTCTTTTTTGTCTGTGTTGCTCTTTTTGTTGTCAAAAAGCTGAACCAGCGGTTGTGATCGTGGTAACAACACAGGAGGTGCATGAAGCAGTTTTAGTGAAGGATTCGTAGCGTTCGCATTATCTGGGCACGTGCGTTATTTCGTGCGTTAGCAAGAGGTTATCGCATGACGCATGCACAGTGGTAACAAACACTAATGCAAAGCTTCCAGTACTCTATTGTAAATCTGCTCACTGGTGAATAACAATAGCACAGCTTGAGCAACAAGCTTGCATAATACGCTCTCTCTCACAAGACATGGAATGTTCTCTATTTCTTTTTCCACGATTATGCTTGCCGCGCCAAGTTATTAACAGTAGCGTCATTTTAGAAACCGAAACCGAAATCGCTAGAAGAATTAGCTAGAAGTATTTAGAAGATGTATTAGTTCATTTGCGTAGATTCCACACTTCCATCCCGATTTAGTTAGCGCTTCGGCAACGCCATTTTCATGAATTGTTTTGCTAAACGCGGCACTCGTGCAAAAATTGGCCAGTAGCGGAAGCCAGTTGACAATGGCGTCGGACGCGACAAGGGCCATGTGATGTCGTTCCGTCGTCTGCATAAGCATCGAAAATAGCCATTAAACCGCGTTCTCCGAAACCACCGACACCCGCTGCGCTGTCGCATCTCTCTTTGGGACTTTTTCCAGAAAACGGCTGCAAGTGGTGGGGCCTAGAATAGCGAGGTGAGAGCTCACTTTCTCACCTTTTTTGCACCGCGATCCTGCTCGTGCGAACGTCATCGCTCATCCAGTCGACCGACTTTCGAGGGCCGACAGAGAATTGTGTCTATGCGCTTACCCTTGAACTACGAACACGCGAAAGCGCCAGCGGCCATCCTTTAACAACTGCCGAGTATTTTGGCGTTTAGCTGTCCGACTACAGCGCTGAAGCCTTCGACCTTTTATGACACTCGATTGTGACTTTCTGAATTTGTGCGCGTGTTTCAAAACATTGAAATCCTTATAACGCCGGTCGCTCGCGTGTGTCGGAATTCCGAGCTGTCTTCGATTTTAGATAGCCCCTGTTTAGGTCACCGTTCGCCCATAAGTCACACTAGCCTGGGCATCCGCCGCTTTTAAATACACGTACACAACTCTTGTGAAACTGAACGAAATATGAACAGCCTCTTCCGCCGATGTGACTCATTCGAGACGAAAGTTGTGAAACGCCTAATTCTGGTTTCTTGCGTGATTTTTTTTCGATGGCTTGTCGACTGAAACCGCATGCAGCATTTATTTTTTTTATTTTTTTTTTCGCTCCGGGCGCCTACGCACGGTAGTTTATACGAATGACGGGAAGATAAAGCGACGCGTATGCGTTATGTGGCAATTCTGTAGTCGCATTCAATTAATATTTCTTCAAAAGTTTTGAAGAGTACAAGTACTCTTTTTCTTACAGTAAACATGACAATATGCACATTTCTGTACCAGTGCTTTCGCGATTAGCGCAAACATTGAATTGAAGTTCTGTTGCAAAATTTCTTGCTTTGTGTGTATGCGTTGGGAAGGGGGTGTTTGAGGGCGAAGAAACGTGCCTTCTCAATTGTACAGAGTAATATACGTTACGTTCTCAGCCCGTGATTAGTTTCGTTCAATTGCTTGCTCGCTTTTTATTTGGTAAAATTGTACCACCCATGACATCTTCAAAAAAAAAACCAGCATGTCATTGAACTTACGGTTGTGATGTACTTGGTTGTAGACTGCAAGTGTAGCAGGCATTATCTTATCTCGCTGTCGTGTTTGACAGCTTGACTCATTTATAATATGGAGAAGGGCCTGCAATTAGCGATATATTGCTATCATGGGCGTAATTGATGATGTGACCGCATACATGCTTACAACCACAAGAACAGCATGCTTTTCCCAGAGAGCAGAGCCAGATACCTGGTCGACATTGTTGACCTATTGGTTTATGTAGGTATACATCACATTAGTCACAAGCACGTTGTTTTTATTTGTCACTAAATTTATCATTGTATAATTTGCAGCTTGTTTTTTTTAAGAAAAACTTTCCTCTTTTTCAGCTGCTAGGTAGTTGCATGTCCAAAGAGCAACTCTGACTTTATTATATGTCTGGTCGTAACTGTTGGTGACAACACCTGCTGATCATTGCGAACAAGTGTGTACTTGTTAAACCTATGGTGGTACACCAGTCAAGATATGCCTTCAGGGATTATCTGGTTATCTTGCTATGGTACAAACTGAGCAATCACTTACTTTTCTTGCTTGATACTTTAAGCCAAATGCGTAGATACTCCAAGTTTGCAGTATCCGACTATCAGTTGTACTGAAAAGGGTTTGATTAGTTTGAAAGGTGTAGTCGTAAGAAATTGATGCTGCTTGCATAATGCACACATTATGCTTCTCGTCATATGATAAAACATCATTTAATTTCTGCCCGAAAAATACAGGTGTGTTGCATTGAGTAAGCACTACATTTTAGAAGGGTCTTTTAAAATGACTGCAGCTGTCGAGGGTTGTGCACAAGGCTGTCGATCAAGAACAGCTTTATTGCGAAAGTAAGAGGGTAAAAGCACAGATTCACAGGTAAAAAAATGTGAACGCATAGTAATCGTATTTCAAAAATAAATGCGGTGAGAAAATATAAGAGCAATAGGGAAACTTGAATGACAGTGCACAACAGCTATATACATGAAAAGTCATTAAGGAGTTTGTAGTTTAAAAGGCATAGGCATAATAGGCCTACCCTATGTCATAAACATTTGCTTGTAACTGATGTTGGAGCATGCTATGTAGAATAATTTGTTCTTGTTGCAACTACCCTCATTTAGATGTGAAGCTAGTCTGCCTGCAAATATGGTGTCCATTGAAACTTTTAAATGCGAAGCATTTCTTAGCAAACTGCAAGACCTCTGAGCGTTTGTTTCTACATTTCTATCTATCTAGCCGGCTACATCATGGTGCTGTCATGATCGCCTCTTGGTGTCAAGCAAAATTGTTATGGAAAGATAAGGGGGTCTGAAAAATATGACTGTCTGGTCATAACATGAATAATGCGTAAATCGGGTCACGTACACTGTCAGACCATTTCCCCCAGACACATGTGGCATATACTTCCTACGGGACACGGACTTGAACAAGCGGCTGTAACAGCAATGTCACACACCACGAAAGACAAGACTGGACTATGACAAAGCGTGCGCGCGTGTGCTGCAGAATGTGCTGTGTTTATCTCTCTTCTATCTCTGCTCTCTATCTTTCATCTCCCCCCTCCCCCTCCCATGCGCAGTGTAGCAAACCGGCTGTCTATAGGCTGGTTAACCTCCCTGCCGTTCTTTTCCTCCTATTTTCCTTCCTTCCTTCCTCATATACCACGAGCCATAGGTATGTCGGTATGAGCCACAGGTGATTGAGCCACGGTTTATATCTACCCAGAAACAGTGAAAACAGACATTGGTAATTTAAACACGAGAGCAATAAGAAAAAGTAACGTGGGCAGTGTTGACCCTACGAATGCATAGAATAAAAGTCAGGATCCCAGTAGGAATCAAACTCAAGCAATTTGTGTAGCACTCGGGTATTTTGCCACAGAGCAACACCAGGTCTTGAAACTGCATTGGAAGACGGCCCTATGCCGGCCTACTGTCGATGCAACGTCAACTGAGGTTGAAATGCTGGCTATCTAATTTTATAACAAAGCAATAAAAATTGCATATGTACTCCTATGATACAGGCATTATTTTTATTTATTTATTTATTTATTTATTTATTTATTTATTTATTTATTTATGATACCTCAAAGGCCCCTAAAGGAAGGGGTTTTATATGAGGGGTGGGCATATCTACAAAAACAGCTCTTCTATGATGCGTTTGAAGATGGCTTGGTCGAAATGAAGCACTGCCTTGGTGGGAAGGTCACTCCAGTCCCTTGATGTCTTGTGGAATAATGAGGAGGTATGGGAGACAGTGTGGGCGGGGGTATACGGTCTTTTCGTGGTTGGTCCGGCTTGAGTTGCGGTGTGCGGGAGCAATGAGATCGGCTTGGGTGACTTGTGAAAGAACGTATGAAAGAGAGAAAGGCGGGTGACCCGACGGCGTGATACAAGGCTGGGAAGGTTGGCTTGGGATTTGAGTTTCGATGAGCTAGAGCTGTAGGAATAGTGCGAAAAAATGAAGGGTACGGCAGGATTCTGTACTAATTCAAGCATGGTAATGTGATTATGTTGGCATGGGTCCCACAGGGTGCATGCATATTCGAGCTTCGGCCTTACTAAGCAGCAGTACGTTAGAAGTTTGACTGAGGGGGGTGCTAATCGGATATTACGCCGCAGGAAACCAAGAACACGATTAGCAGAATTTGTTATGCTGGTTATGTGGGTGTGGCATGATAGGTCAGAAGTGAGGTTAATTCCTAAGTACTTGTAGGTGTTAACAGGGGATATTAAAGAACCACTTATTACATAATCGTGAGCCGGGTAGGACTTCTTTCGATGAAAAGTGAGAAGGGAGGTTTTCAATGCGTTTAATGACATAAGCCACTTGTGGCACCGATCTTCAATTTGACTGAGGTCAGATTGTAGGGATAAAACATCGTTATTATTGTTAATATGGCGGTATAGCATGCAGTCGTCTGCAAACAATCGTATCCCGGAAGAAATGTTAGTTGGAAGATCGTTAATGTATATGAGAAAGAGCAGGGGTCCAAGGACCGTTACCTGAGGAACCCCGGATGTAACAGGTGTGAGAGAAGAGGAGCGTTCGTTAACGTGGACGAATCGCTGACGGTTACACAGAAGATCATGTATCCAGTGAAAAACAAGATGATGAAGGTTTAGGCGAGATAGCTTTAGGAATAGGTGGTTATGGGGTGCTTTATCAAAAGCTTTTTCAAAGTCCGAAAATAGTGCGTCAACGGGAGTGTTAGTATCAAGGCTGGAACTGATGTCATTAATGAAGAGAGCCAGTTGAGTGTCGCAGGAAAGGCCCTTCTGGAAGCCATGCTGACTGGGATGAAAGAAATTAACCGAGCTAAGGAACTTCGCAATATGTGAGTGAAGAATGTGATTAATTTGGAGCATACACTCGTTAGTGAGATGAGACGATAGTTTCTCGGTGACGCTGGGTTACCTTTTTGACGCTGGGTAAACGACAGTAGGGTTCCTAGTGTTGGTTCAGCTTTTATAGTGGTCTGTTTTTAATAAACATTATGTTTATATTCCTCTGTTTCAGTAAGCTGTATTCAAGTGTTCCCATGCCACACCAAAGGAATGCACTAACGAAAGTTGCATATGATATTGATGTCATCGCATCGTAAAGTGCTATTCATTTAGATAATACTGACGTCTGCGCTTTAAGATGAAGGCTAACGTTATGTCATACCATGGGTTACTTTTTAAATGTAAGTGTGGTAGACATTCTTGGTAATGCCGAAATGAGCACCCAACCACACACTTGGAAAAAGACGTCGATCCACTTTCTAACTCTCGGCTCAAAGCCAGAAAATGCAGCAGAGTGAATAACTTGTCAACTACTTCATATGATACCGATTCCCATAAGGCATGAGGTTTGCCTAATTTTTTCTTTGAATATTCTTTACAAGCTAGGTAAGCGTACTAAATCTGGCTACATAATTAGGTAATGTCTATGACAGTCACATAAAAAAATAGACAATGTGCTTGAAAGGCATAATCCATAAATACTCAATGGAATAAAGAATACATTATACATATATATATAATGATGATTATGAGGTTCTCACAGTATTAGATCATTTATATTAGACTACATATATTACAAAGCAATTATTGGGAGGTGTTTGAAAAAATTTCAGACAGACAGAGTGTTTGAGCTGCGGAAGATGAGTGCTGGCTATTGTATGATTGAATGAAATCACTGTCTGAGAAACACAATAAAAAGCAACGGTAAACGAAGAAAAAGATTATTGTTATAATATTCAGAAATGGACACTCAAGGATAAAAATAATGGATTGCGTAGACAGAACACGTGTAACACTTAAACATCTGTTACAGGGAAATGCTAACAAGCAACAACTGTTATGTCCATAACATCACCCTTATAATCTGTTGACCTTGGTGTTTTATTTGTTGTGTGCAATAAGGATGTCAATTGAGCAACGAAAAGGAAGATGTGTGAGTGGTACATCTGCTGGTATAGTACTCATTAGAGAGTTATAGTTTACCGTTAGCGTGATAACGGAGGTAAAGGGAATAGCGTTAACGTGCAGCAAACATTTGTTGCGGACAGCGTCTTATAATTTAGCGGGATAGCATTTACGTGGTTTACGTGCCCCAGCTGGGACGGTGGCGCCACTTATCGGAGGGTTGAGAAGTAAGAACAGAGAAAAGGAAAAAAAAAAACGAGAATGTCTGCCTATGGTCACTGTGGGAAGCATTGTTACAAGTTTATTTTAGTAATGATAAATGTAAATAAACATGAACCACGCACCAAACGCAAAAAAACTTATGTTGCCAATTTGTTTACATAGTTGTAGTTAGACCTAGACCTGTGCGAAATGGGAAGCTATCTCAAAAGCTACGCCAGCTTATCTGTAATACTTGATCGTCGAAGCTAGCTGAATGAAAGCCAAGCCAGTTTAAACAGTTGTTTACTGTGAACAAAGTGAATCTTTCAACAACTACGCCAAAACCACTTTGAGGCGAGCATCCGAGAGCGCCGTCGTGTTTTACGTACACTAAGTACACCTACGCTGACACGGTAACGGTAAATCTGAAAAAATAGCGCATGTATGGTAAGCGGTATGGGTAACGCACGTATCTGCGCATGCCACTTCGATCCCGGTATACTATAACTATCTACTAACTTGAGTGGCTGATGCACACTCCTGACGCTCCATTGTACGCTCTTTATATGCAAATATTCTCTGTAAGCATATCCTTACCTCTCTCTTCTTGTAACATCACAATTTCAGCAACATTTCTGTACCAGCTGTGGTGTCAACATGCACACATAATTGGAGCAGTGCTCATTGCTTTTCTTCATTCATTTTTTTTCCGATTGCCATTCCCCTCTGTGTTGGTTAGCAAACGAGATTCACGTCTGGTAGGCCTCTGTGTCTTTCCCCTTTTCCCCCATCATCCTCTAAATTCCAATGAGAGTGTTCTCTTTTAAATAGGTAATTAACTGTAGCATACCTGTAATGCTGTCTCTCTTAGTAATACTTCTTTTGCAGATGGATTTTAACGCTGCACTGACCGGGGCCGGCGACTTCGGCACTTATCAGAAGCTGCTGGTGCTGTTGCTTGTGGTGCCTTCTGGCGCTCTGTGCGCGCTCGTTTACTTTACCCAGTACTTCATTATTCTCATCCCCGAGAATTACTCGTGCCACCTTGCCGAGGTTCCCCAAGCTCTGTTGAACGCATCCAATCTCACATCCGACCTTCTCAAGACTCTGGCATTGCCTCCAGATGAGGAAGGCAGCGCAAAGCTCAGCCAGTGTCGCATGTATGATGTCAACCTAACATCTCTCTTTGAGGCTGGCACTGTGGAGGCAAATGCTTCGTGGGATACAGTAAGCTGCCGCGATGGCTGGGACTATGATTTTGGCAACCTTTATCCAACAATTGCAACAGAGGTAAGAGTACTGGATGGAAGATGTTCATCCAGATGTTTTCTTCAAATTGTGAAAGCTAGAACCACTACATTTATTTATAGTGATTGTGCCTCTTACTAAACATTGATATTGTGTGTGTGCATGTATGTGCATGTGTGTGTGCAGTGTCTCATAAGTAAGGCCTAATTAGCTCACCTTGTTTTGCTGTTATACATCAGGCAGGCTGATTAGATCACAAGCAGGCTGATTAGATCACTAAGCTTACCACGGCACCATGAAAACAACTTAGTGGATATTTCTCTTTTCTTTCTCAGCTGAATATGGTGTGTGACCAAAGTCACCTTTCATACTATATACAAACATTTTTCTACGCCGGAACCAGCATAGGCTCAGTATTTTTTGGCTTCATTGCTGACAGGTAAGTGGCACTTATATTTGCATCCTGCTCTTTTATTCCGTAGTTCACTTCTGTGCGTGGTGACACTTTGCTGGTGCACTTGTCATTTATCTATTAGCCTTTCGCGTAACATGCTCGCATCTTGCTTTCTTTATTACAGATGTGTAAACCAAGACATATAAAACAGTATGTCTTGTTGAAAAAACTGTCATTGCATAATTACCTTAGAATGGTTGAGTATTGTACCTTAGAATGGTTGAGTATTGAAAGACTGTGCAGTAGGGATACTAGTGTCAGCCTACATGCAACATTTGATAAACAAGCAAGTTGTGGTTGTCTTAGTAACAGCAGTCGTAATTCTGTTGAGGCGGTCTTCAAACATGCTATTTATTTCAGGATTTTGCACACTTAAAAACTTTATGATGGTGTGTAAGGGATTGCATACCACTTGTACATGTAGAGCACTCTAGTGAGTTAGTGGTGAACTGTCATTGTGTGTACACTCTGTAGATGCACTGCCCAGCAGCATTACATTGCGCATAAATTCCAGCAGTTGCTATGTCAACTATGGCATAGCATCTGGAAAAGATTGCAATAACTGCTCATACAGTTAATCTGCCTTTCAATAGTTCCTTTTCATTTTGCTCAGCATAAAATGCATCATTCTTCACAGTCGCATCAGTGCTTTTGGAGAGTGCATCTGCTAAACATACAAACCATGAGAGTTCTCTAGCCTTTCTCTAGGGTGCTCTGCATACACTGAGCATGACCCGCTGCTCTGTTTATTGTTGTAAAGCGCGTGACTGTGCGGTCCCATGCCATTTTCTAATCTGAGTTCCTTTGCAGGTACGGCCGAAAGCCGTCAATAATCCTAAGCTATGCCTTGGCATGGCTGGCTGGTTTGGTATCATCTTTTGTGAAGAACCTTGTTGGCTTCACCATCCTGCGCTTTCTTGTGGGAATGTGCATCATTCCACTTTCGGAAGATCCCTATGTGCTCAGTGAGTATCTGATGCTAATACATGTTCTCGAATAATTCATTTTTTTTGCCATTATGACACTATAAAAATATTTTTTTTCCTTAAAAAAAGGGAGGGAAGTGGAGGCATGAACCCTGTGAGCCTTACAATCTTTTTTAACTATTTTCTCCTTAGGCTTGCAAAACTAGGGGTGCATACGGCTGGTCATTTCTGAGCCCTCTGTTGAAATGTTGTCACACTAACTTGTCCAAGTAGTATTCTTGAACAACTCATAAGTATTTGCAACGATAAGCTCGACCCAAATATCGCATATCTTGCACCTATGCTCGGTCAAGGACTCGCAAAGATTGTTTGATTGTGCTCTAACTTTCGACACTTTGTGAAATATGTGGCCCACATTACTCTTCCTCTCTCTGGCACTTTCAAGAGGCATACACTCTCAAGGCATTGAACTTGCGAGCTTTCATGTGGCTAGTGCGTAACATATATGGCTGTCTAAAAGTCACTGCGGTCCGACACTGTGCCAACATGACAGGCCAGGAATGGTGCTGCTCATGGATGTTGATGCGGCTGATGCTAATCTCTTGAAGTCTCGCAAAAGTTAAAGTGTCACCGAAAGGGATAGTTTTGCAATAGTACTGCGCCAGCTTTTGGTTTTGGTGCAACGTCAGCCGCTGTGGCTTTCACAATGGTGCCTCTACACCTGCACACCGCGTGATTTCTAGGGAAGGTGCACTGACTTGCTTTCCTTACCATCCTTCTGTTGGTGTGACAAAAGGCTGGATGTTCTGGTCAGATGTGATTTTTCTGGCTCGGATCAAGAGAATTGGTGTAAGAAAATTTATTATGGGGCACAAGTGCATGAAACATAATTGGGACACTTCAAAAGTAAACTGACAATTGTGCTAGGTTTTTATTCATATAGTATGTATATTCTGTGCTTATATAATTAGTTTTCTTCTGTAGAACAACTACTTTTGCATGCAAAATTTTAAATGGTTACATGTAATTTTAAAAATTTGTGGTTCTTTTTTAACTACACTTCTTCATTTGAAAAAAGCTGGTATGCCTAAAACGATACAGGCAAAAGTCTTAGTGTTGTTAGATACAGGAAAGAGGTATGTGGCCTGAATTCATATCATCTTGACACAGACATGGCTAAAATTACATTGAATCAAATTTAGGGTTTTTATTGAAAATCCTTCAGATATGCATAAGGAAGTGTGTCGCATAATCGTTGTGATACCGTATTTAGTTGTATTTCTTTAAATGCTTTATGGTAGTTGCCTGGCCTTGTGGTTTTTATGAGTAATAATCTACGCTTGCCACAGTTATTGACAGTGGCATTGTGCTTTTAAGTTCTGTAGGTTTAATTCCTTCTAATGGTGGCTTCATATGACATAAGAATGCATAATGTTCATGTACTAAAGTTCATTGCTTTATTAAATAATCCTATGTAGTCAATGATGACACATAACAGCCGTCACAACGTCATGACACATAACAGCCATCAGGAAAAACAAAACGACGTCGCTTTTGGCTGTTGCAGGACTTGTGCCATCTAGTTGAACTAGCGCTGTGCATATTAAATAAGTTATTAAACAAGCTACTCTTAACATTATTGATGGAGGTTGACGACTCCCATACCTCGAAGGAGATGCACAGTGGTTGCAGCATGGGCGACCACTTAGCTACTTCGACGTCAGGTACTTCCTCACTGCCGACCTCTTTAGCACACTCCCGCATCTCTGGGATCCTGGCACTTTCTCCGGTGATGGTACCATCGACGTTGGTGCATGGCTAAACCAGTATGGGTGCCTCAGTGCTACTCACCATGGAGATCGCTCATGCTGACCAACGTTCTTTTCTACCTCGATGGTGCTCTGTGAACATGGTTTGACAGCCACAAAGCCGCAATAACGAGTTGGGATCTCTTCAAAGAAAAGATTCGTAACCTGTTCAGTGATTCATCTGGTCATCAGCTAGCTGCGAAGAAGGCTCTCACTACACGGGCCCAGATTTCTACTAAATCCTACGTCTCCTACATACTAGATGTCTCGGCCCTTTGTAGGAAGGCTGACCAGAACATGTCAGAAGACGAAAAGGTTAACCACATCGTAAAAAGCATTGCCGACAATGCTTTCAACCTGCTAGTGGTTAATGTCCTGAGAATTGACATGATCTTTAAAAAATGCCGTCGTCTCGAACAAGCAAAAGCCCGCTGCGTAGCCCAAAGCATTGTGCGCCTTCCGAACACAGCGGCTACTTCTTTGTGCGATGACGCCTTCCACCAGGCCCCTCGATGTAACTACCTCACGCGCATCATTCACAAGAGGTCGAGGCAGCACAACCGGTAGCCACTTCTTTCCTGATGCCTGACCCTTCGCTGACCATGATCTGATTTATACAGACTGTGGTTCAGCAAGAATTATCGAATGTCGGCCTGCATATTGTGCCTCCCATATACTTTGCTGAGCCTTTTTATCATCGCCGTCCTGCTCGTCGTGGAACAACGTTGTTTGTGTGGAACAACAATGTTCCATACAAACACCAGATATCACACAGACTCAAGAAAATCCGAAAACGTGTGGGAGTTCGTGTGCTGTTCTCTGCCCCACTCAAATTAATCAGCCTCACCAAATCTACTAACCCCCTGAAAATGCAGTCATCAACTGAAGGTAGAGTTCAGCATAGAAACAGGTATGTGGCATGCTCCCGGGAAGTTGTCTATAGGACCCCTGTTCTTGCGGTGCTTGTTATGTCGCAACGACTGGAAGGTGTCTGAACGATCGAGTGAGAGAACACGCTAACAATGTTAGAAACGGGAAAGATTTTCTTGCTCAGCACTGCACCGAGTGCAACTGTGTGCCCCTTTTCAAGGACACAGTGACGCTGTACAAGCACAGGGATGAGCGCACCCGAGTCATTGTCGAGGCCGCGCAGATGGCATGCGAACAAATTTCATGCATTAGCAAGCCCTCCCTGTCTCTGTCCGAGAAGGAACTAAGGTTCTTCGAAGGCTTTGGTGTGCGCAAGTAGTTATATTACTTTTACTTTTCTGTTTCGTTTCTTTACAGACTTTTCTTTGCCTTTTTCTGTGCTTTTGTTTTTTTCTTACTCATGTATTGCTCTTTGTGCCACATGGTTTTTGTCCCATAGTTTACTGTCTCCTCTATATGTTTTCGTGCTCTGTGCAATAAACTCGGTTGGAAGTTAGTGCTCGTGTCCTTCTTGTCTCTTTGTTGTCGCTCTGTTCTCGCACTATGACTATCGTGTTGAAGTAAAGCTTCGAGACAGTAGAATCATCCTGGATAGATGTTTTCACGGCTTAGCATTGTTTTACAATTGTGAAACCGTCTTTACAGGGGGTTTAATATACTTGGACAGCTTTCATGGCTTAGCATTCCTTCACTGCGATGAAACCACTTTTATAGGGGCTATATGTGGGCTGATATACATCTATTTGAAGCGAAGCCAATTGAAATACTGTAATATTCGTACAAGCCTAATGTTTACCCTTCACCGCGCATAGACGCCTTAGACTGCCCATATGGTGCTACTTATTTTTAAACTATCGAGCTTCAGTCAGGCTGCTAGAAGATAGCTGTCAGCTAGATGAACCGCGAGAAGACTGCTTTCATCACTCCTAGTGGTCTTTATCAATTTAAGGCGATAGCCTTTGCTCTGTGCAGTGCGCCAACCACTTTTCAAAAGATGATGGACTCGTTGCTCCGAGGGTTCAGATAGTCCACCTGCTTGCGTTACCTCAACGATGTTATTGTCTTTTCACCCTCACATCTTGATCATTTATTGGCAATTCTTGACGTTTTTCGTAGAAGCGGACTTTAGTTAAACTGCTCCAAGTGCCACTTTGCTCATCGTCAAATCACTGTGCCTGCTCACATTGTCGATGCCCAGGGCATGTGCCCAGACACAAAGAAAATTCATGCAGTAAATCTTCTCTTTTCCAATGACCACAAAGGATGTCTGCAGTTTTGTTTGGCTGTGCTTGTATTTCAGACGCTTTGTCAAGGGCTTTCCGACAATTGCACGCGCCCTCACAGGCCTCTTGAAAAAAAACGCCCAGTTTCACTGGGGCCCTGACCAAGCATCGTCTCCTTCTCAACCTACAGCCCTGCTTACTACGGGGCCAGTCTTGAGCTACCTCGATCTATCAGCTTCAACGGAAGTTCGTACATATGCCAGTGGACTTGGCATAGGAGCTATGCTATTGCAGCACCAATGGGGACATTACCGTGTTATAGCCTGTGCAAACCGACTGCTATTTCCCGCTGAGTGCAACTATTCAATAACGGAGCGCAAGTGCCTCGCCCTTATGTGGGCAGTCGTCAAGTTTCGTCCATACTTATATGGGCACTCATTCCGTGTCTTCACAAATCACCATGTGCTCTGCTGGCTAGCCTCGCTGAAAGATCCCACTGACGCTGCTACTGACCCGTGGGTCGCGGGATCGAATCCCGGCCACAGAGGCTGCATTTTCGATGGAGGTGAAAATTATTGAGGCCCGTGTGCTTAGATTTAGGTACCCGTTAAACCCCAGGGGGTCGAAATTTCTGAAGCCCTCCACTTCGGCATCTCTCATAATCATATGATGGTTTTGGGACTTTCAACCCCAGCAATTATTATTATTATTAAGGATCTTACAGGACCTATCATCTACAAGAATACATGTTTATGTAAGGTATAAAACGGGGCAATTGGTTCAGGATGCGGTTTGTTTATCCTGCTACTCTGTGGAAGAATCATCCGAGGCTGATACTGTTGCGGACGTTTTTTCGATATCGCAGCTACTGAACATTGGCGAAGAACAATGTCGGAAATGATTGTTTATGAGCCATCATTGACAAACTGGAGTAAACTTCTTACTACATGTCTCTACGAATGTTTTTGGTCAAAGACTGGATCGTATACCACCATAACATTGATTCTTTTGGCGCTGACTTACTTCCTGTCATCCCAACACACGTGTGTTCTACTGTCCTTCACCAACTTCATGACGCTCCCATGCTGGGCCGCTTGGGCATTTCCCGCACATACGATCGTGTACGCATCGCTTTTTTTGGCCTGGATTCGCCTGCTCTGTTCTTCGCTATTTCATGGATTGTGAGCCTTGCCAGCACCACAAAATGCCGTTTGCCCTTCTAGCTGAGTACCTTGATCTGATTGACATTCTCGCTGGACCTTTTCGAGTTGGTATCAAGCTGCTTGGCCCTTTTCCACTCTCCACCTTCGGAAATAAATGGATTGCTGTCGCCACAGACTATGTGACGCGGTACACAACCTGATGAACACTCCTGACGAGTTGTGCTACTGACATTGTGGACTTTTTGTTGTACGACATAATTTTAGTGCACGAAGCTCCCCGCCAACTACTCCTCGATAGTGACCGCATTTTCCTCTCAGCTATGGTTGATTAAATCCTGTGGTCTTGCCACACCAAGCACAAGTTTACCGCTTCGTGCCATTCCCAGTCAAACAGCCTCACGGAGCGCCTCAACAAGATCATAACCGATATGCTCACCAGATACGTTGCGGCTGGCCACTGAAACTGGGACATTCATTACCCCTATGTGACGTTCGCTTTCAATTCCTCGCGTCACAACACTAAGGAATATTTGCCATTCTATCTCCTATATGGCCATGACCCCACGCTACCTGTGTACACTATGCTACCCGCGGCCACTGAATGTGCTGGGGAAGCGTCGCCCATGCTGACCACGTGTGCCAACTTGCTCGTAGGCATCTCCAGGCCTCACAGGAGCACCGACAATAGCTTTGCAATTGTCAATATAGGGATGTGCACTTTTTCTCAGTTTTTTTGGGCTTCTCTGGTCACCCGCTCAGCACGTAAGACTGCCTGAAAAGCTGCTGTCACACTACACTGGACCATACCGTCTCATTTGACAGGTGACTAATGTCACGCACAAGATTGTCCCAATTGATCTAATAACATCATCGTCAGCTTTGAGTGACACCACTCACATGGCTCGGCTCAAGCCCTATCACTCGCCTTTGACTTCACCTGCATAAGTTAAGCACCGAGAAGGTTGTTTTACGTAACAGCTGCCACAACGCGGATGCATGAAAGGAAAAGAAAGACGACCTCGCTTTTGGTTGTTGCTGGACTGGCGCCATCTTGTTCACCTAGTACTGTGCATCGTAAATAGGTTATTAAGCGAGCTACGCATTACACTACTAATGTGTAGCTTTCCACTATGGTCCTTCACATAGCCTCAATTCTGTTTTGAGATGCTGTAAGCTTTGTCCATAAACATACAGGAGGTGTGTCTTACTGGAACCTAGAAATTTCGACTTATTCATTGTTTCAGGAATATGCCACCAGTGTACTTTCTGTAAGCACAAATGTTACTTTTGCAGAACTAAATTGGTAGCTCTGTTCATGTATGAAATGGGTATTTACACAAATGCCTGATCAAAATGGTGAAAAGTGTAAATATAAAAGCTCGTTTTCTTTTCTCATTAGATGCAGTATTAACAAGAACTAACAGACAATAATGCCAGGAAAAGTATAGGGGACGTTATTAGAAGAAATTGGAATGTAAATGTGAACACAGAAATGTGGGTGAAAAAATAACTTTCCACCGGCAGGATCCAAACCTGCAGTCGCCAAGTAACGCCTCGATGATGTCCTCCCTCCATACAAATTATGGGGTATACATGTGTGCATTTAAACCTGGGAGTGTCAGTCAGCACCATCTGTTGCCGTTATTGCAAATGTGAAACACACTTTTTTTGCCTGTTAGGTGTCGCATAGTACGTGATTTTATCATGAGAAGGCAGCTCACCAATAATACCTCATGTACCACCTCAAGGCATCAAGTCTGCCAGAACGAAAACCTCGCTATAAATGAAGGAAAGTGTAAATTTATGGACTTCTTTTCTTTGTTAGGCACAACGTTATTGAGAACTAACAGACAATAATGCCAGGAAAAGTCTAGGGGGTGTTAGAAGTAATTGTAATGTAAATGTGAAGAAAGAAAAGTGAACGAAAAGTTAACTTGCCACTGGCCTGATCCAAACCTGTGACTTTCATCGAGATCTCATGAATATTGATCAGAAGGGTGGTAGTTAGCGTTATTTAAACTGATATGAAAATACTAAGCACTTCATTTCAGTCATGTAGTAGTATAAGTGGGCTTTCACTGAGTATCAGGAGGCTTGCTATGTACGTAAATGTAATGGATGTATTAAGAAGTGAAAGTGGTAGTTATAGGTACCACATGTTCTTATCCATTTGTATGTATGGTTTTCATGCAGGCCTTGAATACATAGGACCTCGCTGGAGAACGCTGCCCATAGTGCTGTGGGCACTGTCATACATTGTCTTCTCAATGCTGTGTCCATGGCTGGCTTATGGCATTCAAAACTGGACCTCCCTGTCTGTCTGCACGAGCATGCCATTGCTGCTGATCGTCCTCTTCATGAGGTGCATATAACCTTTTCTTTTCAATCCACTGTGCTGCGTGCCCTGCCGCGGTGGTCTAGTGGCTAAGGTACTCGGCTGCTGACCTGCAGGAGGGCGCGGGATCGAATCCCGGCTGCAGGGGCTGCATTTTTGATAGAGGTGAAAATGTTGTAGGCCCGTGTGCTCAGATTTGGGCACACGTTAAAGAACCCTAGGTGGTAGAAATTTTTGGAGTTCTCCACGGGGTCTCTCATAATCATATGGTGGTTTTGGGATATTAAACCCACATATCAATCAAGCACTGGGCTGTGTGATAAGATATGGAGGTTTCATGAGATTTCTAAAATCGAATTCAGAACACTTAGAGCAAAAACCAATTGGTAAGTCAAAGTGAGCTTATTTGTTCATACATAATGAAGGTAAACATGTTTTAATTTGTTCATTGTTCAATTCTTTTTTGTAGAATTGTGATCACCACTATGTTATGCACTTTCCATTAACCTTCCAAGTTAAGCACATGTTTACTTGGCATGTCATAATGAAGCATGAGAAAATTCGAAGGGGACCCTTTTTATCAAGGAAGAAAAGGAAATTTATGAATACAGTTCAACACCTTTATAACAGGCACGGTTGGGGCAGCACTTCTCGTCCTTTATATGATGTCTTTTGTCTTTTATACATTTGTCTTTTATATCAGTTCATTTGTCTTTTATATCAGTGTGTCTTATGAAGGGGTTCGACTGTACATAAAGAATTTGCACACTTGCTTATAGCTTGGATCCCTGCTTTTCTTTTTATTTTTTTGGACTAAGTCTTTTGACCCTTTTCTTCTAGTATTTCCAGAGTCGGCTGCCAGAGAGCATAATAAAGAGAGCACCATCTAAAGGAGTGCAGCCAGGGCCGTACCCAGGAATTTTTTTTGGGGGGGGAGGGGGGGTTTGCGTGTAGAACGGCTGCCATTTTTTAAGATTTATACTGGCTTATTTTCGTGAATAAAACAAGTACATAGCTTACTTGTAATAATTCGATGGTACTTTTCAATTATTTGTACCCAAATAAAGAAATTGGTATGTCAACCTCAAATTCTAGTTAAAGCAAGAAATAAGTTTGGACAATAGCACCACCAAAGCCGAAGACACCGCGACCAACGGCTCCTGATGAAGTAACACAATGTAACCGCGGTACAAAAACGGTATGTATGTGTTACAAGCTGCCACTCTAGCGTCGCCAGCGCGAAGTCGGCGACGGGAATGGCAGCAGGTTAGGTCGTTCCGTACGTAAGCAGAGACAGTGAAGAGATCAGAGACGTATTTGGGGAAAAAGAAAACTCTAGTGATATTGCAGCACTGCAGAGGAATCTAGGAATATTGCAGAGGAATCTAGTACAACACTTAATACCAACTAACAAAATACATATAAAATCAATAAATCAGCTTACAAGAGAGAAGTATTACAAACTACACAAAACTAACCAACAATAAAACTACAGATGAGAAAGTCCGAAGGTATAAACAGGTGAAGGGATACTTGTAATGACCGGCAGCGTTGAGTCAACGATGATCAGATGCGAGAAGTCAGAGAGAGTTTTGGCACAACTGCGATGTCGGCGGTGTTGCAGCGCTGGTGTTTCCGGGAGGCTAGTGCTTGAAGCCGATCTCGGGCAGGTTGAGCTTACTCGAGATTCAAGTACCGATGCCTACGTTACAGACGTTACTTTCGCGTCACAACTAGACGAATGGCTAAGTTTAGGTGGCAAGCCGACACGGAGCCACAACCACTTAAGGGATACTTCTTGATCTCCTTCTACACCATGTTGGTCAGCAACTAGACTGCTTAGCAAGGTGAAATCCTGCTCTTAAATCGACCTCCGTGTCCCCTGATTCTCGTCCTGGGGGAAAAGAGACCTCTACATGGGTCCAATCATGCACGTTTCATTGTTAGAAACTCCACCCTAAAAATATATTGACCACGTCCCTTTTTAATTAGGAGAGGGTTCTCTACTGAGCGAGAGTGACCACCTTTTGGGGTTCTCTCATACGGCTTGTCCACAAGCAGTTTTGCCCGTGGGAATGGTAAGTTTCCTTGGTTTCAGCGGGTGCGTCTTACAGTCTACAGCTAGTTCGGGGTGCATCGCGGCCTTTGACGACCCTGCCGCCGCCGCCGTAGGTACAAAGGGTCAAACATCGCGACTAACGTTTGAAGAAGAACACCCCATTCAGTACTTCCCTGCACTAAAGGCCAGTCTTTTCATGAGTGAACGGTTCCACCGGTCAGCGAGGGAGTGCGGCGCCCGTTAATTTGCCGTTACGCCGGGTCGCAAAAATGGCAGTCCGTGACAGCATGCATGCAAGCAAACAAACAAGTCGCCCGACATTCCGATCTTCTTGTTACCGTTCGCACATTCTGCTTGCTGGATAGTTTCCTCGTAATTGCGAAAGGATAGAAGGGTTGAAGCTTGGGCTAGCTGGGTTTAGCTTTTAATCGACTCTTGAAACATAGAGGGAAGTTTAAACGAGGAAGTTTTTCCTTCTCGGCAACTTGCTAAATTCTGTGAGGACTTGTTCTGGGGTCACTTGAAGTTCTCTATGGATGCTGAGCAGTGCTAGTCCGGTCAATCTGTCGTTGTTCATATAATTTCGAAGGTAGCTCTTCAGCCTTCTCAGTGTGGAAAAAGTCCGTTCCAGGGTCGATGTCGACACAGGTAAAGTCGCCAGGATAGAAAGTAGGCTGTGGATGTTCGGAAAAATGTCGCGGTTGCACATCTCTAAGGCCTGTAAAGCACAAGCTGGGCGATTCTTTTCTTCGATCTGGCAGCATTTGTTCACCCACAGTGTGAACTCTGCTTCGATGACATTAGCCGAAAGAATGTCGCCAAGGTAAAACTGCACTGCATCATCAATATCAGAAAGGCTAGCCGATGCACAGAATTTCGGCAGCAGCATGTTAAGGCCAACCACGACCTTCTTATGGGCATCGAACCGGTCTCTTAATTGATTTTCGAAGTCAGCCAGCAAAGGCAAATAGACATTCTTCCGGTAGTACTCTTCGGGAGTAGCAGAAGGTACATTGTTTCTTTGCATCTGCCTTCCAGTGATGCGTGGTAGGGACATCTCAACATTTGTGATCTTCAGCAAAGAGAGCGACTTCAGCAAAATCTTATTAAGTTCCGTTTCCGCACTAGCCCTTTTTGTGGAAAGAACGTCTATAACATTCTTTACGTGATCGCACGCTTGAGCCAAGTCACAGTCAATTTTTTGAAGAAACTTGCAAAGTGGCAGTGTCAAAGAGAAGAGGTCGCTACAGATGTGAAGTGAAACGACAAACTCGGGCTTCATAATGGCATTGAGCAGTTGAGAAGCTTTTGATGAAGTATCAGATGACGCGGCCTCTTCTTCCAAATATTCGAGGAATTGTACAATAGGCACGTACAGTTCAAGGAAACGCTGAAGTGCATTGTGACTCTCTACCCACCTTGTTTGGCAAAAGGAGAGAACTGATTTTCTTTTTTCTTGTGTTAAATCTTCTACTTTGTCTCGCAGTTGGTTCGTCCTCTGTGGCGCAGCTCTCACAAACGTACAGGTTGAGGATACAGTTCCCAAACAGTTGCGGATGCTGGGGAGTTTGCATGCGTGAAGCAGAGCAAGGTTCAACGAGTGGGCGCTACAATGCACGTACAACGCTTTGGGCGCTGTTTGACGAATGAAGGCTTGAACACCGTTAAGGTGGCTGCTCATTGATGCCGCGCCGTCGTATCCTTGCCCGCAAAGTAGGTTCAGGTCAAAGCCACGACCTCTAAGGCTGTTCAGGATTGTGCTCGCCAGCGCCTTGCCAGTGAGATAGTACACGGGAACGAAATCTACAAAATTTTCTTTAAGAATGGGCACTCCCGACGTGTCGTGTCCAACGTACCTTACACATAGGGAAATGTGGGTCGTGCGAGACATATCAGTGGCCTCGTCAGCTAGAACTGAAAAACACGAACCTGAGTTGACGTTTTCCACTATCTTTCTTTGTATGATTTTACCACAGAGGGTGATCAACTCATTTTGAATTTTTGGGCTCGTGTACAGCGCATTCGCCGGAGATGTTTCCATGTGAGCTCTCAAGGCGGCATCTCCACATTTTGCTCTCATCCTAAGCAGTGCGCGGAAATTTTCATCATTTTTGAATGGCAGCACTTCAGACATATTTATTGGACCAGAGTCGTCTGTTCCGCGAAGCGGTACTTCTTGCCTGCCACAGAAAAGGATTGTTTCTATTATTGGCAGCAAGTTCTTGCGGTTTTCTTCCGCCTGCTTTTTAAGGCCGTGGTCAAGTTGTGTTAAGATGTCATGCTGTGAGTGGGACCGGACTGCTAAAAAGTTCTCCGATAGCGTTGTTGACATGGCGTGATAACTGCTGGATGCGTGGCTCTTAAAGGCGTCCATGGCTTTCTTGTAATTGGTGAACTCCTTAGTTATAAAACAGCCCAAGCGCTGGTGCTCCCCTTTTCTTGCACACTTGCTTGCGAAGACTAATAATGCTCCTTGAAGCTTCTCTGAATAAACAAGCCATGGGTAACGATCTACCCAGTGAGGTTGGAACTTCAGATTCCTTTCCCTGTGGCTGGATAATCATAGCTAGCCGGAGGGGTCCACGGATTGAGCAGCAGCTTCTGCATCGTCTCTGGATCATTTACATTATTGCTTTTCGAGTCAAACAGTCCCAAGTCGAAAATATTCGCACTCGTCGCACAGAGGGGAGGCGAACCAGAATGTGTAGGTGCCATGCCACTCACCTTCCTTGGGCATTGCCCAGTGGTAAAGGCGTCACTTTGCCCAGCGTTGACTGTAGAACAAAGATCACTTGGAGTTGCACTGCGGCCACCATCATTTCCCAGCGGGGCATGGGTGTCCTGCTTGTGTTCGTTCTCAGGTGATTCATATAAACTGGTGCATTCTCCCGAGTCGCTACAGAAGTTCGGACGCGCTTGGCTTTCCACCAGTGCTGAGGAGGGCGAAGTTTTATCCTTCGAAGGAGGCGGTTCTTCTCCGTCCACTTCATCGGTTCGAACTTTCTTGAAGTAAGACGCAAGACTCCTTTGCTTCGTTGTTGCAGAGTGTCTTTTCATTTGCTGCTGCAATCCTGTGCACGCACACAGAAGTGGCCAGTGGCTCCAAAAAGACGTTTGCGACTGCTTCGACTGCCTGGCGTGAACAGCGGGCGATGTTTTCTTCCTTTCTTATCCACTTTACAGTGGCTAGAATGTAAAAATGTGATGAACGCACTGGCTCCCGCGTGGCGCATGTGTTTTCTGAACGCCGCTACAGCTGGTGTGCATGCAGGCCCATTTTTGTACTCCAGCTGCAGCAAACTGGATTAACGCTACTTAAAGACCTTTTCACAGAAGACTCCATGGGCACTGCATACTCCCCTTAATACACGTGAACCCCCAAGAATGCACTGCCGCGACATTTGCACTCCCGTGGTACAGTCCAGGAAGGAGGTGTTGCTCCGTTTCTGTGAAAAAGTCACCTTTTCACAGACGGCTCCCTGGGCGCCTGCATAATTCTCTCTGGGCTGCGCTAATTAACTAGCCGTGATCCCCCAAAAATGCACTTTGTAGGCTGTGACGTCAGCTTCTGTACTCCCGCGCGCAGCCCAGCTTGGCGGCGTTTTTTTTTCTCCTGTGAAAGTTGACCGCTGGTGCCGGATTGTGTGCCGGCTGTATCCTCGCTTTGTGCGCTTTGTAGGGAGGCGCATATACCTTCTGTGTACAGAAGAGGTAGATTTCCTTGCGTGTGGTTAAGGTTGTTCGAAGTTGCTCGGATATGCCAGTCTTTCAGTAGATGTCATCTTCGATGATTCGTTTCGGTGGCGAGGACTACAGTTTGAGAAAAGTTTGCCCTGCAGCCTGTGTCCTCGGAATGCGCCGCTGAGTTTTTCCGCTTAGGGGCTTCGTTCCTTGGCAAATTTGCGCACGTCGTGTAGGTGTTGCCGTTGCTGTCGAACTGTTTACCTTCACAGAAGTAGACGCCCTTTTTGTAGGAACCCAAAGCCGACACGTGCGGTCCGCACAGACGGATAACTTCTCCAGCGGCAATGCACAAGGAAAGCATCTGGAATCAATAAAGGAGCTGCTACGGTGTGAAAGATGAAAAAAAAAAAAAGACTCGAAGGAACGCGAGGGCGAAGTGCAAAGCTGTACAAATAGGGCAGGTGTGCGTGCAGGGGAGGGAGCGCTGAGGCGTTCTGGTAAAAGGGTAGGCTTGAAGAAAGGAAGAAAAGGGAAGCAATGCCAGGAAAGTTGCAGTGTAACTTTGGCAGCTGGTGGTCGCTGTGAAGGCGTGTAAATATTTTAGTATCACCCGAAAAGTTAAAGCATCAAAAAATTTTGGAGTGGTCAGAACCCCCTCAACCCCCCCTAGTTACGGGCCTGAGTGCAGCCCAGCTTCATAATGCAAAAACATTAGTAATGATTGCAATTTTGATGACTTGATAAGGGAATGAAAAAGGACCCTTTAGAAGATGTGATTTCCAGCATTGTATTATTATTGACTACTGCACGGATCAGACACTGGTTCACATCTGATGCACAGCAAACATTTAGATAGGGAGGCTATGCGTAGTTTTGTAAATGCACATTTTTGTTTTGTTCCCTATAGCAACCACGGCAGCTTAAGGTTAGAAAAAGGAGGTGCTGGTCCACTCTTGGCCCCGTCCTCCAATTTCGGATTGCTGAGAGAACTCAAGCCCGTGCTGCACCCCCTGCTGCTCCTGAAGTTGATCTGAATCCCCTCCTCGCACATCCTCAAGACTTTATAGTTTAATTTGCTACATTCCCTGTTGTGTGCATTCTCTTTTATGATTATACATGATGCTACGGTGCATCGTCGACGTAAGGAAGCGTGACACTTTACGAAGATGACGAAGACGCCTGTGCATTAAGCGCTTGCGTGAGAGGCTACTCAGTCATCCTGTTTGGCTGCCGATTGTCTCTTGACGCTATAGTATAAACCTATATCTCGCCCCATCACAATATAAATTAGGATAAACATGTTGATATTGCACCAAAAAAGACAGTTCAATATTTTCACGATGGTTTGTTCTGGATGCAGTTGTTATGTTGTGCATGCCTGATACAGCTGTCATGATAAACTTCTGAAACAGTCATGACTTGAACATCATTGGTTGGGTGCAAGAGATGGCTTTGTGTGGTGTTTTCATGCTGAAATCTAACATTGCTCTTCTTTGTTGACGTCTTCAGATCTAGTGACCTTTCAATTATGAGTCCTCTGCACTTCTGCAGGTTTGTGCCGGAATCGGCCAGCTGGCTGCTGACGCGAGGTCGCAATGAGGATGCAGTGAAGTACTTGCGCAGGGTGGCCTTCTTCAACAAGAGGGATATCCCTGACAACCTGGAACTGAAGACAGATAGGGTGTGTTTCTCAGTTCACTACATATATCTGCGTTTACAACTTAACTTTCTTATGGCAATATTGTTTTTTCTAGCTGTGAGTCCCTATACGGCACTGCCCCACCTGTAAATTTTCTCCGAGTTGTGTGTGTATGTTATATTCAAAGAAATTATACTTGTATTATTGCAATCGACTTCTGATTTCACGATAGTGCGGTACTATAAGAATGTGAGGTTGGTAACATTTAGCCTTCGTATGGTTGTTGGGGTGTCCCAGAAAAGAAGTGTATATTCAAAGGTAACTACTGTATGATGTGACGAAAAGAACGAAAAAATTGCTCGTGTAAACTGACAAAAAACAGTGGTAATTAGAGATCACCGAGAGATATCTTTGTTGTGTTGTACATGTACATATGGTGATAATGGTAACATTTTTCGGGATTCAACAGCATATTTCTTTCTCAGAGTTTGCCAATCATTTTATGATTTGCTTAATATATGTCTGTTGTGCCATGTAGGTTTCGGCCTCGCTTTTGTGAGAAGTGAGCATTCTTAGTAGTGTAAAAACTGTTATTAATCATTGCTATCTGTAGTGTGGAAGATCGTAAGAGTATGTGATTACAACCAGCTCTCTCAGATGGTTTTATCAAGAATTACAAATAATAATTGCAGGTGAATGGGGTGTGGTAGTTGCAGTATACACATTTATGCTCCACATTTTAGACTGTCTTCATTATAAATTTCAGGGGGTTAAGGAAGATGCCAAGAGAGTCACATTTCTGGACCTGTTCCGCACACCGAGGATTCGCAAGCACTCCGTGCTGATGCTGTGTGCATGGTAATTGTGCCAAGTTGACAATTTATAGTGCTGTAGCCTTCAGAATGACTGCAGGAATTATATAGTTTTTTTTCATTGCTTGCCTGCAGCAAGTTCCGTGAACCGTGTTATTTATTTAGCTTATTACTTTTATTATTCACGTAATGCTTTTTGTTAGAGCTGTGTGATTATTATAAGCTTATATGTAAATATTATAAATGTGTGGAGTTTAGTTACAAGACTGTGCTTCTCGAGTCTTCTTGATATTCAACGTATGAGATACTTCATCGTAAGGATTATTCACCCCAGTGCTCATAGCAGAAAAATGACGCATTCGTTTAACATTAATTCAAGAAAAACATAGAAAAAAGCATTGATGGTTGAGCTCGAACAATGGCTAAGCACGAAATAAAAAATGGTGCTAGCACCATTTTTTCTCCTGCTAAGTCCTCGTAACTAAACATCAGCGTCTGCTGTTGCATCTAGACTGACCGGTAACACTATAACAGCATTGTCGCTGTTTCAATGCTTCGTTGGCTCGCTTGTTTGTTGCAACCTTGGCACCTTTTTAATTTATTTATTTCAATATACTGCAGACCTTCTCGGTCCAACCAGGAGTGGTAATACATAAAATTATTACAATTCTGTCGAAAGTGATGATCACATTAAAAAAAAAAACAGGTCAATGTTGGATGGTTGTTAACAGTTTCAAAGATACACTGTTTATAACACAGGCGAGCATAATACAAAAATGTAATACACTAACGATAACAAAGAGTATTGCTGAATTCTTGAGCAAAAGATTCTACCATTTCACAGTTCACCGCAGATGATGGTAGACTATTCCAGTATGCTATTGATGATAGAAAAACAGAGTTTTTATGAATGTCATTGCGACTTTTAGGCAGCCATATTGTCTTGTTGTGGTTAGTTCTTGAGGAGTGTCTGAGAAGTTGAAGATGTTCCGTTCCGGATATTTTATACTGCTCATTATACAAATGATACAAAAATTTAAGGTTGGAAATTATTTTGCATTGATCAAGACAATACAGTTCGGCTTCAGTTCGGCTTTTTTATGCAGAGCTGTTCACTGGTATCCCGGGAATAACTTGCAAACACTAATTGGACTGCTAAATTTTGAATTCGCTCAATTTTTTTTATGAGAAACTTGTGATGGGGACTACAAATTATGCCTGCATATTCTAGTGCCGGTCTAATTAGTGTCTTATATGTGGTTAGTTTAATCTCAGGAGGTGCATTGCTTAGTCTTTTCTTGACAAATGACAGCTTTCTTATCACTTTTGCACAAATAGTCACTATATCTGGCTCTGAACTGAGATTGGTTATTAATGTAACTCCCAAGTATTTTACATGCTTGCTTTTGGTGATTTCCAAATTTCCTAATTTGTATGTGAAATTAAGAGGCTTTTTCTTGTTTGTAAAGCTTATGGCTACCATTTCTCTTGCATTCAGTGTCATTCCCCATTCCAGCACCATGTCCGAATTTTTTGTAGTGAGTGATTAAGGTGAATCTGGTCCTCAATTTGACTTACGGTCGTTTATACGACGCAGTCATCTGCGAAAAGCCTTAGTTGAATAGATGGGTCGATGCAAAAAGAAATGTCATTAATATAGATAAGAAATAGAATTGGCACTAATACGGATCCTTGTGGTACGCCTGACAAGTCGTCTAGGCTGCTTGAGATATTGTTGTTCACGGAAACGAATTGTTTATGATTCTTTTTGTATGACATTACCCATTGAATAACTTTATGTTCAATACCAATTGCTTGCATTTTCATAATGAGGTCATGGCGGGAAACGACATCAAAGGCCTTTGCAAAGTCCAGAAAAACGGCATCTATTAGTCCATTAGTTGTTTTGAGTGTATTTGCGATGTCGTTAGTCATCTCGGCTAGCTGTGTAACTGTTGACAGGCCAGATTTAAATCTGTGTTGTCTAGAGTAGAGCAGGTTGCTAGCCTCTAAGTAAGTTATACCTTTAAAAGTTATATGCTCTGTAGCGAAGTCTCCGAACTATGAAATGGGTCGAACTCTTGAGTACCTTCTAGTGGGGCTACCCAACAAGGACGCCGCTCGCGCTGAGAGCCCGTGCTTGGCCGTGACTGTCGCCATTGTATATTCTCGCTCGTTGCCAGCTAATAAACGCCTTAACAATTTGGTGGAGAGTGCTGCGATCCCCGTCTATGCCTTTGGAGCTACGATCACGTACCCTGCCATTTACTATGTACCACGACGCTTCTCAGCAAACGCCTCCTCCAATGCCACCTCCTTGTCCCGGCGTCCCCAGAATCCGCGATTCACCCATCTTCACTGGCGCTGATGGCACTGACACGGAGGACTGGTTCGCCATTTACAAGCGCGTGAGCGTCCCCAACAAATGGGACGAGGATGGCAAGCTGACCAACTTGGTATTCAACCTTACGGGTGTTGCCAGTTTATGGTACAACAACCACACGTCCGATTTTGCCACCTGGTCCAATTTTAAAACCGCAATCATCAACGTCTTCGGCCGCCCTACCGTTCGCAAGCTGCAAGCCGAGCAGTGCTTACGTGAACGTGCTCTGGTGAGTCTGGTGAGTCATTCACCAGCTATATTGAAGAGGTCCTGGACCTATGCAATAAATCTAATCACACCATGTCTGAGTCTGACAAGATCTGAAACATCATGAAAGGCATTGACGATGATGCCTTCACGATGCTGCTCGCCAAAAACCCCAGCACAGTGGCTGAGGTCATCACACTGTGCCAGAGCTACGAGGAGCTCGGCCGGCAGCGTTCGATGACCCGACGCTCCCCGCCACGTGCTGCAACGCTTGCTGGCTTGGAGGCCAGTTGTGACCAAGTGGCGTTGATGGCAGACCTAAAGTCCTTCATCCGTGAAGAAATCGCGCGTCATTTCTCGCTCCTGCCCTTTGCCCACCAACCGGCTGTTCAACAATCGCATACTACCCTTCTCCCTCCTATCCGTCGAGCGATTGAACAGGAAATAGCGGAGGTAATGCCTGCTTACCACTACCCACAGCCTCCGGCTCCTGCACCCCTGAGTTACGCGCAAGTGGTCGCCAGGCCGCCCCAAGTCGTTCCAGCACCCGCCCCTCTGACTTAGGCCGAAGCTGCCGCTCGACCTCCGTCCTTTGCAGCAGGTATGCCCGCTACGTATGTTGACATAGCCCCTCAGCCTCAGCTTCAGTCCACCATGCAGCCACCGTTCCGTCCATCGGCCCTTGCGACATGGGTGAGACCTACCCAGGTGAACAGATGGCGCACACCCGACAACCGGCCCATCTGCTTTGCCTGCGGTTACACCGGTCACGTGGCCCGCTATTTCCATCGCGTACAGCCGGCTCCAATTTCTTCACCTGTTGCTGGCCAACTCAGCCGTCCTTATTGCGAAGAACTGCCGTCTATGCCACCTCGTTCTCGCCCAGGTCCATCTCGAAGATCGCCGTCCCCACGACGTCGTTCCCTGTCTCCCATGCGGCCAAGTGCAGCTGCTCATGAGCGGGAAAACTAGTCGTCGCAGTCCCCGAGGCAAGGACTGCGACGCTATTGCAATGTGAAAGCCCTCAGAGCAGCCCCTAGAATGTCATTGACGTGCTTGTGGACGGTGTTTGTGCATCGGCTCTTATTGACACTGGAGCTGCCGTATCAGTTATGGACGATAAACTCTGCCGCTTACTTCGAAAAGTGACGAAGCCACTTTCTGGGTTGTCCCTCCGTACTGCAAGTTTGCATTGTATTCATCCTACAGCAGGGTGCACAGCTCGCGTTGTCATCCAGGACGTTCTGTATGTCGCCCAGTTCATCATCATTCCGGCATGCTCTCATGACGTCATCCTGGGATGTGACTTTCTCTCCCGACATGACGCCGTCATTCATTGTGCCGCCGCCGAAATTGAGCTCTCACCCTTCTTGCATTTGACGCCAGAAGACAGTCCCTCGACACTGAGCAAGATTCTAACGAAAGATGATACAACAGTGCCTCCAAACTCGACGACGGCTGTGTCTGTCTACTGTGCCGGTCTCTACGACACCATTGCACTCGTTTCGCCATCTGACCGCGCTTGCAGCAGGAAAGGGTTGCTGGTACCTTTCGCGACCGTGCAGGTAAACCAGGGCAACGCTGCTATTTTTGTAACCAACCCATCCCCGTACACTGTTACCTTGCTTCGAGGGGAATGTCTCGGCAGAGTGGAACCAGTCGACGACGCACAAGTCCTGGACGTACCCGATGACACGCGCTGTCCCAGGTCGCGTACCATCAATGCTGTTTCCACTTCTGATTCGTCATCTGCTGATGTATTTGGCCCCTCGATCGCTGACAACCTTACGGCCGTACAGCGTTCCCAACTTCTGAACCTGTTGCAAGAATATCGTTCTTCTTTCGATGTCAGGCGAAGTTCTCTCGGTCGCACGTCCGTTGTTACGCATCGCATCGACACTGGTGCCCATCCACCTTTACGGCAATGTCCATATCGCGTGTCGCCTGCTGAACGTCGAGTAATTAATGATCAGGTTGACGATATGCTCCGACGCGACGTTATTCGGCCCTCGGACAGTCCATGGGCGTCTCCTGTTGTTCTTGTTGCGAAGAAAGACGGTTCTGTGCGGTTCTGTGTGGACTACAGACGGCTCAATAAGATCACTCGCAAAGATGTTTATTCACTGCCACGCATCGATGACGCGATTGACAGCCTTCATGGAGCCAATTTTTTTTCTTCTTTTGATCTGCGCTCGGGGTACTGGCAAGTACCCATGGCTGACAACGCTTGACCAAAGACCGCCTTCGTCACGTCACTAAGGCCACGGCGGCGGACGGGCGTCCACACCCAACTTGATCTCCGGGGCTGTAAAACACTTCTCTGTGGCGGGTATTATAGCGTCGTGCGTCTGCCTGCTGTTGCTGGCCGATGTGCAGATCGCGCGAGCTGCCGGGCTTCCTCTGCACGCTCTGCGAATTCTTCGGCGTCTGTTGCCAACTCGTCTTCGTCCTGACAC